ATTTTCTAAATTATATGTATTCTAAATCATAGCTTAAATAAAGAGCTACTTGTATATCCCATAGCTTGTCTGTTGCACACCACTCGTCTACAGCTAATGCTGATGGGGGCGCGTAGTGTAAATGAACTTGTCAGCCATTTCAAAGGTGTGCTTAGGAAAGTTGCAGACATACACGTACACACACACACTCGTATATAGTCATAAGCTCTCCTACTCGAATTCACCACAAACGAAAATATGGCTTTTCAAATTGCCACTTTTGTTTTAAGAGCGAAGAAGGGGGAACAGGGCGAGAGTGGGAGATGAAGTGCGATAGAGAGGGTAATCCATTTTGCGTGCGTACTACAAGTACAAGTATATATATGTGCATATGTATTTCTGTATGTATGTAAGTAGTATTGTAGTTGTTGCCGATATCTGTAACTGTCACACAAACAGATTGAAAACTATGCGACAAGACTGGAGCCCAACTGTTGGCAGCTGCGCCACTTCATGGCTGTCTCGCTGTGTGTGTGTGTGTGTGTGTGTGCCTGAGCTGACTAATGAAACACAATAATTTAGTAAGTTGTACCTACGCATGCGCAGTTAACTTTTTTGTTGTTTTTCTTTCGATCTTTAACAATTGTCACAGCAACGCAATTTGTCGACTTTGTCGTCTATTGTGGCTGTGTTATTCTTGTTGTTGTTGTTGCTGTTACTATTTCTGCCAACACTAAAGTCACTGAACTTGCTTTTTTCCACTCTGCCCGTAGCTCCAACTTACTTTTATTTTGGGTGTAGGCCAGGCAGGCAGGCAGGCAGGCAGACATAGCTACTCGCATAGATACACACACATACATACACATATACACTGGTAAACAAAGGCACGTTTGACAAAAATCTCCAAGTTTTTAGCTTTAGTTACAATTGTAAGTAGCACATGCGCGCGACTCGAACCCAACTGCGCAGGCGCGCGTGTGCGTCATGAAATTAGTTTATTTGTTTGCATAAAAATGTACATACATAAATAAGTACCAACACACACACACACTCACACATGGCTTACATTAGCGTCGATGGTGGGGCGAGCATGTCGCTGCTGTTGTTGTTGTTGTTGTTGTGTTTCTAATAAATTTGTTGTTTCTGCGCGTCTGTCATGCACACCTGGAGCATAATTTGTTGCTATGAGTCAATTTTCCCTCGCCAGGCTGCACAGTTGCCAAAAAAAAAAAAAAATTATACATTTTTGTCGTAATAGTACCTCAATAGTCATTTGTATATGAATGCGAGATTATTGACGTTCTGTATTCAATTCTTGAAAATCAAACTCAAATGAATTCAACAAACACGATTCAAACAATCAAAATAATAATGCCATTAATTGAATTAAGTAATACAAATGTGCTTTCAAGTCTAAATACTAGATTGAAGTAAAAGGGAAAGTACTCAGGGTGCCATGAAAATTTAGCCAGCAACTAGCCAAGACGAGAATAGCCCTTTTCACAAAAAGTACGAGCAAACCAAGTCTAACACTAGAATAGTTTCAGCTTTGAATATTAATTTAACGTTACGAAAAGTGGGAGTACAAACTTTTTTGAAAAAATATTAAAAAAAGTGATTTAGTAAATTAGTTGTGGACTTAGCGTCGCAGAAAAGCTGGCAATGGAGGGAACAACCCCACACATCCCTCTTGAAAAGGTACGAATCGGTATGCCGCTAGTCTTCTCCAGCAATTAAAATACTCCTAAAACTAAAAGGCATTAAAGGCCACTGTCCAGTAGGCATTCCATCTAACGATATCTGCAGGGGCTATAAGGATGGAGGAGGAGGAAAGCGCCTTCATTGTAATTGTTCAGCACTTACTGGAGATTGTGAAATTAGCCTTTGAAAACAATTTGTGTCAATTCATTAAAAATAGTTTAACTGTCAATAATTTGGCGTTTAAATAATCACTTTTCGGACTCACCCTAATCTTAACAAAGACGATTTTTAATTTCTGACTGCTTGTTATTCGTTTAATTTCGAAATTATGCTTTTCGCTCTCTGTATTTTCGTATATATGTACATACCTACATACATATGTACATATATGACGTACTTATGCCATTTATTTTACTTATTCCGCTCCCAGCACTATTTTACAATTTCTCAGGCGCATTTCTTCGTCTTCTTCTTGGAGGGACTGACTCAAGTAGTAGCTGGGGCTTACTTAGAAATGCGCATAGTCTTGATGGTCTCCACTTAACTCCGCACACACGCACACACACACACACACACACACACACACCCATAGGCACACAGACAGGGTGGTAGACACACAACGTTAGAATAATAAACAGCGCACAAAATTTTAAGTATCGAAAAACACATCAAATCAATGCCCCATACTCGTCTCCTACTAGCATCATCATCCAACTCTTCCAACAACTGTAGCGTTCGTCGTCCACTTTAACGTTCGATGACATTTCGTTTTTGGTTTTCACGATCATCTGCCTTTGCCTCGGCTGCGTCTGCGTCTGCGTCCGCGGCCTCCGTCTCTGCGTGTAATTATTATAATACATAAATTTATGCCACAAGTGCTCGACTCTAAAAATGTGAAATGTGGCTCTCATGTTGTTGGGATGGGATGGGATGGCATGGATTTGGTTTTGGTTTTGGGTTTGGGGCACTGTCTGAAAACAATCTGTAGAATCGTTTTGAGTGCGGCTTCAGCTTTGCTTACACGCTCCGAACCCTAACCTAACCTATAGCAGTACTTTAACGCACTGTTCCATTTACTTGAACTGAACTATAGCGTTGCTTTAACATCGGCGGACATTTCCGATGAAAATAGTTCACTGTACTAAGTATGTAATTTTATTTTATATCTATTTTTGTTTGTTAATTTGTTGTAATTACTGTGCAAACGTGGCACATACTACTTACTATATAGTTATTATTGTTGTTTATGGCCGTCGATTTGGACATTTTGTTGTTGGAAAAAACTATTTTAAAGCTTAACAATGACGTGCTTTATTTTAAGGTACAAGGTTAAGTATGGTTTGGTTTGATTTTTTCTCTGTACTTGTGAGTGTGTGTGTAGGTTGATTTCCAATTGTAAAGTAAAGTAATTATTTTCGCGTTTTATATTAAAGAAAGAAAAATAATACAAAACGAGTTTAATTGTTAAATTTTTGAGCAATTGTGAATTGAGCTTGGATTGTTGTTGTTCATAAAAACAATAGTCAAAAGGGTGAAAAATAAACATTTTAAATAGTATAGCAAGACATTTATTGGGTTTGACATTTCAGCGCCTTCCAAAATTTAAATGAATTAAATACGATCTTTCTCTTACGCCCCTTTCGGCAGTCGGCCAGAATTTAAATGTCTCGAGAATTCGTAAGCAACAGGCAGTCGTCAGTAATTCAGGCAGTAATCATAACTACAATTTAGGCATACAATAAAACGATCAATTATTCATAAATATAGAAAGAACCGCAGTTAACGTGCCCATAAGACTAATAGTGACTAAGTCCTATGAATACAAGTCTACAGACGACTGCTTAATACATACATATGTACGAGAACTACACGAGAATCAAGCAAATGTGATTACACACACACATGCAAACATATATGTACATATGTATATATAGTATACAAATCAGATATGGCACCAATATTGAACACATGGCATTAAAGTTGAGAGGGAGTCTAAGGCAGTCGCGAGCTAAAAATCAAAATGAAATAAAGCACAATAAAATGTACTTAAGATTGACGAGTGTGGGCCGAAGGGGGCCTGAAACACTTTTGGGAGAACTAACAGAGAAGCGATATATGTACACGCCATATAAATATGTACATTTATTTATACATATACAAGTATATGTATGCATAAATAGTTGACTGTACCCCATTGAATTTATTCATAAGTGTTTGTGAATGACTGTACGAGTATGTATGTGTGTGTATGAGTTTCATCTCGATATAATTGGCTGTCAGAGTGTTCGACGTTGGATCGCTTTACACACACATATCCATACTCTAATAATCAATATAGTGTATGTGTATTTATCAACAAATATCGACTGTTGCTCAATTATAAGCTGGTGGGGACTTGCAAGCCATAATTGAAATTTAAAAAATTGGTATTCTAAGTCATGCAGATTTAAAGCTAAAGTTTTCGGGAACAAACCCCTATTGAAGCTCACAAAATTTAGCTACGAATTTTGAAACGGTTTTACCTTGGAAAGTTGCTTTGATTTAAGATAAGAATTATTTTAAGTCCCAAGAATTGTATTTCAATTTCCAACCATAATCTAAAGTCTGTAAAATAGTTTACTGATCAATTTTAATTTGAAATTCTTTTAAGGTCCCTAGTGTATGTGGGAATTTCAATATTTTAAACATATTTCCGATACCTCAGTTATATATAGGCATTTGTATGTACATGTGTCTCATACCAACCTGAATGAATTGAAATGGAATTGAAAAAAGCAACAGCGCTGCTGCTGTGGACGCTGCCCCCTTGACTGTCTGTTCTCTTAATTGAAAATCAATTAATGTAGTATATGGCAAGCATATTGTTTGTAGCTGGCTATATCCATCGTGTCAGCGTCAGAAATCAAGTTCATCATCACTTTAATCACCATCATCATGATCATCATCATCCCCGAATCGGAATCCTTTTGTTTTGTCTCATTGTGCGCTGCGGAGTTAATTGATGTGCGGGTACAGAATTCATTTGGTTTTTGGAGCCGGGACTGCTTCGGCACTGCACACAAGTCAGAGTCGAAATTGTTTCGAAAAAAGTAACTTAAGGTTCATTGAATTTTGAAGTGCGTTTTAAAGTACGCGCACCCAACAATTTGTTGCTTTTGTTGTTCTCATTTTATTATTATGTGGTACAAGATCTGCATTCTTAAGCAGCTGGCGCAGTAAACGAACACAAATCATTTGAAAAATCTGTGTGAACACACATGCGTTATGGGCATTTAGTAAACGTTACTTACTTAAATATGTTTATTGTTCTTTTGTTACAGGTTAACAAACAATATACGGCCAACGATCTGGAGGCTTTTATGAAAATTGCCGCCAATTGGCAAAGTTCCAATCACAGCTTGCTGGAAGGCGTCGATATAAAAACAGGTACGTGTGGAAACAACCCATCGCCACATACTAGACAATAAGTAATGACATGACTTTAATTTCTTGTCCCATAGAAATGACACAGTACATGAACAGTCCGTCGATGAACATGTACAAGAAACGCGAACGCACACAGAACTGGAACCATCAGGAGAAGAAATACCTGCTGGATTTGTGTCGCAAGGATATGCGTATCATAGAGAACAAACGGCTAGATGCGGGCTTGACGGCAGTTAAGAACAAAGCCTGGAAGATAATACACCAAAAGTTCTCCAATCAATTTGGCACAGATCGCACCTGCAATCGCCTCAAAGAGCAGTGGCGACGAATGAAAGGTAGAGCGAAATGGTTTCTCTGTTTAATTGGCGTGATTTTTTATTATCATTGTATATTGTATATTTCCAGCCTGTACACGGAATGAGATACTCGACTATAATAATCGTTTGGCGAGATTTGGTGCGGAAGTGGCCGACCGCAAGAAGCCCTCGCCATTTACCTTCGAGGTTTGGGAATTCATGCAGGAGGCCAAAAAAGCGTGCAAATCAGAGGCTCTGGATGGCATAGACTATTCGAAAATACCACTGGCTTTGGAGGAGGGCTTCGAGTATCGCGAGGACTATAAGTTCAATAACGACGAACATGAAATGGATGAGTAAGTTGAGCAGAAAACAAGACATTTGAGAATATCATTATCTAATTCTATATTTCTCTGCCAAGCAGCAGCCGCACACCACCTCAGGATGTCTGTGATGTGGACATTAAAGAGGAAGAAATGAACGAGACCTTCAATGAAACCTTCAACAATACCTTCAACAATACTGAGCCGCATCTTAATGGAGAACGTCTCAGTGCGTCGCCCAATCACAGTCGCAATGGACTACAGGATGCTGAAAGTCCCGCTGCCCTGGCCAATGTGACGCTCGATAGCGGAGGCGCCTTTTTGCCGCCCACCCCAGACATGTCCGGCTTTCAGACCGGCTTTAATATGAACAACATATCCGCCACTTTGGAGGCGCTCAATGCCTTGCGCACCGGCCAGTTCCCCAGCGCGGCGGCTGCGGCCGTAGCCATACAACAGCATCAGGCTCAGGCGGTTGCTCTGCAGCAGCAACAACATCAGCAGCAGAATAACAATAACAATGAGGAGGACGATGATGTGGCCAAGCCATTGGCCAAAAGGCAACGCACCAACAGCAGCAGTAATTTGTTAAATGATGAGCAGCAAGAGGCATTGCCAGCAGTTGCCCAGCCCCAAGTGGAGCCCAGCAATGCACTGGAACGTGCCAGCAGCTCGACGCCGAGCAGCAACTTTGAGATGCGCCTTTTTATGGAGATGCAGAGCAAGGAGCATATGATGCGCATGAAAATCCTGGAGGTGCAGTTGCAAGCCGCCAAGCATAGTCGCGATCTGGTGGAGATTAACAAGACGTTGGCGCTGCAGAGACTGCAGGAGATTGCGAGCAAGCGGCTGCCCAGCTAAAAAGTGCGCCACTCGATTTATGTTTATTTTACTGAATTGTGTTTTTATGTTGTTTTTAGTTATAGGCGCTGCATTTTTGGATGCAGATGCGCGCAGAACGTAGGGCTTAGTTATTATAAGCTTCAAATGTATACACATCTAGAGACATATGGACAGAGCTACACACACATACACACACAAACAGACACACACGCATACACAACATTCCTGGCATTGTTGATGACAACCAGTATTTAAACGCTAGAAGCAAACCTGCCTCACACGCACTTGAACACACAGACAAACACACACACACACACACATATACCAACAGGTGAACCACAAACAGCGCTCATAAGTATGCCATATTATTTTTACTTACGGCCCTTGCATCCAGCCTACCTCACACACACACAGACAAACTCGTTTTCATATTGGTCGGGCTTTGTTTTGACTAAGTCAACGACAAATGACGCCCCCACCCGCATTCAAGTTTAGTTTTAGTCTCGTAACCTGCTCCAAGTTGCTCAAAAAACGAAACTACTACTTATATAACAAAAACAAAACAAAACAAAAAAAACCGTACACAACTACCATGAATGTATTGTATTTTTTTATTGTATGTACTTATGACTTCAGTTCGGCGTTCAGTTACTAACGTAATATGCACAAAACAAAACACACACATGAAAGAAAACTTTCTAGTTCTTAAGTTATTTGTACTTCAAATAGTGCATATATTTTATATATGTATGTTTGTTCATTGAAACGATGACGCCCTTTTCAGGCAGTCTATTTATTTTAATTCTTATATAGCTATTATGTTGATAAATGAGTTTGTTTAAATGCCATATTAATTGCGAGTACACATTTTAATCATTTTATTTCGTATTTCAAAAATTTGATTAGCTCTTGAATGCGCTGTAACAAAACTTTCTCCAAAACTCTTCAACAAATTTCTAAGTTTGCGTCAGTTGTGGAACGCTTCCTGTAAATTAGCAAACATGTAAATGATAAATACAAATTATTTTAAATAAAAACAACAAAATCATTTGAAAATAACTTCAAGTAACTACGAGTATTTACTAACACTTTATGGATGCTCCATTTTTTGGGTTTTCATCGAATTCCTTCAGTTTCTTCTCGGCTGCTTTCAAATGTTTTTGATTGTTCCGTAGCATTTCATCAACATATAGCGATTGTTTCTCCACCTTCTCTAAGACCATCGCAAGCAGCTTCCGCTTCTATGGATATAATGGTTTATTTTAAAATTGATTACAATATGCCACTACCTGGCTAACCTTCAGCAATGCATCAAAATCCTTGGACCAGAAAGCTATATCCTAAGAGTGAGAAAAAAATAATATCTATTGCATTTAACGGAATGACTACCTTTCTATTTTCTGTTCGCTCTTTATCGGAAAGCTGACGCCGCTGTGCCAATTGCATAGTATAAGGTTTCGAATAATCGGATTTGGCGGATCTTTTCCAAAAAACACATCGTCCCTGGCAAATTAAAGTGCTCCACATGTTACAAATTCATATATTTGCAGACAATTTTTGAGATAAAGCCTAAATACAAGTATTTGAAAAATTTTGACACTAGCTTCATAGAGCTTATGGAAATGTTTACCTTTAATCGTAATTAAGTATGTCGGCAAATCTACATTTTGTAAATTATGGAAACGGCCCTAAAACGATTCATAGATAACAGTCAGTGAAATTATTAGGTGATAAAAGTGATTAAAAGTGAAAAAAGAAAATGCAAGAAACCGGAAGCGAAAGAAACGCTAGAGCTCTGCCTATACCATAAGCGCCGAAAGTCTTCTTCCAAGCACTGCTGACGTTTGCAAACCACAAAGCCATCACAACCGGAAAAAAAGTAATTCTAAAATGGTTTAAAGGATGCTTTATTGCCTAAAAGCTAACATTAAAGTTGCTGTTGAGGAAGCACTCCACATTGTTGCTACTCAGTCGAACACAGATTTATTTAAAAAAAAAGTCAACAAAAGTATTTAACAATGAATTTAATAATGTTCTTCAGATTATTATTAATTTGTACTATCATATTGGCCAAAATGATTTGAAATATTAGTAATCGACTGATTTTAGTCCAGTTGCTTGCTATTTTTTTTGGTTTGGTTTTTCACTTGTTTGTCTTCTTCCCTCTTTTCTAATTCAATTTTTTCAATTTTCTGCTCTAGTTTCTTCATTTGCTTTCCCAGATTTTCCCGTTGCTTGAGTATTTTTCGCCGAAGCTGCTTTAGTTGATCACGTTGCTGCTTAAAATACAGATAACTATATTTTAATGAATTGCACTTTAAAATTTCTAGTATATAAGTATTTACAAACCATTTTTAAAAAGTGAACATTTTCTTCTGCCAGACCCTTGTCGCGTATTTTGTCTCCATAGCATCTATAACTCAGCACTGATCAGTACTGTTAGGCTGAGACTTTGATAAGACATAACTTACCGGAATATTGGTAGAAGATATAATTTACTTGGCCGAATATTTTTACAATTTCTTAAGACAGAAATAGAAGTTTGCATTGCGGTTTAAATTTTGAATTCTATAATCCTATTTAAAGAGAAGAAACGGACAATTTTGTTTTTTAATATTGAAGGCAGATGTCAGGCCAAGTTGATTGTAGACAATATTTAGAAAATCATTTCGTTGTAATACGTATAGCTGTAGCGAACTAAACGATAAGTACATGATTCCAATGAAACGTACTTAATATATGTACTATAAGCTTGTTTAATTACAAAACGATACGAGCCCGATAACTAATATTATATTACGTCATTTTCCATTTTTGAATTGGTGGGGAAGTGAAGATTTACAAGCCGTATTATGTTTGTCAGTTTTCACGTTTCGTATTTTTCATCTTAATGCTTTCGATTTCCCCGTCCAGTATATTCATTCTCTTTCGAATGGCCTCCTTCTCCTTGATAAGTTTGGTTCGAAGACTACTTAGTTGCTCACGTTGCTGCGATAGACGGAATTGGTAAGACCAATTATTACAAGAAACTAGGTTAGTATTCACCTTTTTCAAAAAGTGCACATTTTCTTCCGCTCTGCCTTTCTCGTAAATCTTGTCCAAGTAGCGACTAGATATTGTTAGGATATGGGCATTTGTGTCGGCATAAATCGAAAAATGTAAATGAACTTACTTGATGCAATAATGATAGGCCAGCTGACGTGGTTGCAATAATTTCAGATTTTGAAATATAAAGACTGTGAATTTTTGCATTTTTTCGATAATGTGGAATTTAGCCAATAGAGAAGAGAAATAAGTGTGTAATAAAGTCTAGATTTGGAAGTGCAATGATAAATTATATACTTTTAATTTTATGAAGGTGACAACTAAAGAAATGCTTTAACTATTATTCAAAAAACACTTTATGATTTTTTTAGCCAAATTTTTTATTTAATTTAATTAACATTACATGACATATTCTTATGCGTACATAGTTTTCGGCTGGCCTGGCACTCTAATAGGCGAATCATAGTAGAAGGGACGAGGCTGTGGTTGCGGTCTAAACGGATTGTTGCCTCCAGGTGCTTGCAGCGGGCCGCTGTGACGGGAAGCCAGTGAGACGGGCAGATTGCCAATGACTGCGCACAGAACAAGTAGAAAACAGCAAAGCGTGTAGAAGTTCATGTTGTTCCAGGTTTGAGATTTATATTTCATTTAATAAAATATAATGCAATGCTCAAGTCTTTTATAGATTGTAGCCCTCTCGCGACAGCAGTTCGCACGCAGATGTGAATCACTTTGTGTGATTTTTTTGTGTTGATAAGCTCAAGAAAAGTACCGAGCAGCTCTCAATATATAGCTAGTCCCATTTCGCTCTCGGGGCTTATTTGTTGGAGACGATTGCGTTTTGCTTGGCCTTGTTTTCCACTTTCGGGTTCAATTTCTCTTGCAGTCTGATATCGAACTCTATACGTTTTATGCAACGCGTCAATTCTGTGAGTTGAACCTCAATGTTTCGCTGCTGTACCCACAAAGTTCCGCAGCGTGTTGCCAACTGGTCGCGTTCCTATCGGGGAATAGTTATTAATTTCAGAAATGAATAATCCGTGCATATTGCAGCTTACCGCCTGCAAAAGTTCCAGCTTAGTAGGCTGTAACTCGCCGACACTATTTCTGACCATCATGGCCCTGCATAGCGTTCAATATTGTGTTAAAAAACCTCTTAGCTACTGTAGTTAATACTTACCAGAACGGTAAAAATTTTGCCTGATTCAGAAAATTGCGTATGATTTGTGCCATCGTTGGGCTCCCCCTCTAAAATGAAACTGTATATGTACAAGATTTTGTTGTGGACGAAAAATAAATAAAATGTTTCTAGAACAGCCAAATATTGTAAAGCTTAGTTCAACATTTAAGGAAATGCCTATTCATTTCTAACTAAAGGTCATTAATTATTGGACTTAACTGTCACACAAAAATTGTTTGATTTGGGAATAATCACAGGGTGCGCCATGCTAGCATTATCTGGGATGCGACATTGTAGCCTACTTTTGGGCTTGCATAATAAATAGTTATATTCGGTTGAGAAAAATTGTGCGCCATTATAAGTATTGATGCAATTCTGTTGACTTGTTTGCATTATCTGAGACATCAGACATTGGGGCATGTTGATTATATTTTATACCTTCATTGCAATTGAAGTCTGACAAAGAGTGGTCTTTTTAAAACTTCTGGTATCTGATTAAGTAATTACTCAAGTGTTATTGTTTGTTTATTAAAACGAGAAATTAGGTCAAGAGAAACATAAGAAGCAGAAACGATCACAAGTTAAAAGCGCTTAAAAATCTATAAATTTGTTATTAAAATTAATTAAATGCTTAATATTGGAGTATTGGTGAATCGGTAAGAAGAGAATAAGCGTTAAGCGTTAAGTATACGCCGATGTTATTTTTTTATTACATATTTTTATTATTATGCTATACCTAAGACAATGGGAACTGATGAAGTGAAAAAGAAATCGACCCTTTTTTCGATTATAAAACAGTGCTTCTTATTTCCAAATACAAGTATGATGTTTTTGCTCACCTTTTATATGCAAAAACCTGCTGACGGGCCCACCAAGCGTCAGCAGCTAATTAGTAAATGAGCATTTAATGAAAGCTGCTTTCCATTTTTATCTTGAAACATATTTTTTGAATAATTTGATACAGATCGCAAGGCATCGGAATGAAAGTGAGTTTAGCTACATTTCTGCATATCGCATATATTTTAATAGATAATAATTGGTTGTTTCGCAACTACAAGTACCTTACCTTTCCGCTTGCCTTGTGCCTGCAATAATAATATACTATTATTATTATATATATGAAGTAGCGCATCAGTTGAATATTAAAAGAAGAAAAACGGGGTATATATGTATGTAAGAGCAAAAGCTAATTACAAATTGGCACAGCTGCATAGTATATTATCTTTAATAGTGTATATATTTGTAAAGAACAAATGTCATTATTGGATATTATTTGTTTTCAATTTGCCTTTGCTTTGTCCACAACAAATGCTGCGTCACATAAAAATCCCCATTGCCAAAGGCACAAAAACGGCAGCAACAAATTATTTTAAATAAATTTAGCACGCACACGAAAAATTGATTTGTTGGTCCAAAACGTCAAAAAGCTAGACACAATGCAAATTACGCCAGGTATCCATAAAATAAATGCCACTGAGAGCAAGAAGGAAACAGCAATGTAAAAAGTTTAACAAAAAAACCGGCGCTTTGAAGTATGTTCGAGTGTTGTGAAAAGGGCGTCGTTGGGGGAGAGGCACATCAGGCAGCCACATCATCTTCCCCATTGACAGCGGATGAAGCGTCGCTTGCCGCTGCTAAACCTGTTGACTTGGTTCGTGCCGCTTCTGAACCCGTTTTAGTTGTTAGTTGACAGCCCGCGTGTAAAGTGCGGCGACTTTAAAGGTGCTAAGTCAAGTGGCAGGAGCAACGAATTGTTCAAGGATCAATTTCCATAAATAAAAAAACAAATACGAGCAGGGAAAGTAAGTTTATAAACAAAAAGAAATTCAATTAAAATAAAAGTGTTTATTACCGTAAATACTTCATTAAACTATGAATTACTTATACTATATACTACACCAACTAAACAACGCCTGTCCGAAATGGGGGCCTTGCTCTTGAATGAAAAGTTATCAATTTAAAATACACACCGCCTAACAAATGTTTTCAAAGTCATCCGCTTATCAAGCACCAACGCAGCTGAGCTACAAAAATGTTGTTTTTTAAATAAACCCAAGTTCGACAATTCGGCAAGCATCGACAGTGAAAATCTAACACCGAAACATTTGTTCGCAGCACCCACAACGGACACCATCAAGATGCTGAAGCAGGCACAGTTGTTGTTGTTGGCGCTCCTTGCCATCGCCAGCAGAAATATCCAAGCAACCCATGGCAACAATCGACCCCCAATGCGAATGCCGCCGCGAGGGCCTGGTCGGCAGGTGCGGGTCGTGGAAGGCGTCTCCGAATGGAGGCAATTGGAATTTGGTTTTCCCACCGAAGAGGATCGTCGTCGAGCCCAAGAGGCGGGCAATTTCATACCCGAGAATGGTACACCCATCGATGTACAGCCTCAGTATTTGCCTAACCAAGGGCTGCGCGTCTTCACCACCATACCCAGATTTGTGAATGGCATACCCTACACCCTGGCGACCGTAACTTCACAGAGGGGCAGCAATGGACCGCTGATCCAAGCTTATCCCAACTATAACATGCACAATGGGAATGGCGAGAACTGCGACCAAATAACCTCCGCCTTCCGCGTGGCTGTGAGTTATTAAATCCTTGGGTCTGAGCCTTGGGCGAACAACTTATTCTGTTCTTTCCCACCAGATAACGGAGTGTAATCAGATGTGGGTCCTAGATACGGGCCTGATTGGAGATCTGCAGTATTGCCCTCCTCAGCTGCTGCTCTTCAATCTGGCCGATGATAGCTTGGTTCATCGCTACCGCTTCCCCAACAACACTTATATGCCAGCTGCTTCGCTTTTCATTACGCCCAACGTGCTTGTGATGGACCCTCCACCACAGGGCAGATGCGCTCGTACCATGATCTATGTGGCCGATGTTAGCTATCATGGCCTGGTCATCTACGATGCTAGAGCGGACACAGCTTGGCGGGCCGAGCATCGTTTTATGTATCCCGATCCCAACCACGGAGTCCACACAATTGCCGGAGAAAGTTTTGTGCTAATGGACGGCATGTTCTCTGTAAACAACGATAAGCGCAATCTCTACTTCCATCCGCTGGCCAGCACCAGTGAATATTCCGTTCCTCTGAATGTGCTCAACAATCAGACCAACTGGGCTAATGGCGTGCACGCTATGGACGATCAGTTTGTGCTGCTGGGTCGACGCAAGAGCGAGTGTGCCGCCTCTGCTATGGATAGTTTCAATAATTTGTATTGCGTCTCCTTCAATCCCATCAAGCTGTTCGTCTGGAATGTAAATACCCCATACAATCTACGTAACTTTGGCAATTTGCCCGCAAAGTCGGATGAGCTGCAGTTTGTGAGTGGCATGAAGGTGGTGCGAAATTCGGCGGGCCAGGAGGAGCTATGGCTTTTGTCCAACCGTTTCCAGGTTAGTTTCCATCCAGACCACCTTTGATAGTGGACTAAAAATCTTCCTTTATAGAAAATATCCAGAGGCACTATAAATGCCAACGAGGTGAACTTCCGAATTTTGAAACGCCCCCTCGACGATGTTCAGAATGGAGTATTCTTTTCCAGTGACGATGACTTAAGCAATCGTCTCGTGTTTACTTAGTTTTTACATTTTCAGAATTATTTATTTACATAGCTATGCACAATAAAAATATTTACAACATATTTGCTTTTATCACAATAATTGAAAGATAACAAATCGAAAAGTAAAACTTTCCATACCATAGTATTATTTTTGTAAAAATAAAAAACATTTCTTTATTATAAGGTTAATTTGAGGAGACAATCTTGCAAATAAGGCGTTGGTTTAATTTCTTCCCTAGTTGGCAATATTAAAGGGGTTCTAAAAAGGGTGCAAATTAATTTTAGTTAGTTTTACAAAATTCCTGTGAATTTCAGTAGAACAAGATTGCAAGATTACTTCTTGGTAGTTAATTAAAAATGATGCCGATTTGTTTTACGGCTTTTGTTTAAAGTTCCAAGCTCCAAGCATCAGAACATTAAACATTTAAGACGCTACCACAAATATGTAGAAAGATCGCGTCGATAAATGGAAGAAATCAACACAAATGCTAGAAAATAAGATTAATTAGATAATTACGCGATGGGCAGGGATTTTTTTTGTTTTTGCAGAATAGAAAGATAGCACGCGATCGTTTAATGGTCTTGGCTTTGGGACAACCTAAAAGCAGCATTTGATGATAATTACGCATAATAAACAAAAACTATAATTAGTTAGATTGAGTGTATAAACTTGGAGTCTTCATTGCGTTGCCAAACTCTCGTAAACACTCTGTATTTGTATGACGAACATTCTTAAAATACTGTCGAATGGGCGAAAAGTGATGGAATCGGCACAAATCCATCAAAAACCGGTCTACCTAATTACTACGAAATATAAAATTTTACCACTCCACCCAAACATGATGGTACTAGCTTAATCTTTAGACAGAAGGCAGGTGTCTAAGCTCAGAAAACGCTATAATAACGCTGTTCATTTGCAAGAACCGAAGGGAGTGTTAGTCCAATATCCCTATTCTCATACTGCAAAAATACGATATCTGGCAAACCAAAAGTTCTGTCTTCATTAAACAGTCTACCCTTCCCACTGTAGTGTGTTTTAAAGTGGGGCTATACGCTATTAGGATAGCACTACTGAGACTTAGAGGCCTCCTTTTCACCAGATTTAGCACACAATGACAACAGCAGATGATGCAAAGACGAAGGAGAAGAAAAGTAGTCTAATCTAACCATCTTAAATACACGAAAAGAGGTAAAATCGTTATTAAAATCAAGCTCTGGTGTTAGCAGACAACAATCAGCCTAAAAAAAGTATAAAAAGAATATTTATTTTAAACGACTTTTTATTTTAAGTAAATAGTAGGCGCAAACAATGAACAATTCAATGCAGGTGTGTAAATAAACGATTCAAAATTTGTACACTGCTTTTGCAATTCGTGTGTTATAATCTGGCAATACAAAATATATAGTATATAGAGAGAACTTTACAAGTAGATCGGAAATGCATCGTTTTTAAGTTCACATTCAGCTGTTTCGTTTGTGTAGCAAGCTTTATTTTCCATCGTCTACTTGTTCAGGTTTTCAAGGAAGCTCTTGTGACGTTGTATGGCCTCCTCGTGCTCCTTGATTTGCTGAGCATGGAATTCTGCCTGATGGATTTGATCGTTCTTCAAACGTTCCAATTGTTCGCGTTGCTGAAAGAATATAGAACAGAATAATATCGAAAATGTTATTGATTGTACTATACAGATTAGGTGTTTATAGATAAGAGCCCAGTTATGTTTGATTAATAATAAGTTTCTTACGAGACAGAACGTTTAAAGTATTGCAAAAATATTTTGATACCACTTCTTTTTTTTATAGAAAGAAAGTTGATTTGAAACTAATTAAACTTTTATTGATTTGTCAGAAGAAACCGAACAAGTTGCTAGCAATCCATTATGCTCCTTAGAATTGAAGAAAGCTCACAAAAAAATCCACAGCTGATAATGAAATGGAAAATTTCATTGTTAAACTCGTATTTCCGAAGAGTACATTCATCTGGATTTAATTTTAAAACCGTTTGAATTATAGGCTGTTGGGGATGAAACAACTGCCGCATCATCTTCCTCATCGGCAACAGACCCCAATCTGATAAACCAGTTGAATCAACGTACGACGGTTGTCAATTTCGATTGCTAATCATGATCAAGTTTATTTGTTTACCAACCGGGAACGAATATGTATTTCAACCACTGTTTAGCACTTTAAAGAACTACCGGACAGAATTGCAATGAAGCGGCAATAAATTGCGAACGTTCCATTTAGCCAAACAAGAAAATGCCCCACGTGAACTGTCAACTCAATGCCACTAAAAACTAACTGCAAAACAACTAAGTAGAGCTCAATAGTTTAACACACGATCAACAATTCGGGCCGTGCTCTCTTTGCAAAATATTTATCATTTCTGCAAATAATGTGTGTGTATGCCAAGACCCACGTACACTAAGTGGCCGCTTATAAAAGTTTTGGTATGTGGGGCCAAGAAGCGTAAATCTCAAAGACCCGCTTTAGAGTGAAGACTAGACCTTCCATGATGGCATTTTGGCCACAATATCGACTATTCGCACTCTTATTGGTAATTCACACGGGCAGCCAGATATACACTCATGCAAGTCATAGCAGCAACAGAATTCGCAGCATCCAGACTGTCACGCAATGGAATCAATTGGAATACGCATTTCCCACGGCTCAGGACGTTATCAATGCCCTGACCACGGGTGAATTATTACCCGATAATGGAACACCCATTGATGTGCAGCCGCAATACTTGCCAAATGGTCTAGTGAGAATATTTACGAGCATACCCAGATTTTTGGGTGGCATACCCTTCACGCTGGCCACTGTGTCGTCCAAGTTTGGCGATAATGGGCCGCTACTACAGCCATATCCAAGCTTGGACTGGCATAATAAGAATGGGGAGAATTGCGATCAAATAACCTCAGCATTTCGTGTGACCGTAAGTTGAAATGCAACTTGATTCCCCCACTTGATTTGTTTAAATATTAACTAAGAATTCTTTTCTCCTGCACAGATTAACGAGTGCAATCAAATGTGGGTTCTCGATTCAGGCGTCATAGGTAGAGATCAAGTTTGTCCACCCCAGCTGCTTCTTTTTAATCTGGGGGACGATCGTTTATTGCACCGCTTCCGTTTCCCCAACACCACATACGTTCCCGGCGGCTCGCTCCTCATCGCGCCAAGCCTGCTCGTAAGAGACCCGCCACCGCATGGGCAATGTGAGCATACAATGATATACATAGCCGATGTGAGCAATCATGGTCTGGTTATTTATGATCAATACGAGGATGTGGCCTGGCGAGCGGAGCATCGTTTCATGTATCCCGATCCAGACTATGGTCTTCACACAATTGCCGGAGAGAGCTTCACTCTGATGGACGGCATCTTCACGGTTAACAATGATAAGCGTAATCTGTACTTCCATCCACTGGCCAGCAGAAGCGAATACTCTGTGCCATTGAGCGTGCTTAACAACGCCAGTCATTGGGTCGGTAGTGTCGATGCCATGCAAGATCAGTTCGTACAAATCGGAAAACGCAACAGCGAATGCACCGCCTCCGCTATGGATAGCCGCTACAATCTCTACTGCGTTACCTTAAATCCCGTCGAGCTGATTGTGTGGAATGTGAACACGCGTTACAATCCAAGAAATTTCGCCGTTTTGCCTGCCAATCCCAAAGACTTGCAGTTTGTGAGCGGCATGAAGGTGGTACGTAATGCTGAGGGACATGAGGAGCTCTGGCTATTTTCTAATCGATTCCAGGTACATAATAATACTAAGTACTTATGAAGTGATTACGTTACTGAACTTTTCTTATATCTCTATTAGAAGGTGGCGGCGGGCACTCTAACTGCCGAAGAGGTCAACTTTCGCATTTTGCGACGTCAGCTCGATGATGTGCAGAGTGGAGCATTCTTTCCACATTACGATATAGACTACGACGATTATGGGAATCGTCTATAGTATGCCTAAGGTTATATTTTCTAATTGATTAAACATAGTCATTAAATAGAATACACACAATATTTTCGGCTGTCATGCACGCGGCTTATCAAGGCAAAGTTCACTCTTCGTGTTATCAGTATGGGCCGGACAATGTCGAAAATATGCCAAACATGGCGCTATAGAGATCCACTGTGGATCCACTTCGTTATTATTGTTATTGTATGTGTTGTTGCTAGCTGTATGCACGCACGACTTAAGAGCAACAGGTTTCCAGATCTTCAAAACTGGATCGACCTCAAAATGAAATTGTTGTGGGTAAACAACTACCTGTTGCTCTGATAGTGTATGCTGAATAGGCCATTGAACTATAACGTGGTATTACATCCATATTTGCAAATGTTGTCGTCACCGTACAGTGGGCAAGACCTATTGGTATCTGTACTAAATCGCGTTTAAAAGACTTGTTTCAAAGAAAGCGAATTTATGAACGCTGAGTGCAAGGCAATTTGAAATCTACTTTAAAACGACCTAATTACTTAAGATAGCATAAATACTCTTAGAATTGTCATGTTTTCTCTCCATTAGCCAATTTTTCGGAACGACAAAATACTTCTTAACCAAAACAGACTAATTTATTTAAGAGTCTACTTGTTAATTTTTGCTACATTTTATATGCAAAGGAAATCAAGACATTAATCCGTGAACACAATTTTTCACGCGCTCACCTTTAATGCAAGCTGTAATTGAGTTCTGATTTGTAGACACTTTGTGCCAATGTGCACCAATTTAACACGTTCCCCTCTTGGACGCGCCCAGCAATTGGAGCTGACAGACTTAGTGGCTGATAGACGAAATGGCATGGAGGGGGTCTGGTGGGGATAATGGGCCAGCTTGCAACTCGTTTTTAATGTGCACAAACAGTATTTCAATGCAAAATGTTTTGTGTGTGATTAAACCAGTTACAAAAGTTGACACGATTACGCGGCGAATTGGTCGACGGATTAGAAAGACACGAGCCAGTTGATTGCTGCGCATGCGCAGTCGCACTTTGTGTCTGAAGTGGAGCAGACGGAACAAACGAAAGTGAAAGGAATTGGCCAACAAGGGCAACATAAGGAAACAACATGTATTTTTACAAATGTTTGCTAATCCTCGCAGTTGTGAGTGCATCGTGTGCTCAGATTAGGCTTGAGGATGCATCAAATATACACTTGGGTCTGGAGAGCGTTTTTCAAGCACAAAATTTGGAACTGGGCTTCCCCACGCACCAGGAACGCGAGCGTGCTCTGCGTGAAGGTCTATATAATCCAGACAGCGTAATTCCCATCGATGTGGATGTGTACTATAAACGTTAGTATGACTTATATTTATTTGCTGCATTGTTGTTACAACAATATTGCAGTTAGCTGTTGAGAAATTTTCAGAAAGAGATTTCCCTTTTGCAGATGGCGACAAGACACCTAGCATTTTTGTGACCATACCGCGTTTCGGCAAGGGCGTGCCCTATTCCCTTGCCTATGTCACTAATGAAGCGAAGCCCAATGGAACCGAATTGATGGCATATCCCAGCTACGATTGGCACAAAACTCACGGAGCCGATTGCAATGGCCTGACTTCAGTTTATCGCACCCAAATTGATGAATGCGGACGGATGTGGATCTTGGACAGTGGTGAGATTGATTTTGTGCAGCACTGCGCTCCACAGATTTATGCTATCGACTTAGAGAGCGGCAAGGTCGTCCACCATTACCGCATGCCGCAGCGTTTGTATAAAGTGGGTGTTAGCCGGTTCGTCACGCCCACAATCGATCTAGACGCCCATAATTGTGACGTGGGCTTTGTCTATATGGCCGACTCAATTGGCGATGGTATTGTAGTCTACGATGTTGCCAAGCAGCAGTCGTGGCGCATCGAAAACAAATACACCTTCCCGCATCCAGATTTTGGCACTTTTACCATAGCTGGAGAGAGTTTTCAGCTTTGGGATGGTACGGTTGCATTGACCCTGACGCCCCATGCTTTGGGTACCAGACGAATGCTATATTTCCATTCGTTGTCAAGTGACTGGCAAATAGCGATTCCATTACAGGTAGTGAACAATGCCAGCAACTGGAAGCTGAACGATGTCAGCGCTGCATTGGACCAGTTTAGAGTACTGGGCAAGCGGGGCAGCCAGTGTGTGGCCGCTGCCATGAGTGAAACCGGCACACTTCTCTGCGGGCTCGTGCAACCAAGCAGCATTCTAGGCTGGAACATAGCGACGCCTTATAAACAGGAAAATTTAGTCATGCTGGTCGAGGACGAGGAGCGGCTACAGTTTGTGAGCGGCCTCAAAATTGTTCGCAATCACGAGGGCAAAGAGGAATTGTGGGTGCTATCCAATCGACTGCAAAAGGCTTTTGGAGCCGGTCTAAACTTTAAAGAAACCAATTATCGCATTCAGAAGTGCGGCGTACACGAATTGCTGAGCGGAAAAGCTTGCTATTGATGCCCTATGTTTACGCTAGTTCAATAAACACAAAAATATCTTTAATTGTAAATAAATTATCAAAATGATTCACCTTGTTGTAGAAGTACTCCTCCTCGCGGGCGGCTTCCAGCTTACCAAAAGCGCCACCAGCCGCACGAATTGAGCCACCGCCGCCACCACCCTTACCGGCGCCACTTCCCAAGTCGCCGACTTGGCTGCTGCTCATCTTAGCTAATCTAAAAGAGAGAGATTGTATTTAAAAAAAAAAGAAAAACTCCATGGGCATACACTTTAGCATTTGTTACGTAATAACAAAGACTCAAGAAACACACACACACACACGCAAAGACACCCGCTGTGCGCGGTCAAAACTAAAAGCAATACGAATAAGAAATGTTTATCTTATCGGAAATAGAAGAAAGTTGAGCACCTCAGCAGTCAATGGTATACATATTTTATAAGTAGCTTAGATACAATTTTTAAATGTGTGTATGACTGGTGGTGCCGGTGCCGGTGGCGGAATCGAGATTCATAAATTAGCATGCAATTGGGAAAAATATTTTGCAATTCAAGAAACTTACTGCAATCCACTTGGATACAAACGAGCTGCGCTACGACGGATAACAAACATTGTTGTTTATGTTTCGAGTATTTGGTTAAATCTGCAATAATTGGAAAATATAATTAATACGACACAAGACGGCAGGCAGCCACAAAAATAGGTGCATTAAACTTTCACAAAAGAGGCGAAATAAAAAACGTAAAGCGCAATAGCAGATTTACACTTGAATATAAATGTACTTATACGTATTTACGTGTAGGTGAACAAAGCGCACAAAACAAATATATATGTTTTTTGTTGTTTATTTAAAAGCGCAAAAAATTTAAGAATTATACATATGTATCTACTTATACACACATATGGAGTATATAGCTACCGTTGCCTCAACGAAAAATACCTTACTTCACGACGAACAAAACTTCTATGAGCCGGTCTGCCCGGTCGAGCGCCATTAGCCATGGTATTCGATGCATCGTATAAGATATCGATATTTTCAATCGATATTTAATACATCACTAATGCCACTTGTGCGTTGCACTGGTCACCCCAATTTCGGATTTGTCGACGCTGTTTGCCGCAGCTGCAGCTATTTTATTTAAATTTAATTATTAGAGAACATTAAAAAAGTGTAGAATTAGTAATTGGACTGAACATCACTTTATATCTGGAATATCGGTGTACAGTACATGAGAAAATGACCGAAGCCGACGACGGAGCGGAGTTGGTGTTCTTCGATACCTTCTCGCACGAAGAAGTTACTGTAAGTCCCATAAAAGCATAGAAAATTGTGAATTTTTTTCATTTTCAATTTGTGGTGGCGTAGGACATCAATTTGGACTTAGTGCAGTTCCCAAAGCCGGTGTTTATTACGCAAGTGAGAATAATACCATTGGGCGCACGTGTGCAGGCCGACTTCCCAGGCGGCGTCCGCCTGGGCGCCACGAATCCCTCGAAATTCGACCTGGAATTTTTCGTTAACGACCTGGGCATGCCAGGTGCATCAGCATTTGAAAACCTTGGAGTGCTGCGCTATAATCAAAACGACTGCATTCATTTGGATTGTTCCCAAGAAAAGATTCCCACAGATGGCCTGGTGTTGCGAGGCTGGTATAGCACAATTACACTGGCTGTGTACGGCATACTAACCAATTCTGTGACTGAGCCCATAGCTAGTCCAACGTTGCCATGTGAGCCGGCAGCACCAGAGATGTGCAATCTAAGTGGCGAGACCCGCCAAGTGCTTTTAGAAGACGAGGTCCTCAAGGACGAGTGGTCAGAGCCGATGGCTACTGAACTATTGGCTCACAAGACAAGTGTCAGTGACTATGAACATGACGACATAGAATATGGCATCCCACGAGAGCATTATCATCAGCACGCAGAGGATGACCAACGTGATATTCGCCGCCTGCGTCGCTCTACTCATTCGACAGATCATTCGCCGCCACCTGCGCGCACACACTCTCATTCAGAGAGCAATGAAAGAGAATACTTGCGATGGTAAAATATTTACTTTACTTACGAAGATTATTAAAATTATTTGCAACTTGTTTAATTTGTAGCCCGCGCGATAAAGCACGGGATTGGTCACGTTCGCCAGAGTACTCTAGTCGACGCTCCCGTCGGAAACGCTCTGAGCGTTCGCGTTCTGATGCCGAAGATCACAAATGGCCACGTACACCCCCAGCTTCCATAGATTCCCCTACTCGTCCACGGTCGCCCGACACCATGGAGTACGATGACGAAGACACGCGTTCGCATTATAAAATGCAAACCTCACATGTCTACCGCCACTCTTCGGAGTCCCTGCACCGCGAAGATGAGGAGCGATCGGGCACACCACAAGAACAGTTTGAACCCATCTTGAGTGATGATGAAATCATTGGAGATGATGAGGAAGAAGACGATACAGAAGATGCGGCTGCTGCAGCAGAGTATGAACGTGAACTGGAGGCAGCTGCCGCAACCGCGCCTCCAGCTATAGACGCTTTTGAGCCCTGGCAGCGACCACTTCTTGTCTACAAGTGTGACTTGCATGCACATTATAAAAAGGAATTAGACAATTTACGGCTCCAATTCAAGAAGCTGTCGGTACAAACAAAGTGCGAGAATGTGACTGCATTCAATGAGGAGCATGGCGTTACAGTCGACGAACGCGAACAATTTGTCTACCTCGGCGAGCAACTGAACAATCAACTGGGCTACCTAACGCTGCACTATAAGCGTCGAAATTATGTGCTGGATCAATTCTTTAAGAACGATGATTTGCATTTGCGCCAAGCAGCCAATATCTTGAAAATTGCACTGAGCTTCCAAGCGGCCTGCATGCAGCCACAGCCTGCTTTTAAGATTCGTCATATCAAGCTGGGGGCCCGTATGGCAGAACTCCTATGCAACAATGTCCTCTTGTTCCAGCATCTGCTGAAGGAGCACAACTTTGATGCTTTCGAAGCTGTCTTTAAGCTCTATCATGAACCTTACATGGCGCTATCTATCAAACTGCAACTTCTAAAAGCCGTTTATTCAATGCTGGACACTGAGACAGGCATCAAACACTTTTTGAACTCAAAAATAAATGGCTACTCCATGATTATCCAGTCCATTAAAACGGCTAAGCTGACGCGCACTAAATATGCACTGCAGGCGATCATTAAGAAACTACACCTTTACGAGGCACTGAAAACTGTGCGGCTAATCTGCTCCCAACTCTTTTTGTTTACCGAAGAATTGGAATCGGATAAAAAGCCTTTAGCATTTCAGCACATTGAATATGCTTTTGAAATGTTAATGGACGCATTGGCCGCAAATTCTTTGAGTTATCAGCAACCACGTCGATTCTTACCTGTCTCAAAAAAGTTCGAAGTGGTCACGGATCCGAGTGCACAACGCAGCTTTGGCAATGCCCTGCAGTCGTACCTTAAGCAACACTGTTTTGCCGAATCGTTGCTAGTAATTCTTAGCAATTCGAAAGAGCTGCCTCCCACCACTTTTTTGTGTACAATAGATCTTATGCATGTGCTTCTTAGATCACATGTGGGTATCGATTATTTTGTGGACGATGCGTTTGATGTGACACAACTTATTGTGGCTATTTTATTGGGCTTGGATGAGGTTCCAGCTGAGCTTAAAACGGAACTAAAGAAGGAGGAGGAGGAAGAAGGTGTGTAAATAGCTATTTTTTAAAACAACGATTCTATAATATAAATTCTTGCATTACAGGAAAAGAGGAGACCGCGGATAATCCAATGGATACTGCTGAGGAAAAGGAAGCAGGAATTAAAGTTGAGGGTGCTGTCGAAGCTGTTGAAGCACCAAAAGCAGTTGCTCCTGTAATAACTGTGCATACTCCCCAAATGGCTCCACCGAAACCCATCATTCTCCGTCCTGTCTTGCCTCGCTTGGCCAGACTGGGCATTGAATTGGCCTATAAGGTACAGACGCGCTATCACTTGGATGCTATTATTTTTACGGCTGGGTCGCCCGAAAACGATGCCGTCAAGCTAGCTACACATATGCACGCCATTTACTCGCAAACTTGTGATCCGGCTGGTCGTCAACACACCGTCGAAGTGTTGGGTATGAACAATAACCTGAAAATATTCATGGACTTAATCAAAAAGGAGCAACGTCTGCAGACGCAACGACAGCTTATCTCGCCGGGTAACAAATACAAAAGTCCAGTACTCAGCTATGCGGTAGATATGGTCGACTCATGTGTACGCTACTGCGAACAGTTAGACTATCTTATCGAACATGGTGGTGTCATATTGGAGCTGGCCAAAAATCATGAAACTTTCGAGCCCTCTGTCTCGGCTGTGCTGCAGGAAATGTATGTGTATATGAAACCGTTGGAAGCGATTAATGTGTTTGCGTATGATGACATTATGCCTCTGGTTGAGGTTATAGGACGTTCCTTGGATTACCTTACGACATTTCCGGGCGATTTAATAATGGCACTACGCATTTTGCGTTTTCTGGCCACAAGTAAAATACCAGTACCAGGCGTCAAGACACAAAAACGCACGAACACCGAGGAACTGAAACATAGATTTGTCGCTCTCCAACTCTATGCAGCGGACGGCGTACAGCTACTCATCCAGATACTGGAGCGCCTTTGCACATACTTTGAACAACCAGGATTACATGCTCCCGCATTGATGACCATACAGGGCGTGCATTGCAGCCAGATTTTGCTTCCAACGCTGCAAATACTGCGCGAGCTGCTTACCTACGCCATTTTATGTCGCGATGGCAGCTTCAAGGATCTTACAGCGGTCGATCATTTGGTGAAGGTTTACTTTTTACTTTACTATTATCCAACGCGCTGTCAGGCTGGCGCTGAGGTGGAACAATGCAAGCTGGAGGTAGTGCAAACATTATTAGCCTACACACAGCCTCATGAGCAGGACGAAGAGTCGCTGCATAAATCACTTTGGACGCAGATGATACGTGAAGTTCTCAAAAATATAGATGGTCCGGCTAATTTTATACCAGGTATGTGCTATAATTATTGAATTGCGACATAAGTTATGGAAATATATATCCCCATTCTAGGTCTCAAGCTAATGGCCGAGCTGCTCCCATTGCCGTTACCCATGCCACAGCCTTTGGCCGATCAGTTGCAGCAGCAGCACAAGCAACGTTTGATAACAGAGCGCAAACTCTGGTCGGCACATTTGCATCCACAGAGCGGACAAATTGCGAAACTAGTCGAGGCATTAGCCCCATCGAGTTTTCCACAGTTGTCCGAGCTGCTGCAACGCGTTTGCATGCAATTGTCGGATTTGGCTCCAAACATGACACTACTTATTGCTAAAACTATAACCGAGCTGTTATGCAATGAGTATCACAGCTCCAATTGCATACCTACCACCAATTTGGAGCGCTTGTTGCGCTTCTCAACGCGTCTTTGTGCATTTGCGCCGCTTAAAAGCTCAATGCTTTCCATATTGTCTGGCAAATTCTGGGATCTGTTCCAATCGCTGCTGGCTATGAATGAGTTTAATGAGGTGGTCTCAAAGTGTCAAGAGGCAGTCCATCGAATTTTGGACAGCTTTCTGGATTCGGGTATATCATTGATATCGCATAAATCAACGGCTCCAGCGACGCTCAATTTGGCTGCTGCCTTGCCGCCCAAGGAGCTCATACCGCGTATTATAGATGCCGTTTTTAGCAATCTAACGAGCGTGGAAGTCACACACGGCATTTCCATTCTGGCTGTACGTAATTTGGTTATCCTGACTGAGCATGAGTAAGTTCTACTTCCATTTCATATTTTGATGTCTCGGCCTAATTTGACCATTTGCAGCTATACATTTTATCATATGGCGCTATTGCTAAAGCAAAAGATAACGGAATTTCAGGCTTGGATGGAACGCGTCATTCTGCACAACGAGAATGTCGAATATAATGCTAATATTGAATCGCTTATATTGCTGTTGCGTTCATTAACTCAAATCGAACCGCCGCCAATGCTCTCTGCCATGCCCCATCGTACGTTGAAACTGGGCGCTACAGAGCTTGCACAGTTAGTAGAATTTCAAGATATGGAAATTGAAAGGCCACCAGTCCTGACACGCATACTCACAGTGTTGGAGAAGCATAAGGCAGTAGCGAATGAGGCAGCGTTGTGCGATTTAAAACAGCTTATTGCGTTACTGGCATCGAAGCAGGAGCCGGCGAGCACAGAACCTACTGGAGTGGTATCCACGGAGCAGCACATTGAAAGTGAGCCCATCTCTATTGCTGCTAACATCCCAGCTAGCAATCCTGCGCCTCTTAACGTAGAACCATTCCTGCCGCAAGCGGAGGGCATTGTTACCCAATACGAGGCCCGTCCAATATTCACTCGCTTCTGCGCAACCGCCGAAAATGCTCAACTAACTGCCCGCTACTGGCTGGATCCACTACCCATTGAAGTCATCGAGGACATGAATGAGCCGCTGTACGAACGCATTGCCTGTGATTTAACAGATTTGGCAAATGCGTGTCTGAATCCGGATCTTAATCTCACAGGCGACTGTAAGCGTGTACTGCATTTGTCTGGTTCGCCACAATCGAGCCGTGAGTTAACGCCCACAGCGTCCTGCTTCCGCACAAGACGAGTTGAAGTAGAGCCAGCTACAGGTCGGCCGGAGAAGAAAATGTTTATAACTGCGGCCCGAGGCCGGGGATTTGCACGACCACCACCATCACGTGGTGATCTTTTCCGCTCTAGACCGCCAAACACGTCCCGCCCGCCGTCTCTGCATGTAGATGATTTTCTAGCGTTGGAAACATGCGGTGCACAGCCCACCGGACCGACGGGCTACAATAAAATACCCTCAATGTTGCGTGGGTCCCGTGTGGGGCGCAATCGTGGCTCCCGCATCTCAGCGGCCGCAGCCTTTAGGTAAAAATAGAATTATGCTTTATCTGCAAATTCCAGTCTAAACATAGTTTTCATCACTCTATTACAGACAAAAGAAACTGATGCGCATTGGTTCGCCGTCTAGCTGGTCGGAGTCGACAGGCACACCATATCGATCCAGCACCTCTGAATCACATTTTGGCAGCGGGGACTCACATTATGCATCAGTTCCTCACTACAGTAGCCGACCACGTGGGCGCGGACTTCGTTCACGGCCGTCCTATTTGCGATAAAATTAAACACAAATTTATCCAATATAAGAGTTATTGTATATTCTAGTGAGAATATGCATCTACATATGTATAATTTAAGACTCAGTAATAATAGAATGCAAACGGACATCGTGCGCTTCCATGGGCAGCTGTTCATCACTCACAATCTGTTCGTTGAGTGCCAAAGCCATAAAAGTAACCTTTTTTTGTGGGTATTTCTCCGAGTGTTGGCGCAAATAGGTGTCGTAGTAACCTTTTCCATGACCCATGCGAGCCCCACTGCGCGTGAATGCCACGCCAGGCATTATAAACAACTCGATTCCATGTCCTGAAGCAGGTGCTCTCCAATATTGTACAAGGAATTAAATGTAAAATACCGTCAGTACTTACCATTGGTCATTGCATCTTCGCGGCTCTCTTTAAAGTTCGGTTGCTTGATATTCCACTTTGTCAACGGCAAGTCTTCGTACTCTTCCATATTACGCAAACGAACCATTTTCATTTTAGGCCCCTGATAGGTAGGCACAAACACCATCTTCTCCAAGCGAAACATCTCGCATAGCAGCTCGGTCGTGTCCAATTCATTGCTAGTACTGAGATAAATGCTGATGCGTTGGGCGTGGCGGAAAGGTTCACTTTGTAGAACCTATTAGGTATATGTATGTATGAATATTTATATGCAGAAAGATGCATATGTATGTATGATAATATATCAGCCATTATTTGAGACTGTATTTAATAAACTTGCGGAACGAACTTTTTGGGTAACAGCATGGGATTGCTTGGCCACCGAATCTGGTTTTATACTATTGAGCACATCCTTCATTTGCTTCCTGAGCGCCATTTTCAAGCCGCTTTGTATGGTTGTACTTGCCATAGCACTGCTTTTTTACTGATCTATGTACACATGGCAAAACCGGTGAAAACTGTATTTAGTAGCTTATTCTTATCGATCAATACGCATATGTAGCTGCAGCTCTTGCAGGTTATCAGTTTCCGGACATTCTTTGTGCTGTCAAATTCGTAAACAATGACAGTATTCACTCGGTTTGTTCAATTTTATTTTTTTGACTGACTGTAAATGCAGAACAGCTGATCATGTGCATATGTATCTGCTAAAATTGTTTAAACTCTAAAACTACAAGTAGTACTAAATTTGAGGCGTCTATTTATCTAATTACTACTGGCTTAATAAATTAAAAAAAAAAAATTAAAATACATAATGCATTTAAATTAAATTTCTTCACTTCTTGGCGTCGGGCGTTTTGGGGTCCGTCTTAGTTTTGAGATTTTTAAGCTGTTCTTTTTGCTAAAAAAAAATATTTTGCTAATTAACCAATTTCAAATTTTATTCTAGTATGAATAAAAAACCTGTTTGTAGAAAAACTCCTCTTCGCGCGCTGCTTCCATTTTGCCGAAAGAACCGCCAGCTTCGCGTATGGCGCCTCCCCCACCACCACCTTTACCAGCACCGCTACCCAGCTCGCCAATCTGCGACATTTTTAAATGACTACAAAAAGAAATATATGTATGTATATATAATATGAACACGTAAATTATACGTATATTTAAGTAACTACTAGCTGTAGCTTTAAAGATTCGTATAAGATGTGTGCAACTGTATATGTCAAAGTTTACATACTTATGCATGCACATACATATGTACATAAATGCAACAGGCATACTACATACATACATATGTATGTAGGTATGTAGAATGCTTATGCAATGTACTTTTAGCTGGAGATTAGTAGAAAGCGGTAGCACTTTTGAAACTTACTGTATTGTTTTTGGATAAATGTTGAAACTAAGACGGCGCAGTATATTCATAGTGTATTATATAGCAGAGGCTTATAGTATATTCGACTATATATAGATAGTGATTTGCTTTTTCAATTTCAAGAGATTATGAAAATACCAACAGCTGTTTGAATTTTTAAGCCTGCCAACTCATTTGCAAATGCTATTGTAACGTTTCTTTAAACATCAAATGTTTAGCAGGGCAATAAACTTATTTTTAATTTTAATAAATTACGACATGAGGAACTAACAATTTTATAAAGAAATGGTGTTGTTTAGACAACAGGCCAAGATCAGATGTCACCGAAACCGTCCTCATAACCAACAACAAACAACGTTGGTTAAATGAGCAACAGTCTTTGTGACATGCCTGCGGTGTTATTTTTTTATGTTGTCAGTATTTGAAGTTGTTGGAAAGATATCTATTTTAATTGCTCTTCGGGCTCAAACTCCTCCTCCATGTCGTTGTTTTGGCATTCGTTAATAGCGCTGCAGCTTGCAACTAGATCGTTTACAATAACTTCGGAATCAGGCTTGACACGGCTATTCAAGATCTTAACGCATTCAGTAGACTCATTCATAAAAAATGCCTCCTCTAAACAATTCTTGTGCTTGTTCATGCAGCCAGTATTATACAGAGCTGCATGATCCAGTGTCTTCTGGTATTCATCCCAGTTCTGTAAATAGTCAGTTGCATGCTTTGTGCCCTTCATTTGTTCGCGTATTTTGCACATCAGACTGTGATTGACTGAACTAAAGTATTCCTCCTCCTTAATACCACCTTGTAATTTTCCCAAGCCACCACCCAATAAAAATACGTTTGGAACATGCTTCTTATATTCACAATAACGCTTATTGGGTAAAAATCTGTACCAACGAAAGAGAGGGAAGTAAAATATGTACACATATGACATTCGAATTTTCGGTAACTTACGCGTAATTTAGACCTATAGTTTGGAGTCTTCGCTGCAATAGACCAACCACCAACATTTTTGCTTTACCAAATTCGTATCAAAATATATTTTAAGTTTTATTCGTAAAATCTAAGGCTGTGTAGCTGTAGACGAGTTGCCAGATATACACATCCAAATTAAATATCACAGGCTATACTGTTCCATAGAAATGCATAAACATACAAATGTAACAGATCGACAGCTTTCTGTATATAATGTTTAGTTTCAAAAATTATATATTCTATGTAGTGACCAAGCAACGCAGTAATCAGTGACAAAAAGATTCAGTAAGTCTATTTAATTTTTATGGTTTAACTAACTTGAAACTCAATGATGGCTTTTGGCCAATTCCAACCACAACCCAGCCAGAACCAGAGGTGATTGAGGCCCAAAGGCGCGGAACAAAGCTGGCGGCGCCAATATCAAGATCAGCGCCCGCGCTGCTCACACGGAAAGCCCGCATTAAAAATGCACAACAAAATGGTGTTGACAAATCGACCAAAGAGCCCGAATCGTTTGTACCGGTAAATTGCAAACCACTGGTAGAGTACCTGAACTTAGAACTGTCTTTGGGTTCCTCAAATGTTGTCGAAGGCGTGAGTTATGCGGCCGCAGTGGCCACAGCTCCCGCTACTGTTCCCATAGCCAAACCCGCCGTGAACGTGACAATAAAGCCTTGTACTACATGTGTCAAAAAACCAAGAAAGCCGGGTAAATGTAAGACCAGGGTAATGCCAAGTGATGCCAAGTTCAGCATTTTCGATGTGGAACAACCAAAACCACACATTGTGCATGTCGTTTACGATCAAGCAGATTTGAGCGCATCGCAAAAAAAACGAAAGGCTAAAAAGTCACCACGGACTAAAAACGTTGAAAAGATTTCTACACGTACTGCCGAAAAAGTTGACGCTGACAAGAAGGGACGTGAAATTAATATCAAAATGCTTGACTGTTCGATAATTACCGCTGTTGCCTCGGAACAGAAAGCTGAAGTTTTTGATTTAATTCAAGAGCCATTGACAGCGCCAATTGATGTTGTAAAATCTCCAAAATTTCGAAAAGAAATTGCTCAACCGCTGTTTACTGACACCATTGGCTATTTAACCTATCACCATGAACGCCTGAAGCGAATACTTGCTAACCAAGGACACTCTACATCAATCGGAATGAGCTTACAAAAATCCAGTTTAATGTCTACCGAAATCGAAATGAACATGCCACAGTTCGATGATCCTCATTTTAAAAACTTAGAGGCAGTCGCTATCTTAGCACAGAACCGTTTCATGCGTAATACTTCTTCGGCCACATCGTGACGCATAACAGACGCACGCAGCATAAAGACAATTTTTTTCATTCAGGATGTTTATTACGCAAAGCAAATAAATTTTCAAGTTAAATGTACATATGTTTGAAGTAATGCATTAAAATATGAGATGCAAATAGATATAAAACCCCAACTATCTCCATCACACAATTTTTTTAAACAATATTAATAATCCAGGATCTAATTTGAATTTAGAAAGCTCCACAGATATGTATGTTTAAGCAAGTTGTAAACACGAAATTATTTCATGAGTTAAGTCAAATTTTATAATAACAGAAAATAAGTCATCTTGCTTTGAGAACGTTTGAAAGACAAGGTGTTTTGGATAGTATGTAAGAAATTGCTTTTAGTTATGTATTTTAAGGTGCATCTATTTGAAATCAGGAATACCACTTAGGCAGTACTTTATGCGTTTTTGGTATTAGACTACAGTCGATAATTGAGCGTGCCATCTTTACTATCGGTAGTGTCATCGATAGCTCCAGGCTATATTGGTGTCGTGAAAAGCTTAACATCGACATCGGAGTCTGTGTAATGGCAATATAGTTAGTTAAAAACAAATGGATGTTCTGCGGACAATAATGTAATTAATAATGTTAATTGAGTGACGGCATCGAAGTTATTGTGTGGCGGCGTGTGTGTGCAGGGCACCAGCAAGAAGCAAAGTGAACGCTGCCTTGCTTTCACTTTGTGCGTTTTGCCTTTTTGTGTGTATAATGGACAAGTTAAAAAACAACAACAACAAGGAAAATGCAGTTATTGCATCAATTGAATACCCTTACCCCGCAACGACAGATAACGACGATGTCGAAAGCAACAAGAGCACACCCTATTATACCCCTTTGGAGTTTTTGCAAACGTCCTTTGAATTTCCATCGCCCACGTCCGAAACGTCAGCAGCAACAGACGCTGTTCTGCCACCAACGCAGCAGCAGCGGCGCAGCAATGAGTACAGTGGGGGCGGTGAGGGTGTTTTCGATGTTGCATACACACAACAAAATGCGTCCTTGGAACGCATAGACACGTACGCATTGGAAAAGGAGGACACTGCACGCGCCTATACACCAAAACAATTTACAATTGCCACTCCTAAGCAGCCACAGCCGCAACCCAATTCCCAGTCGCCGACGTTAAATCGTAAATTTAAACGTTTCTCCCTATATGATCGCCGATCCTGTTCGCCACACATTGCAACCCGTAATGCAACGACTGCAACAACGAGTACAACTGTAACATCAGGCTTGTCGCTGGACGAGCGCGGAACGGGGCTTACCACATTCGCCAACAAAGAAAATACCATACCCAAAACGGGCACCGGCACCCACACTGAGAACGAACAGGATATACTATACATGTCGAAAAGCGAACATAATTCCCCCACAATTCTATTTAAAGATGAAACCTCGACACCCAACCCAAACCTGAGTTACTCCCCCAAATTATTGGCCTCCATCAACAATCTAAATTTATCCGGGTCACCCCTAAACATAATAAACTCTGCCGGCTATAAGAACGGCAACTTTTTTCGTTTTCCCGAAATCGACCATGTCGTGCAGGAAGCCATACCGCTCATCGCTGCATCCACCATTGAGGACCCGCATGCTAGCTATTGTGACAACCAGATGCATATTCGTACAAAGTTCGCTAGCACATCACCTTCGGCACTTTGCCATGCGACCGTACAACAGCAGCAACGTATACGCAAGCGATCCACCAGCTCCGACATTATGGAATCCACATCCACACAAACATCGGAGCTGAGCCAGGAGCAGTCATTACTGCAACCGGAAGCACAGCTGGAGGAACAGCAAAAGTGTGAGGGCCGTAAAAACCGAAAAAACAAAAACAATCTCACCATCCGCATCACCGATGTCCCCATCAAGAGCTCGACACAAATTTCACCGCTGCCCAAACCGAAAACACCAACTATTAAAAGCACAAAGGAGAAGGCGCGCTCTCTGGACTCGGCCGCAAATGAAGGCGAGCTGTCAATTGTGGTGCACAACATAACTGAATCTCATGGCAGCTGCGATGTTATGGACACACAAATGCCTACCAGTGGAAGCACCAGCCAACTTCAGGCTAACATGCTCATGCAACCTGCCTCAAATATACACTCGACATCATTGTCCCGCTTGGACACGCACAGCAATTTGGTCAATCGTCGCACTTCGCGACGAAAGTCACCGGGTCTTAACAACAGTGACTGGCTGATGTACCACCGCAAGCACAATCCATATCAGGTGCCGCACACCGTCAAACTTCAAGACTGCAGCAGCAGTACAGCGCAAAGTTCCCTCGACTCGGATGTAATGGAGTACAGCGGCAGTGATTCGCCCCAACGTAGCGCTGCCGAACTAAAATCCGCATCTAGTGTGGACAGCAGCAACACCAAGTTTGGGCTGGGAGCTACTTTAGCACCGCGCAATGCACACAAACACAACCAGCTCCTGCACTCGTCTAGTACAAATCTGAAAACTCTGCCTGAGTCCCTGACTCTCGTAGAGTTCTCATTGTGCGGTGGTCCCAGTCCCAAAGAATCGCCGTCACCATATAAGCAAAAATCTATGGATTTGCCGGTCAGTGCACATGCCGCTCACACCAACTTGCAGGCGATGCAGACGAAGAGTACCGTGTCCACATCATCGATGAACCTTCTGCAGCGACGGGGCTCCATTCACAGTCTTACGCTTAATTTGCACAGCTCATGTGGAAATTTGGTGAACAACAGTTTGAGCGTGTCTAACTACAGCTTGGGCTCAATGGGCAATTTTAATACAATACTCAATTCAAAATCCAGCTGCAATCTGGACATAAATGCAGCACGCATTGCTGGCGCACAGTTGCCAGGACAGCAACACACATTGAATGCCACAGGTGTCCCAATTATTAGCAACCAGGGCACACGTCAAGGTCTGTTTCGGCGCCGTGGCTCCAATCACAGCATCACGCTCAAAGCTCACACAACAACATCGTGTGGAGATCTTAATTCGATATCCACACAACAGACCCTGAGTGCCGATAAGTACCGGCTAAGCACGCGTACTAACTCGACCGGCTCCTCGACACATACAAATAGTAATGTACCCACCCCAAAGCGGGGTCTGCTCGAAAGACGCGGCTCCAATCAAAGTCTTACCCTTAACATGGGTGGCATCATGGGCTCCAGTAATCAGCATCTGGGTGACATTCAAATGCAGGATGTAAGCGAACAGCCAAAAGTGTCTGCTTGCAGTTGTGCTGCTGCCCAAGCTCCACATCAGCGCAAATTTTATAGCACCGAAAACTTAAATACAAATCGCGGAAATCAACAGTTTTTCGACTTCGATACTAAGCAAGCGTGCTTCGGCTCAGCTTCTAATTTGCAACCCAGTGAACAGTCAACCATTATGACCAATACACAGGAAGCAATTATGTGTACCTGTACGGGTGGCGTGCGTAACATCATGACGCGACCGTTGTCCCCGCAAACCACGAGTGAGGAGTTCAAAATTTATTTAGCCAGCATTCAAATGCTGCAGAGCGCATCAAACCCGCTCAATCAGTTTGATTTAATCAAATTAAACTATGTCTTTGACAACAGCTACAAGACAAATCGCAATATTATTGAACGGCCGCCTGTTTTGGGTGCAAATGGACGAGATGGGGACACACCCACAAATCAGTTGCCACCTACATCAGAGGACAGTGAATTGTTGACATCGTATCAGGCTGTGGTCAAGCGCATTATTACACCAATACCACAGCTAGCCGAGGAAGAGCAGAAACGCATATTTCGCGATTTGCACAAGGAATTCTGGGATTTACCTTTGAATCATCAGGAGAAACCGATGGTCTTTGGGTCGCAAACAAAAAATCGTTATAAGACCATATTGCCCAACGAACATTCACGTGTTTTGGTCGATAGCGAGGCCATCGAGTTACTAAATTTGCAGCAGCAATCCTGTTTGGGTATGGGTAGCGAGAGTGCCACTGAGGACATAAAGAAGTCATCGTTATTAGCCTACGACGAGGTGCCCTACATCAATGCCAATTATATTAAGGTAAGGTATAATTTTAAATATTTCACGATTATTTTTATTATTCAAAGACAATTTGTTGAGTCTCACGAAGTTTTAAAATTTGAACATCGTAAATATTGAGAACAGCAGCAAACATGCAATGTGGGTCCAATATATTAAAATATCAAAATGTCCTCATATATGGGGTCTTGATAAATATTGTCCCTATGAAAGTAATATGATATACATATGTATATAATCCGTCACGATAGGTTTTATGCGTGCAGAGATAAGAAACCTCACCTGAGTTCGACAATCAATTAGTTGGATCTATAATAATTAATTGTTTATAAAATTAATATTTTACAGGGTCCGGACTATGTCTCCAAGTGCTATGTAGCTACACAGGGACCTATGCCGAACACTATTTTCGAATTTTGGCTAATGGTCTACCAAAATACACAGCGTTACATTCGCCGATGTGTGGACGGAGGAAGTAGCAGCAGTCCCCATGTAGACAAATCGCACATACTCCAGCAGTACTTTCAAAAAATCGTGATGCTTACAAATTTCACGGAATCAAGTCGACAGAAGTGCGCCATTTACTTTCCCATCGAGTTCAATGAAATATTCGCCGTTGCTGCCAAGGGTGAGGTTTTCGAGCTGAGCACTTCTGCAAAAGAATATTTTGACGCACATCTGTTACCTTCCACTGTTGTGGACAATCCGGTGGGACTGAATGAATTGGAAATAAGCAGCCGGCATATTAGCATCGATTCAAAGAAGGTATCGTTGAGCGTGGAAGTTCGCGACACATTGCCCAAAAATAGCAATTTCTTTCTGGCCAAGAACGTTGGAATTGTGCGACGAAATGGTTATTCTATTCGTAAGCTGGTACTACTTTACTGCATCAATGTGCCCCAAAGTGCGGGTCAGTTGGACTATTACTTGCAGAAAATCTGCTGCTATCATTACTGGTATCCAGATTGGCCGGACCATCACTCTCCACGCGATATTAACACGCTACTGGACACCTGTCTACATGTATTGAATCTAGGCAAGTGCGAATCGGAATTTGACAACTACGACGACAAGCGTAGCATGTGCAATGCACACTTGTCGGCGCAGCGCTTGGAAATCTACAAGCAGGACATTTTCAATGCCGTACAGCCGCTACCCATCATCCACTGCTCGGCTGGCATTGGACGTACAGGTTGTTTCACAGCAATATTAAATGCTGTGCGACAAGTCCGTCAATCTCTGGCATACTCTCTAACAGGAATGTTGACCAAGACGTTGACAACAGCGGACTCGCCACCAATTGCTGCAGAGGCTCGAGATGATGCTGATACGGATATTGATAGCAGTTTTACGTGCAACACCATTTTGCACATTCGCCACATTGTGGACTCTTTGGTGGTAACAAGCGCCACAGCCGCAACAACAACAACGGCACCTAACTTGAAGCCGCCGGCAACATTTGAAAAATTGCCAAAAATGCCCGATATTTTCGTGGACATTTTGGGAATTGTGTGCAATTTGCGTTTGCAACGCGGTGGTATGGTTCAGAACTCGGAGCAGTATGAGCTCATACATCGCGCTATTTGTCTCTATTTAAAGCGCACATTGGCGCTGAGACGGTTTTAAACGATGATCTGAAAAGATGTTATAAGAACAAAACACCAATTTACTATTTGTAAACAATTTTTGTGACCCTTATATTTAATGAAAAACAAACCACAACAAATAATAATAACAATCCAACAACCATGGCTAAAAGAGTCTCGACAAATAGCTGGCATTCTGAGTAGTTGTACTCAATGTTTGGCTTAAAAAATACTATTACTATTATTACATTATTAATATTATATAAATGTTTATTAAGTGTTTGGATGTATGTATGTTAAATGTGTATGTATGTACATAATGTATGTGTAAATGTTTCAATTTTTGGTGTGAACTATGCTTAAACCTAAAGTTAATTAACAATATTACTTTGTCAAACTTTGCAGATGGTGTGCTTCTGCGATCAAAAACTTTCCTAAGTTTGAAAGCGAAAAAAGCTCAAACCTTTTTAAGTTGGTTCGTCCAACTGACTAAAACACCAATTTTTTCGTTTTCAAACGGTAAATTTTGAATCGCCAAAGCACCCAGCATATGTTTTTAAAAACCACAAATTTAGAAAGCAAAAATGAACTTGTATTAATGTTTATGCAATGGAACTAGTCAAATAAAACTTAGAAACATTTTAAATGTAACTATAAATGTGTAAAAAGTACTGTGTTTTATTTGTTAACAATTCCCAAACCCCTTCCCAACCATAATATTAATGTCGGATGATGTACAATCAAAATTAGACCATCCTTTCAATAGAAGAGCTCATATTGGGTATGACAACCAATATCGAAATACGCGATTTGGTTCGATAATTTGTAAAAATTAAAAACATTATCTTTAAAACTTATAAAAATAATTAGCTGCAAGTTATTCCATAATATTATAAAAACATGGCTGTTTATTTAAAATAGTCCGCAAATTAACCCACTACGCCTGTTTAGGGCTAAATGCACTCAGCTGTTTTTGTATACTCGGATTAAAGTTCATTTTAGATTTTCGTCTACTCTACGATTAGACGAGTTTTGGGAAGTCTTTAACCGTAACTAGTCTTTGTTTTAAGCGCACATTAGCGCAGGCACAGTATTAAACGATATTATTTATAAAAATGTCACTATGTTTATATTGTCGGTTTATTTAAAATCAGTTTGCTCTCAACTTGGTATTTAGTCCGCAAATTAACCCACTATGCCCGGTTAGGGTTAAAAGCAATCAGCTGATTTTGTTTACATCGTCTAAAGTTCATTTCATTTTTTCGCCCACTCTACGATTAGATTGGTTTGGTGAAGGCAACAAGTATGTTTACTAATTTAATCGTACGGCGTGGATTTTGCTTAAATCAACTTTTTTGCAGACGGTACAGTAAGATGAAGGTAAGGTAGAAATAACTGTCTAATCATAGCGAACATTTTCTCTATGTATGTATTTTTTGTATCTAGAATGACCGCTCAGTAAAAGTTCCTGTCCAGCAGGGTATAGTGGTAGGTCGGGAGCGCGAACTGCCGAGTGGATTAAAATACGAATGCTTCTTGGGAGTGCCCTATGCGGTTCCCCCAGTGGGAAAGCTACGTTTTCGGGTGAGTTTTCGGGCTACAATTTCGGCTTTAATAATATCATCTTCACAGAGCCCGGTGCCGCTCGAGCACTTCGATGCTGATGAGTTGGACTGTACCAAGGAGGGCGATGTTTCGCATCAGCGGGACCCATTAACACAAAGTGTGGTCGGCTCAGAGAACTGCCTTTTTCTCAACGTGTTTACACCCAAGAAGAGAACGACGGAAAAACTTCCTGTTATGGTGTGGATACATGGAGGGGGTTTCTTTTTTGGAAATGGCAATAGCGACTAGTAAGTATGGTGCTTCGATTCACGATTATTATACTTACATCTAACTTCAGTCACTTTCCAGCCAAGCTTTTAGAGCAAGACGTAGTGGTGGTGACCTTGAACTATCGTCTGGGCGCACTGGGTTTTCTGTATTTACCCGAGGAAGGAATCCACGGCAATGCAGGTCTGAAAGACCAGCGGCTGGCTTTGCAGTGGGTTCAAGAAAACATTGCTAATTTTAACGGTGATCCCAAGAATGTGACGTTGTTTGGTGAAAGCGCCGGTGCGGCCTCCGTACAATTGCATACATACTCAAAACATGCCAACAAACTGTTCCATAAGGCCATAATGCAGAGTGGCACGGCGAATATGGAATGGGTGCTACAAAATCAGCCCGAATATAAGACCCGACGCTTGACTGAGCTCCTTGGTGGGAGCATAGATGATTCCCAATCAATACTCAAGTTCTTACAGTCTCCAAGAGTGACGCCCATGGCCATGCTAGAAAGTAGAATGGCGTTGCTGACGCCCGATGAGCGACGTCGTCATATGCCTTTCGTTTTTAGGCCCGTCGTAGAGGAATCCATAAGTCCAGACAGTTTTATTGAAGCTAATATTCTGGATTTGCTTCACGAGAAGGACCGTTTGAATGGAATGCCCATTATTTTGGGCTACGTATCAGCTGAGGGCATTGCCATGGTGGTAAATGCAAAACGCAAGCTAGATATTTATGATCAGGACTTGGCGCGTCTAGTGCCGCGCAATCTGATTGTGGAGCCCAATGCACCAGAAGCCTTAGAGGTGGCAAAGCACCTGCGGGCCTTCTATTTTAATGGTCAGGCGTTAACGCCGGGAATTTTGGATAATTTAGTCGATCTGCTCACTGACTTTCACTTCAACATTGACCTCCAATTCGCCGCAGAGGTACATGCTCATCGTCAGACTTCGTCGCCACTCTATTTCTATCGCTTTGATTATGTGGGCAATCGAAATATGTATAAGCGTATGTTGCAGAGCGAAAAACTTCGAGGTGCCTGTCATGGAGATGAGCTATTCTATTTATTTCAAATGTCAGATGATGAATCGCCGATGACTAAGGAGGATGATGCAGTGTCTCACCGAATATGTGAAATGTGGGCGAATTTTGCAAAACACGGAAGACCGGCAAGAGATTGGACACCCGTTCAGCCCCATAGTGAGAAGAATCAAGCTTACCAGTTGGACTATTTCAGAATAGATCGGGAGTGTGGAATGCGGCGTAATCCCGATGGCGAACGCATTGAATTTTGGCGAAGCATGTACAAAAAGTATAAACCTAACTGCTATGAAGCTCTGAGAGCTAAACTATAGTGAACATTTATTTATATACATATGTGATAAGCATGATTTATGTGATATGAAAATTTATGTATGTACTATATATACATACATATGTATATATGTACACATATTTTTCCAAATGTGTTGTATTAAAACCCCCAGCAATTTTACAATTACTGTTATTTTTTCTGTAAATATTTCATTTGAGAGGGATTTATGGGTTTTTTAATTAACAACAGTATTAAATGCTGTGCGAAAGGTCCGCCAATCTCTAGCATACTACCTAACCGGAATATTGACCAAGCCATTGACAACAGCGGATTTGTTGATTATCGTTGAAAATTCTCCAAATGATGCATACACAGATATTGACGACAGTTTTTTGATTTATCTCGCTATTTGTCTTGGTTGTAAGCGCACATTAGCGCAGACACAGTTTTAAACGATATTATTTATAAAAATGTCACTATGTTTATATTGTCGGTTTATTTAAAATCAGTTTGCTCTCAAATTGGTATTTAGTCCGCAAATTAACCCACTATGCCCGGTTAGGGTTAAATGCAATCAGCTGATTTTGTTTACACCGTCTAAAGTTCATTTCATTTTTTCGCCCACTCTACGATTAGATTGGTTTGGTGAAGGCAACAAGTATGTTTACTAATTTAATCGTACGGCGTGGATTTTGCTTAAATCAACTTTTTTGCAGACGGTACAGTAAGATGAAGGTAAGGTAGAAATAACTGTCTAATCATTGCGAACATTTTCTCTATGTATGTATTTTTTGTATCTAGAATGACCGCTCAGTAAAAGTTCCTGTTCAGCAGGGTATAGTGGTAGGTCGGGAGCGCGAACTGCCGAGTGGATTAAAATACGAATGCTTCTTGGGAGTGCCCTATGCGGTTCCCCCAGTGGGAAAGCTACGTTTTCGGGTGAGTTTTCGGGCTACAATTTCGGCTTTAATAATATCATCTTCACAGAGTCCGGTGCCGCTCGAGCACTTCGATGCTGATGAGTTGGACTGTACCAAGGAGGGCGATGTTTCGCATCAGCGGGACCCATTAACACAAAGTGTGGTCGGCTCAGAGAACTGCCTTTTTCTCAACGTGTTTACACCCAAGAAGAGAACGACGGAAAAACTTCCTGTTATGGTGTGGATACATGGAGGGGGTTTCTTTTTTGGAAATGGCAATAGCGACTAGTAAGTATGGTGCTTCGATTCACGATTATTATACTTACATCTAACTTCAGTCACTTTCCAGCCAAGCTTTTAGAGCAAGACGTAGTGGTGGTGACCTTGAACTATCGTCTGGGCGCACTGGGTTTTCTGTATTTACCCGAGGAAGGAATCCACGGCAATGCAGGTCTGAAAGACCAGCGGCTGGCTTTGCAGTGGGTTCAAGAAAACATTGCTAATTTTAACGGTGATCCCAAGAATGTGACGTTGTTTGGTGAAAGCGCCGGTGCGGCCTCCGTACAATTGCATACATACTCAAAACATGCCAACAAACTGTTCCATAAGGCCATCATGCAGAGTGGCACGGCGAATATGGAATGGGTGCTACAAAATCAGCCCGAATATAAGACCCGACGCTTGACTGAGCTCCTTGGTGGGAGCATAGATGATTCTCAATCAATACTCAAGTTCTTACAGTCTCCAAAAGTAACGCCATTGGCCATGCTTGCCAATACAATGGCGTTACTGACGCCCGATGAGCGTCGTCGTCATTTGCCTTTGCCTTTTAAGCCCGTCGTTGAGCAATCCACCAGTCCAGACAGTTTCATTGATGTTAATATAATGGATTTACTCTACGAGAAGGACCGTTTGAATGGAATGCCTGTTATTATGGGGTACACATCAGCTGAGGGCATTGCCATGGTGGTAAATGCAAAACGCAAGCTAGATATTTATGATCAGGATTTGGCGCGCCTGGTGCCGAGGAATTTGGTTGTGGAGCCCAATGCAGCGGAAGCATTAGAAGCGGCAAAGGATATGCGGGCCTTCTATTTTAATGGACAGGCCTTAACGTCGCAAAGTTTGGATAATTTGGTCGACCTTCTTACTGACTTTCATTTCAACATTGACCTCCAACACGCCGCAGAGATACATGCCCATCGCCAGACTTCATCGCCACTCTATTTCTATCGCTTTGATTATGTGGGCAATCGAAATATGTATAAGCGTATGTTGCAGTGCGAAAAACTTCGAGGTGCCTGTCATGGAGATGAGCTATTCTATTTATTCCAAATGTCAGATGATGAATCGCCGATGACTAAGGAGGATGATGCAGTGTCTCACCGAATATGTGAAATGTGGGCGAATTTTGCAAAACACGGAAGACCTTCAAGAGATTGGACACCCGTTCAGCCCCATAGTGACAAGAATCAAGCTTACCAGTTGGACTATTTCAGAATAGATCGGGAGTGTGGAATGCGGCGTAATCCCGATGGAGAGCGCATTGAATTTTGGCGCAGCATGTACAAAAGATACAAACCTAACTGCTATGAGGCTCTGAGAGCTAAGCTATAGTTAACACATTTTCGTGAGAATTGCATCAAAATTACACAAATTTTCGGATTGTGTAATAACAAGAATTTAAAACAATTTTTAACGCTTTTTAGATGTTTCTTTACGTTTAACAAGTTGTGTTGTCATGAGAAAAAATTATGTTTTATACAAGTAACTCGAAGCTGGAGTATGTAAATAGCAGTTAATTGTACACAATGCTGCTCAATCGCAATATTTATCTGCTTATTACTTTATTTTGAGAGCCACCCTGTTATAATCCATATGTAAATGTACTTAATTTCATTGATTTTTGATTTATATATTTAATAGTACTTCAATTACAAAAAATTCGAAACCTGCGTAAATATTAGTTCTTGAATTTGTATATCGATAGGACCACTGTTTTAAACATCGATAAGTCGATTGGGTGAATATCGATGTTCCCTATAATTCAGTGCACGCTGCTCATCTCTATTAGGATAGTTAGTCATGGGGGCTTTGTTTGGAAAAAGCAGAAAGAGTGTTCCAAGCCGTGTAACCGACCAGGATAATATTACTATTATTACATTACTATTATTACTATTATTACATTATTAATATTATATAAATGTTTATTAAGTGTTTGGATGTATGTATGTTAAATGTGTATGTATGTACATAATGTATGTGTAAATGTTTCAATTTTTGGTGTGAACTATGCTTAAACCTAAAGTTAATTAACAATATTACTTTGTCAAACTTTGCAGATGGTGTGCTTCTGCGATCAAAAACTTTCCTAAGTTTGAAAGCGAAAAAAGCTCAAACCTTTTTAAGTTGGTTCGTCCAACTGACTAAAACACCAATTTTTTCGTTTTCAAACGGTAAATTTTGAATCGCCAAAGCACCCAGCATATGTTTTTAAAAACCACAAATTTAGAAAGCAAAAATGAACTTGTATTAATGTTTATGCAATGGAACTAGTCAAATAAAACTTAGAAACATTTTAAATGTAACTATAAATGTGTAAAAAGTACTGTGTTTTATTTGTTAACAATTCCCAAACCCCTTCCCAACCATAATATTAATGTCGGATGATGTACAATCAAAATTAGACCATCCTTTCAATAGAAGAGCTCATATTGGGTATGACAACCAATATCGAAATACGCGATTTGGTTCGATAATTTGTAAAAATTAAAAACATTATCTTTAAAACTTATAAAAATAATTAGCTGCAAGTTATTCCATAATATTATAAAAACATGGCTGTTTATTTAAAATAGTCCGAAAATTAACCCACTACGCCTGTTTAGGGCTAAATGCACTCAGCTGTTTTTGTATACTCGGATTAAAGTTCATTTTAGATTTTCGTCTACTCTACGATTAGACGAGTTTTGGGAAGTCTTTAACCGTAACTAGTCTTTGTTTTAAGCGCACATTAGCGCAGGCACAGTATTAAACGATATTATTTATAAAAATGTCACTATGTTTATATTGTCGGTTTATTTAAAATCAGTTTGCTCTCAACTTGGTATTTAGTCCGCAAATTAACCCACTATGCCCGGTTAGGGTTAAATGCAATCAGCTGATTTTGTTTACACCGTCTAAAGTTCATTTCATTTTTTCGCCCACTCTACGATTAGATTGGTTTGGTGAAGGCAACAAGTATGTTTACTAATTTAATCGTACGGCGTGGATTTTGCTTAAATCAACTTTTTTGCAGACGGTACAGTAAGATGAAGGTAAGGTAGAAATAACTGTCTAATCATTGCGAACATTTTCTCTATGTATGTATTTTTTGTATCTAGAATGACCGCTCAGTAAAAGTTCCTGTTCAGCAGGGTATAGTGGTAGGTCGGGAGCGCGAACTGCCGAGTGGATTAAAATACGAATGCTTCTTGGGAGTGCCCTATGCGGTTCCCCCAGTGGGAAAGCTACGTTTTCGGGTGAGTTTTCGGGCTACAATTTCGGCTTTAATAATATCATCTTCACAGAGCCCGGTGCCGCTCGAGCACTTCGATGCTGATGAGTTGGACTGTACCAAGGAGGGCGATGTTTCGCATCAGCGGGACCCATTAACACAAAGTGTGGTCGGCTCAGAGAACTGCCTTTTTCTCAACGTGTTTACACCCAAGAAGAGAACGACGGAACAACTTCCTGTTATGGTGTGGATACATGGAGGTGGTTTCTTTTTTGGAAATGGCAATAGTGACTAGTAAGTATGGTGCTTCGATTCACGATTATTATACTTACATCTAACTTCAGTCACTTTCCAGCCAAGCTTTTAGAGCAAGACGTAGTGGTGGTGACCTTGAACTATCGTCTGGGCGCACTGGGTTTTCTGTATTTACCCGAGGAAGGAATCCACGGCAATGCAGGTCTGAAAGACCAGCGGCTGGCTTTGCAGTGGGTTCAAGAAAACATTGCTAATTTTAACGGTGATCCCAAGAATGTGACGTTGTTTGGTGAAAGCGCCGGTGCGGCCTCCGTACAATTGCATACATACTCAAAACATGCCAACAAACTGTTCCATAAGGCCATAATGCAGAGTGGCACGGCGAATATGGAATGGGTGCTACAAAATCAGCCCGAATATAAGACCCGACGCTTGACTGAGCTCCTTGGTGGGAGCATAGATGATTCCCAATCAATACTCAAGTTCTTACAGTCTCCAAGAGTGACGCCCATGGCCATGCTAGAAAGTAGAATGGCGTTGCTGACGCCCGATGAGCGACGTCGTCATATGCCTTTCGTTTTTAGGCCCGTCGTAGAGGAATCCATAAGTCCAGACAGTTTTATTGAAGCTAATATTCTGGATTTGCTTTACGAGAAGGACCGTTTGAATGGAATGCCCATTATTTTGGGCTACGTATCAGCTGAGGGCATTGCCATGGTGGTAAATGCAAAACGCAAGCTAGATATTTATGATCAGGACTTGGCGCGTCTAGTGCCGCGCAATCTGATTGTGGAGCCCAATGCACCAGAAGCCTTAGAGGTGGCAAAGCACCTGCGGGCCTTCTATTTTAATGGTCAGGCGTTAACGCCGGGAATTTTGGATAATTTAGTCGATCTGCTCACTGACTTTCACTTCAACATTGACCTCCAATTCGCCGCAGAGGTACATGCTCATCGTCAGACTTCGTCGCCACTCTATTTCTATCGCTTTGATTATGTGGGCAATCGAAATATGTATAAGCGTATGTTGCAGAGCGAAAAACTTCGAGGTGCCTGTCATGGAGATGAGCTATTCTATTTATTTCAAATGTCAGATGATGAATCGCCGATGACTAAGGAGGATGATGCAGTGTCTCACCGAATATGTGAAATGTGGGCGAATTTTGCAAAACACGGAAGACCGGCAAGAGATTGGACACCCGTTCAGCCCCATAGTGAGAAGAATCAAGCTTACCAGTTGGACTATTTCAGAATAGATCGGGAGTGTGGAATGCGGCGTAATCCCGATGGCGAACGCATTGAATTTTGGCGAAGCATGTACAAAAAGTATAAACCTAACTGCTATGAAGCTCTGAGAGCTAAACTATAGTGAACATTTATTTATATACATATGTGATAAGCATGATTTATGTGATATGAAAATTTATGTATGTACTATATATACATACATATGTATATATGTACACATATTTTTCCAAATGTGTTGTATTAAAACCCCCAGCAATTTTACAATTACTGTTATTTTTTCTGTAAATATTTCATTTGAGAGGGATTTATGGGTTTTTTAATTAACAACAGTATTAAATGCTGTGCGAAAGGTCCGCCAATCTCTAGCATACTACCTAACCGGAATATTGACCAAGCCATTGACAACAGCGGATTTGTTGATTATCGTTGAAAATTCTCCAAATGATGCATACACAGATATTGACGACAGTTTTTTGATTTATCTCGCTATTTGTCTTGGTTGTAAGCGCACATTAGCGCAGACACAGTTTTAAACGATATTATTTATAAAAATGTCACTATGTTTATATTGTCGGTTTATTTAAAATCAGTTTGCTCTCAAATTGGTATTTAGTCCGCAAATTAACCCACTATGCCCGGTTAGGGTTAAATGCAATCAGCTGATTTTGTTTACACCGTCTAAAGTTCATTTCATTTTTTCGCCCACTCTACGATTAGATTGGTTTGGTGAAGGCAACAAGTATGTTTACTAATTTAATCGTACGGCGTGGATTTTGCTTAAATCAACTTTTTTGCAGACGGTACAGTAAGATGAAGGTAAGGTAGAAATAACTGTCTAATCATTGCGAACATTTTCTCTATGTATGTATTTTTTGTATCTAGAATGACCGCTCAGTAAAAGTTCCTGTTCAGCAGGGTATAGTGGTAGGTCGGGAGCGCGAACTGCCGAGTGGATTAAAATACGAATGCTTCTTGGGAGTGCCCTATGCGGTTCCCCCAGTGGGAAAGCTACGTTTTCGGGTGAGTTTTCGGGCTACAATTTCGGCTTTAATAATATCATCTTCACAGAGCCCGGTGCCGCTCGAGCACTTCGATGCTGATGAGTTGGACTGTACCAAGGAGGGCGATGTTTCGCATCAGCGGGACCCATTAACACAAAGTGTGGTCGGCTCAGAGAACTGCCTTTTTCTCAACGTGTTTACACCCAAGAAGAGAACGACGGAAAAACTTCCTGTTATGGTGTGGATACATGGAGGGGGTTTCTTTTTTGGAAATGGCAATAGCGACTAGTAAGTATGGTGCTTCGATTCACGATTATTATACTTACATCTAACTTCAGTCACTTTCCAGCCAAGCTTTTAGAGCAAGACGTAGTGGTGGTGACCTTGAACTATCGTCTGGGCGCACTGGGTTTTCTGTATTTACCCGAGGAAGGAATCCACGGCAATGCAGGTCTGAAAGACCAGCGGCTGGCTTTGCAGTGGGTTCAAGAAAACATTGCTAATTTTAACGGTGATCCCAAGAATGTGACGTTGTTTGGTGAAAGCGCCGGTGCGGCCTCCGTACAATTGCATACATACTCAAAACATGCCAACAAACTGTTCCATAAGGCCATCATGCAGAGTGGCACGGCGAATATGGAATGGGTGCTACAAAATCAGCCCGAATATAAGACCCGACGCTTGACTGAGCTCCTTGGTGGGAGCATAGATGATTCTCAATCAATACTCAAGTTCTTACAGTCTCCAAAAGTAACGCCATTGGCCATGCTTGCCAATACAATGGCGTTACTGACGCCCGATGAGCGTCGTCGTCATTTGCCTTTGCCTTTTAAGCCCGTCGTTGAGCAATCCACCAGTCCAGACAGTTTCATTGATGTTAATATAATGGATTTACTCTACGAGAAGGACCGTTTGAATGGAATGCCTGTTATTATGGGGTACACATCAGCTGAGGGCATTGCCATGGTGGTAAATGCAAAACGCAAGCTAGATATTTATGATCAGGATTTGGCGCGCCTGGTGCCGAGGAATTTGGTTGTGGAGCCCAATGCAGCGGAAGCATTAGAAGCGGCAAAGGATATGCGGGCCTTCTATTTTAATGGACAGGCCTTAACGTCGCAAAGTTTGGATAATTTGGTCGACCTTCTTACTGACTTTCATTTCAACATTGACCTCCAACACGCCGCAGAGATACATGCCCATCGCCAGACTTCATCGCCACTCTATTTCTATCGCTTTGATTATGTGGGCAATCGAAATATGTATAAGCGTATGTTGCAGTGCGAAAAACTTCGAGGTGCCTGTCATGGAGATGAGCTATTCTATTTATTTCAAATGTCAGATGATGAATCGCCGATGACTAAGGAGGATGATGCAGTGTCTCACCGAATATGTGAAATGTGGGCGAATTTTGCAAAACACGGAAGACCTTCAAGAGATTGGACACCCGTTCAGCCCCATAGTGACAAGAATCAAGCTTACCAGTTGGACTATTTCAGAATAGATCGGGAGTGTGGAATGCGGCGTAATCCCGATGGCGAACGCATTGAATTTTGGCGAAGCATGTACAAAAAGTATAAACCTAACTGCTATGAGGCTCTGAGAGCTAAGCTATAGTTAACACATTTTCGTGAGAATTGCATCAAAATTACACAAATTTTCGGATTGTGTAATAACAAGAATTTAAAACAATTTTTAACGCTTTTTAGATGTTTCTTTACGTTTAACAAGTTGTGTTGTCATGAGAAAAAATTATGTTTTATACAAGTAACTCGAAGCTGGAGTATGTAAATAGCAGTTAATTGTACACAATGCTGCTCAATCGCAATATTTATCTGCTTATTACTTTATTTTGAGAGCCACCCTGTTATAATCCATATGTAAATGTACTTAATTTCATTGATTTTTGATTTATATATTTAATAGTACTTCAATTACAAAAAATTCGAAACCTGCGTAAATATTAGTTCTTGAATTTGTATATCGATAGGACGACTGTTTTAAACATCGATAAGTCGATTGGGTGAATATCGATGTTCCCTATAATTCAGTGCACGCTGCTCATCTCTATTAGGATAGTTAGTCATGGGGGCTTTGTTTGGAAAAAGCAGAAAGAGTGTTCCAAGCCGTGTAACCGACCAGGATAAGGCGGTTTTGGTAGGTACAGCTTGGATATTCACGGAGGGAACTCGTGCAATTGCGTTTATTATTACAGCAACTAAAGCAGCAGCGGGATCGCCTGAAGCAGTATCAGAAGCGCATCGAGTTACAGCTGGAGAATGACAGACTGCTGGCCAAAAAGTGCCTGCAACAGGGCCGAAAAGAGTAAGTAAATTTGAGAAAGTCGTATTAGAAAGAAGTTTCAAATAAAATCTTGCAGTCGCGCAAAGCTTTTGCTGCGCAAGAAAAAGTACCAGGAGAGTCTGCTGATAAATGCCGACAAACAGTTAGAGAACTTAGAGAAACTTGCCTCCGATCTGGAATTCGCACAAGTGGAGCTAAAGGTGCTTGACGGTCTAAAACAAGGTAATGCAGCCTTGAAGAAGGTGCACGACATGTTGGACATAAACGAGGTAGAAAAGATTATGGATGAAACGCGCGAGGGCATTGAAAAGCAACAAGAGATCGATGCTATACTTACCGATGTTTTGACAACACAAGACGAAGAGGATGTATTAGCCGAACTGGACGCACTGGAGGCTGAAGAGCAGCGTGCACAATTGCCAGATGTTCCGTCCGAGGAGTTACCCATTCCTGACAACAACGAAGTGGAAGTGGAAGCAGACGAAGAATTAGATACCAAAGCAATTAAGTCGGCCAAGTTGACAGAAAAAAGCAAAGCTAAAAAGGTGCTAGTGGAGGCTTGATACTGCATAACAATGCCATTGTAATAAGTTAAAAGTGTAAGTTCTCCTATTTCAAATATATGTATAGGTATGATTTTTATCGTTATTCGAAATCAGTTATGACAATTTGCACATGTTTAACGTTCTTCGTACCATTTAAATTATTAATTTTTGCTAATCGTGGACATCATTTGTAATCTCTTCTGATGACCGACTTTTTTAATGTCTTCTTTTATCCGCGAACGAAGACCTTCATTGTCATCGCGCAGCTTTTCAATCTCTTCGAGCAGCGTAACATTTTCCTTAAACAGCTTGTCATACTTCTTTTGTACGGTCTTGTCCTCGGCTGCAGTCTTGTAACGGGCCAGTACATTTTCGATTTGTTTGCGCTGGCGTAGAAACTCATCCCGTACCTCTGCGTCCAGTGAGACAAAGCGCTTCAATTCGTCATCACTGGCATGCTTCTGGAATAACTCCTTGACGGCTTTTCTTAGACCTTCGGGTGAGGTCATCTCACCGGCCACGTAATAAATGTCCGTGCAAATGCTATGGAGACACTCTCGCGCTGCCTTTGATCGATGCCTTTCCACTCGCAACTCGGCGACATTACTTAAATATTTATCACGCATCTCCTTTAGCTGTAGTTCGAGTTGGATGTTGTTTTGATTAAGGCCCTCCAACTCGTTTTCCATCTCAATGATATGTTTGCGCTTGTCATTAATTTGAAACTCTCGGGGTTCAATTTGCGCCTTCAATTCCGCTATTTTGTGGCCCAACACTTGTTTGTACTTGTCCAACTCCTGATTTTTGTGCAGTAGGTCCTGTATGCGTTTCTCCTTTGAACTGATTGCGTAGTCTCGATCGGAAATATCCTTTTGCAGGTCCTCGATGTTGCGTATTTGTTTTTGTATGTTTCTTTGAGATTTTTGGTGCTCTTCTTTGAGAATCTCGACCTCCTCGAGAAGATTGTCGATCTCTTGTTTCTGGTTCTCATACTTTTTCTGAAGCACGCCCGCCTTGCCACGCCACATTTGTGTCTCGTTACGCTCCGTAGTCAGTTTATTTTCATACTGCGTCTGCGTCTCAACCATATTTCGATCGTTTTCCAGTTCGACCTCATGGCAGTATTCGATAAATTCTGACTTCTTGTCCTGCATTTCCTTCATCAGCTCACGAATTAGGTCCTTGCGTTCTGCAAATAAATGTTAGGTTGCGCCTACATGCATATGTATTTAATAAGCTTTAGATACTTGCCGTCTAGTTGTTTCTTGTAATCGTTCTCAAGCGCCTCCACAGTGTCCTGTAGCGTTCCCGTTGATTTCTTCAACTTCTCCTCATAACTCTCACGTAACTCCAGCATGCTCTCGCGCAAGTTAGTGAACTTTTGGTACTCGATAAGCATTCGCTCCGAGTATTGGTTTGCCAAAGTCTCCAATTGATGGCGATGATCCTCCTTCATGTCGTTAATTTGGAAGGTAATCAAGTTCATTTCCTCAGTGTGCCGCTGCTCAATTTCGTTGTTAAGTTTTTTTAGCTCCTCTAGTGCTGCACAGTAGTTGCGATGAACCTCCGCCAGCTGCTGGCCGTCGAATATCTCATTCTGGCTTAACTGATACTGGAACTCTTCAGCCTGTTGCTTCAGGCGCAGCTCTAGGCTGGTAATCTGTTGATTTTTGTCATTTAGTTGGCTCCGTGGTATTAGGACTTCTTGACTTTTCATCAGGTCTTGATCAATTGGCGCCACTTTGCCATCAATGTTGTCCATGGCCCACACGGAAACGGTTCCGGACTTTGAAATGGCCATCAGTAAGGTACCGTCACAAGAGAAACGTAATTTGTTCACTTGACCATCGAAGAAACGGAAGTTGGTGAACATGCCACCTCCGGCATCTAAGAACGGTAGCTGTATATTGAACAGATTGCCATCATGATCTGCCACGAACATGATGAGATCGGAGCGCGCCAAACAAATGTCAGATATAGGCCCTTTACTATGCGATGGGACGTGTATTTCACGGACCAGCTCCGAGTCCTGAAACTCGCGTATAGTGCCAAAATTTGTGCCTGCATAAATAGAGAAAGGCTCGGAGAAGCTGCTGCAAACTGTCAAGTATTCAGTGCCCTTCTGTACAATCTCCTGTAGGCGAGAGCCCGTCTCAATGTCCCACTGATAGATAGCACCCTCAGCTCCACCTGAAATCAAATACTTGTCGGTCTTGGTCCAAGACACGGAGAGCACAGTTCCATTGTGCCCTTTCAGGTTGATAATCAGGTCAAGATTGTACACTGATGTGATGGCTATATTATTATTAAATGCAGCGGCCATAAGGTGGCCCAAATTAGAGTAGCGCACATCATTACAGTGCGGAAAATTGTAAGTCTTCACAATCTATATGGAGTAAAATAAATAAAATGCAGACAATGCTTTAAAAATATTCTATGCTTAACTGTACAGTACTTAATGATGGATCAAAGGATTAAAAATAAATGTTATGGTATCATAACATAACATAACATATCATATAACAAAATAAAAGCAGGAGTTAGAGAGTAGAAAAAAAGGATTAGCAGTACGAATCTATCTCTTCCATTTTGACTTGCTGATCCTCTAAATATTTGTTTGTTCTTTGGTTAGAGTGAACTTTTTTTGTGTGTATACTATCTTAGAATGAAGACATTTTTCTATAGGGCTCATCTTACATTTAGATCATCCATAAAAATCTGTGTTATGCGCAGCTGATCTGAGAAACCAATGGCAGCCATGAGACCTGTTGAGTTTAGTTCGACAATGTTGACGTCCACTTGAAACTTGCGAACCAGCTCTATCTGCGCCGTCTCATAATTCCATATTCGAATAGTTTGATCCTTTGCTATGAAGAGTACAACAAATTACGTATACGCCACATCCAATAACTAGATGAACCCTCTACTACTTACAAGCTGTCATCAAAATGGGTTTCCATGCACATACAGATAGAGCGATAACTTCTCCGGTATGTATGAGAACGCCCAGGGGCTCGAAATTTAGATGCTTCGTCTTTAGAGTTTCAGGTACAATCAGAACACCTACATAGATTTGTGAGTGCATTGTGGTCACTATGACCGTCTCCTGCTTATGGTCGATGGCTATATTGGTGATTTGATAAAGTGGCTCGGCATAGATTGTCACTGGGACTGTTAGTATGGTCTTGCGTTCGTATTTGAATTTGGAAACGCGCTCGAACACGAACATCTTGTTAAACATGATGAAGGCGAAACCTTTAGTGAAGGCCGTCATGCACAGTACCCGCTTATCGGGAAGATGTTGCGGAGTCTGCTGAATCGCGAATCGGGGCTCCTGTACATTACGTTCTCGATCGAATTGTTCCTGATCGATAAGCAGGTCCACAGTGTCTGCCTCGCTGGCTTTTTGTTTCAACTTCTGCTCGCCATTCTCCACAAGTATCAACATATCCTGATTGGTGCCCACCATTAGCAGGTCCATGGACAGAAATGCCATGGAGGTGACATGGTAGTTAACCTTCAGATTATTGCTTGTGGTAAAACCACGATCCGATTTACTCATCAGCAACAACGTGCTTTTCCCACCAACGGCCAAAAAACTGCAATCGCTTGGATTGCCGGCAATGCATTCAGCCCCGCCATGTGATCCCGTGACCGTGGCTCGACCTTCAATAACCGTGCCCACCTTGTCAAGCATCAGCATAAAAATCATTTCATCTGGTGGGTGAGTGACCACAGCAATGGCCCTAGAATCGTAGGTGAATATCATTTGCTGTACCGTTGTGTTGCGATGATTTCCCGGCAACTCCAAATGGCGTCGCTTCTTCAGCGTCGCAAGCTCATAAATGGAGATATAGCGGCCACTATTAGAAACAAAAGCTCATCATTATTAGTGAATGCAAATATACATAAGTCAAATACAAGAACCTTCAAAGGCTCACGAATTCAGAATTAGCATTAAGTTATTAAAGATCTATTAAGAACTCTTAAAATGCTGCATACTTTTTGACATGGCGCTCCAAAACAGCCAACAATTTGCGATGGGAGCTCATGGTAATTATTTCTGGTCGCGTATCCTCCGGAAATCTGCGAAACAAAAGCTTAGTGAAAATGAAGTAGTATTTTTTGTATTGCCCACCTCAAAAAGCGCTGTTTGTTGAGCACATAGTCATGGAAAGCCAATACTCCTTCCACCGGATAGATGACCTCCTTACTCAAATTGAAATTTATATTGCCAATCACGTCCGTGCGCAGGCCATAGATGAGACGCGGCCTTATGGCTACTGTTTGGGAGCTAGTAGATGGACGCTTGGCGTCCTCCATGTTGATAACTTTTAGTTAAAAGTGATTGAGATAGAAAATATATACATATATAGGCAATACGTGTGCTTTTAATAATGGTATAACTCTACCGATGTGTATTCCGATCAATCGGCGAAAATTCAACAAAATTTCGATCAAACAATTGAGGAATTGTTAAAGTATGTCTGACACAAAATCCAAGGCATCCATGGCACCTAGCAGCGCGCTAACAAGTGTTTGTGCGTTTCGAAAGCACAACATAAAAGCTCATCTCTTTCCATCACTCGTCATTTGCTAAAGAATTGTTCAGCCCAGATCTGAGTGGCTACTACTCGTATCTTATTTTTGATTTCCTGCATTAAATACATACTCGTACATAATTAAATGCCACTAAGCATGCTCTTAATTGTACAGGCTTAGTTGGTGCTCTCAAGGCGCATTTAGCGGTAAGTGGCTGGATATACATATAATATTAAAATTTCCCCAGCTGTCACATTCGTGCCGTCTGCCTTGCGTCCTTGTTGCCCAAGCACTTAAACTTTAATAAAGCGCCTATCTGTCCAATTTTTGTCTGTCTATTGGTTAGTCTGTTTGTCATGTCTGCCAGTTAATACCCCACTTTCTAGCTACTTGAGTGGTATTACTTGGCATTACCCAAGCTGCCGACAACACGACCTAACGCAAGATTTTGCGAAAAGCTTTTCGGCGCTCTTTTCGTTGTTGTGCTGTTGCTCGTGTAACTCTTTCTCATCAAAACCAAATTCTCTTAGACCAGAGCACAAGAGCTTTGTTCATACACAATCCAAATTTTTGACAAAGAAACAGTATCAACATTTTAAAAAATAAACCCTACGTTAGTAAATCAAACGCTTTACATTAGAAATGCTACAAACAATAAAACAAAACTCCGACAAACTAGCGAGCACAGAAATCTGAGCTTATTCACAAATTTACACGAGTTTTTGAGGTGGAAATAAAAGAACTTTGTATTCAAAGCATGCCGAACACAGTTAACTTTTTCAGTATCTTTAGAATGTTCTTATTGTGCATAATCTTATTTAGGACGTATTGGTGATGACGCGTCAAATTTTTCCTTGCATGTAGTATTAAAATAACTCAGGTCAGTAAAGATAGTGATTAAATATCAATTATCATAAATATGCCCTCAAAGATATGCAATTCTTTTTGTTTTTCGAATTTTTCGCCATTTCCGTGTCAGTGTACTTTACTCGCTCACGACTCTCTCGCTGACTCTCTGTCCTCGCTCTCTTCGTGCATTACAACTTTGTGCCGCTGCCTTGGCTTGTGTGCTCATTCAAAGAAGCCAAGTGTTAGCGGCAGCGACTGTGGCAGCAGAGTCAGCGACGCTTCCTTTCTTCAGTAGTAGTTTTCGCGGCGGCCGCAACACAACAGATTGGCGGAGTAGCCACACAAAGTTCCAATTCAAATTCGATGCAACGAAACGCTGAACGTTAGCTGTTGTTAGCTATATATATGTAGTAGCTTAGTTTTATCGACGATGATAGATAACGTTTACAAGTGGAACTTGCAATAGAGCAACAAAAAGTGCGTTAACAATAGCACCAACAACAGCCAACTGAAGTAATTTTAGAAAGTTTGTCATAACAATATTTAATAGTAATAGTCGTATTGTTAAACGTCCACTGCGTCAATGTGTTTGTTTTTATACGTGAGTGTGTGTGCGTGCGCTTGTATTTGGAAGCGTGTCTACCATTAAACGTTCAAAGTACGACGTGTACGTGTATACGAGTATGTCCATGCCCACTTTTCTATATTGTGTGTGCGGGTTCTTTAAAAGGGCAGAGGGCTTTCCTTCACCCTAATCGTGGTTGCTCAGCCCTGCAATCAGTGAAAAGCTCATTTTGAATTTCATCGCCATTTAAGATATATGTACGCTTGATTTGTTGCGTTAAAAAGCAAATAAAGTCGAACAAACAGCGAGAAAACAAGTGAAATATTAATGTAATGTAATTTTACGCCCTTGGCCAAAGCAAGCAGACAGACAGCTGCTGCCTGTGGCAATTAAAAAGTCATTTTTATGTTTTGCATTGTACATTTCTGAAATTTGCAATTACCACCTACCGTGTGTTTTCCTGTGTTTTCCTGTGCTCGATTTATGGATGTTTCCATTTATTGTTCCGTTTTGCCCACGCCTAGGCCGTAAATCTGTTTCATCTGGGCAATATTTGAAGCGTAGCAAGGCGCACGTAAAGCGCCCAATGTATAAACAATATACAGATTTATATATAAATATATAAACAAAGTCAACCGCGCCTTCAACAAAAGCAACGTTAAGAAAATATACATGTGGTATAAAACGAATGCCGTACACCTCAAAAACAGGTCAAAGCAAAATCTGAAGAAAACAACATTTTCAAATTATATATGTATAAGAAAAAAATCGCAGTCCAAGTTGGAAAGTTGCGTGTGCTGCACATGTTGAAATGTCTGGCCACAAAAATACGCACATACTACACATGATATATTTATACAGTTATGTTATTTTTGGCTCACAAAGTAATGCACATACAAAGCGCTGCAGCATCAGCCCCAGCAGCGGCACATATACATAGTATGTTTATAAATACCAAAGATTCAGTACGAAATAAGGAATTAGTGAAATGTAGGTACACGGTTTAGGTTGCTTTAATGGTAAAATGTTAGGCTGTAGCTTTTTTTTTTAAATACGAGTATCAAATTCTTCTGTTTTGAGTTCACTGAACCACAAACAAGTTTTGCTTCGATAGAAATTGCAGAGAGTAACTCTGATTAATTTCAAATTTAGTTGAAATTATTATTTTCTCAAAAAATGCTTCAATAATAACAATAATTTTACTATATGTATATTAATGTTTTAAGCGGAAGACCAATCGAGTATTAAACGTTGAAATAAATATTTATTTGAGTACATTTTGTGTTGAAGCCTAAAACAATTTATTAACAGAAAATAAAAACCTGGTATGCATCGAGACGAGGAATTTTTTAGGTGTGTATGTATGTATATATGCATATGGGAATGCTTTATGCATGTCTTTGAAAGAAATATGAGCAACAGCAACCTATGACAACACATAAATGTTGGGGTACACACGGCACACACTTGCATACTATACATAAAAAACTTTCAAATGCCATGCCACAGCAGCCCAACTAACACAGCAGCAACAAGATCAACAACAACAATAGCAATAACAATGGTTTAAGGGCCAACAAGAGCGCGCGCATTGCTGGAAAAAATTTAAGCAACTAGCAATTGTGCGCGCTTAAAGTGCATTGACAAACAAATACATACATACATATACGTACATAGAGTATACAAACATGTAGATACATAATATATTATATGCGCGCGCTATGGCTTATATCTATATATATATATATATGTGTGTGTGTGTGTTTGTGGGAGGGTGGGTGTATTTGTGTCAGGTCCCTTGCTAAACCGAATAAAGTGCTTTTGTTTTTACAGCCAGAAAATAATAGCATTTTCCTCTCTACACCATTTTACACAGTACATATACACAGACATATGTATGTACTCGTATATACATCCGCACTCACACTCTTGCATTGCTAGTTGTAGTCGGGCTAGTAGCCAAGCAGAGGCGCGCTTTTGAAGCCTTTTTGGTAGCGACTGAAAGACTGAAAGTAGCTCATCGATATAGCCTCTGGTCAAATTGACCTTTTTCCACGCACACTCACACGCACATTTACCCATACACGCACAAATTGTTGGCAGTGTTGTCTGTGAAGCAACAATTTAATGCGAAAACAGCTGATTGATTTATTGTTTGGTACGTAGTTGCTAGCTGCTAACAAAAGTGAAAGCGAAATGCCAGAAGTTCGTTCAAAGCAGTCGCCGCAACGTATGCAATGGAAAATCATAAGTTGAATTGCTTGCATGGCCAAAGCTATGCGTGTTCCCGCACTCACACACACACACACACACACTAACACACACATTCATGTGTCCGTGTCTGTTGTCGCTATAATTAACAGCGGCAGTGAGCGAGTAAGCACCATTTTCATTTTACGATTACCGCTTTCACCTACTTATTTTCTTTTGTGAGCGACTGCATGCCCACAACAACAATAATGACAGCAATGGCAAAAACAACATCAAAACAATGGCTTTCGTGTGCGTCACCACTGACAGACCAGCCAACCAGTCAAACAACTGGCCATCAAGGGCTAACGCTGACACAGTTTGGACGTTCATGTCTAATGAACAATTTCATTAATGTTTCAAACATTTTAAAGTGCCAAGTGTACTTCACATTTACATGCCACAAACACATAACAGCCGCTCATTTCAAAATTTGAAAAGAGCTGCATGCCAAAACGTAAGCCATAGCGCAAAATGATATGAATGATGAAAGAATAGGATTAAAATAGTCTTCTTCGTCTTCTTCGTTTGTATACCCTGCACTGTCCTTCACAAAAAAATTTGTTTTCCTACCATTTGGTGCCAAATATTAGGGATTTTTCAACTTTATTGACAAAAATGTATTATTTCTCGTTATACACCACCAAGCCCTTGTACGCATCTCCCGCTATTTATTTATGGCAAATATTTCTGCCACTCATTGTACCCTTGAAATAAGAGGTATAAAAAATAAACGGCCAACATAAGAAAATTTTTAATGCCAAGGGCTAAAATGTTGTCTTAAGCTGTTGACTTCGACATGAGCAGCTCGTATTATTATTACTTTGCCACAACAACAGTGAAAGGCATCAAGCTGTATCATCAAAAAGCGAAAAGAGAGACAACAAGAGGAAGTGAAAATGGAGCGTACACGAAAACTCATTTATAAGTGCTTTAACTTTATTTTTTGTACTGACGGAAAATGCCAGGCGACAATTTAATGTGACTTTTCACTTATTTATGGGCTGGCAGTGGGCACCTGTCAGTGCCAGGCAGGTTAAGACCCACACATGCCATCGGCCGCATAGTTTATGCCTTACAGATACCAGCATAAATCCCGGTAGTGATTATTTCGAAAACTCATAAAATACAAAAACACAAAAAATGGAATACAAATGGTCGCACATAACGCAAAGGCAATCAAAGCTATATAAGCTAAGGTTGGCAGGGAGACGAGCTGAATGAAGCTAAGACACACATATTCACACAAAACAGCGCAACATTCAAATACATACAAGTACACACGTTCACATTATTGCGTGCGGCAATTGGAAATTGAATTGAATGGCGCGTGCATATGGGAGTGTGTGTTAATGGTGGGCATTTGAATTTGAGTATGAAATGAATATGAAATTGCGCCGAAACACACATTCCTGCATGCATGTATAGTACATACTTATGTGTGTGTATTGGTATGTGAATAACAACATAATACACAAGCACATACTGAAACTTAAGCAAACTGCTGTCTCACACGACGCATACGCAATGCCAATTAAAACAAAAGCCCAAAAGTAGGCAGCACATTTTTAATACCCTGCACTATACACCAAAAGTAAAAGGAAATAAAGTAAAATATCGGAAGCGCATTTGCTACAGCGGTTGATGTCATAAAAGACATTAAATTATAATTATGACTACATATACACACATTAATTTTATATCGGAGTCGTAAAAATCGGCTTGAAAACAATTTAGCAAATTCGCTGACATTCTACGAGTATATATATTTCCATAATAAATTATTGCAATTGCGATTATAGTCGATTAGCTTGACTCGTCTGATTAATTTGAATTAACTACCTAACTTGCATATATTCAATGTAGATGTCGATTTAAATGGAACATCTGATTCGATTATTTCTGTCTAATTAGCTTTGCAAATGGCCAAGCTTAGTGCAATTTTACAAATTGAAATACGAAGCCTGTTTGCTTATGAAAATTGGAGTTCAAGCCGTTCAAACACAGGTCAAAGAGTAGCAATAGAGCTTAATAGTACTATTAGATTAGATTAGGTGGAAAGCAAAAGTTGTTGTTTTGATACCAATATATATTTATAATATATATACTGAATTTAAATAGTTCGAATAACGAAAATATTTTTGAAAATGGCCCATTTCGCCCATAATCGCAAATTTATTAAACATACATTCGCACTAAATAAGAAAATATAAAACACCATGCATTTAAAAACTAATAACAAAACATTTCCATTAGTCAAAAATATATTGCATTTCATTTTTCAGTCGACTAATCTTTACATTTTTGTTCAGCTTCATAGGGTATTCCACAACTGAGCGTGCTCACCATATTTGCTTTATTTTTTCTTTGTCCATTATATTTTGACTCACAAAATTGTGTCTGTATGTGTGATTGGTTTCCATTATAATTAATGTACGTCCATTGTATTCCGGCTGTAAGCTATTAATGCCATCACTTTATTTATTGCAGCCTCTGCCGCCCAGATACAACGCCAAGTAAATAAAACAGCATAATTTAGCTTGCCGTCAAGTGGACAAACGAAAAACAGCAACAATAACAAATTAAAGCACCAACAAAGTAAAGCGCAACAAGAGAGCATTCAATAAAATGCCACCTAAATGTTTTGGTAATTACGCAAAAATTGTTTACAAAATGCGCAATGTATAAAATTAAATAAATGCGCCAAGCCGACAACGATGCCAACAGCAGCAACGTCAACATTAACAGCAAACAAACAATTTGTAGCAGGGCCCTAAACATCTACAATAGCGACAGCGCCTGATGGCGACAGCGACAAGTGGCGGCAAAAATAAGAGCAACACCAACAACACGGGCAAGGCAGCAAAGCAAAGCAAAAGAAACTAAAGAGCTTCGGGCACTCATTGAATTAATTTCCAGAAAAACAAATACAAATAAAAAGCGCGGTAGGCCACCAAAAAGTAACGCATTGCCTCCTACCGAGGCCAAAGGCCACGGAGCAACTACAACCAGAAAAAAGGAGAATTTACTCAAAGGCTGGTCGCCGTCTTTTGTGAAACCAACGGCATTGCTTGGCAGTCGGCGCTGCGAGTTACTGACGCATTGACGAACCGACTGCGAGCCTGAAAGTCAGGCTGCCTGGCAGACAAAAGGTGCTTTTTATTGATTTTGTAAGTAAGGGAAAACATTGCGGTCGGAAAAAAAACAAATACCCAAACGCAACGTGAATAATTCTAACTTAAAACAGTAACAACATTGAAGACAACAGCAAAAACAACAGCGACGACGACGACTACACGAAACGTTTAGAAAATCCTTTACTTTTGCTTTCACCTCGCTTCAGTGCTCTTCAATATAACGCCACGTTCAATTCATTGCCTACACACTCAGCACACCCCAAAGGGACATCATAAAACACACACACAGAAAAGTTGTTGGTAAAAATACTTAAGCACACGCATTAAATATGGCAAACGCATAAAACAAATAAAAATAAATGCCAAAACTGAAGTTATAGCACATTGCTCAAATGTCAATGGCGGCTGACATTATTAACGGCCATGCAGAGTCAATTAGAATAAAGCAGTAGCACCAGCAACAACGAAAACCAAACAAGAAAAAACAAACAAGTAAATAGTCCCATTTTGGCATGCAACGCTCCTTCAACAATCGCCTGCATATTTCATCAGTGAGCAAACTAAAAGTTAAAAGAACTAAAATTCATAAACAAATTGTGTAAACAGTAGCAACAACAGAAAAAACAGCAACCACAGCAACAACAACAGCAATTTCATTGCATAGAGGAAAAGTGAGAACAAAGAACAACAAGAAAGACTGATTTTTATTTTCTATTGTATGTGTATGTTTAGTTAGCTTATTTTTGCAACTAATATGAGAAGCAAGCACACAAAATCGTCTACAACTACAACAACTATAGGCGACACGTGTGCACGTAGTGCGCGTTTCAAACGAAACCCTAGCAAAGCCTTCAGATTCAGTCAAAACAAAGGCAGAGATAGAGACACAAGCAATTGTCAAAACAACAACAACTACAGCAAGCATAAAGGTAATACCGCACGTCAAGACAAAATCCAAGCAACGTGCAAACAAAGCCGCAAACGCCACAAGAGTTGCCGTTTCACAAGCAACAACAGCCTCAAAACCAACGAAAACAACAACAAGAGCAGTAGTGGTCGAAAGATGAGCAGCACCTTTGGCATCCCTAGCAGGAGGAGCAGCATGTTTATATTCCTTGTTGTGTTGTTTGTGAATGCCTGTCTAGCGGGTGAGTGCATTGTGCAAGACTTTCTGCAAGGACTTTTCCTGTTATTGGCATGTCCTTCTTTCTCTCTCGTTCCCCCATTACCCCCTTACACTCTCTTGGGAGCAGGCACCATACCAGCAACGCCAGAGAACATAACGGTCACATTTCTAACGCCTACATCCGTGCGCGTCTCCTGGCAGACAATGATCGACCTAAATGCACATCCCATTGAGAAGTATATAGTGACATATAAACCAACTGATGACAGGTAGGTACAACTAATGGAATGGCATTACCATGCAGATACACAGGCATGCCGCAGAAATCTGGTTAAGAAAAGAGATTCTCCAAATCGTTCACAAAAACTCAGTACATAAACGTATTTGGCAAGACATTCTATACATTTGATTTGAAATTTATTTAATATCCCTATAAATATTTGGTAAATATAAAACAGGCAATCAGGTACATTTTCGTTTAATGCAATTCCATTCCCAAATTGGGAATTCCCAATTTCCTCTTTTGTACAATTTGAAAAACTAAGTTATCGCGATTTCGACAAATTTAACATAAATCGGTTTTGAAAACACACATTTCTATGCGTTTCAAAATAGAATTAAATTTTTGAGCTGTATGTACTTACTTCATTACGAACAACAAAATTTATTAATAAAAATTAAAATAAATCGCAACTTAAATGTGAAGAAATATGAACAAAACAAAAAATGTGGACAAAAATATAAAACAACCTTAAAAATCCAATTCCACTCTTTTGGGCTTTTCAAATTGTTTGCCCAATCTTATTATTCAGCTACAGTATTAAATAATTTATGGCCCAAATTAAACTAGCTATACTTGAATGTCAATAATTTTACTCTCAAAGCATTTTCAATAATACGAAACAAAACAAAAAATGTGGACAAAAATATAAAACAACCTTAAAAATCCAATTCCACTCTTTTGGGCTTTTCAAATTGTTTGCCCAATCTTATTATTCAGCTACAGTATTAAATAATTTATGGCCCAAATTAAACTAGCTATACTTGAATATCAATAATTTTACTCTCAAAGCATTTTCAATAATACGAACAAAAAGCGCATTAACCGTAATCTGAGTTTAAAATGTGAATTATTATTTGGCGTTTCACTTAAATACTTTATGTGGAATCTTGGAAACATAAACATATTTAAAGTGCAATATCAGATTAAGATTTCAACTTAGTAGCCTAGCAAAGCATTATGTCCCTGTATTATGTATGTATAATTTGAACAATCTAAATGTGCTGCACGCGAACAATACTATCAAGAAGCAGCCTACTGCATAACAAAGAAACAACTGGAGATATCTGTGGCATGCCCTGTAGCCTAAACACCAAGCCAGTACTCAAAAGCCAACTGCACTGCACTTGAAATTAATGGGCGCACTTGGGGGTATGCTTTGAAAAGAAGCAATTTATGCAGAGAGCTTTAAAGAATGCAATATCCACTGTATAGTTCATGCAATTGACAGGCTCAAGTCGGGCAAGTCGGGGCAGCAATGAAAATGTGTGTGTATGTGTGTATGTATTTATGTTGATACATATGTATTTGCCTGCCCGTCTGCGTGCGTGTGTGTATGTGCGTGCTGGCCATGAGCTAATAACAGTTCAAGCAAGCCAACAAACAACAACAAAAAAGTCAAAGCCAACTGCTGACCGCTGCAGCGCCGAAGAAAAACAAAAAGAAAAGGCAAAAGGGCAACACTGTTTGGCTGAGGGAGGCGCGTGTACTTGGCTTCAATTGTAAGAGAGTTGCAATTTAGCGGCCCAGTGTGAGCGAGATAGAGCAAGGGCACGAATGTTCAAAGGAAAACTGCTTGTAATCGTAATAATTTACTTGGCCCATTGCCTTTTGCTTTTGTTGCTGCCGCAGTGATTTTTTTGGTGCTCGCTTTGTTCCTTCCTTCCTTACGTTTTTGGAAATTGCCAAGCAAGTGTTGTTGTTGTTGGTTTTGTTGCATATTTGGACTACAAACTAAACACTTCCGATTTTTTTGTTCATTCTTGCTTTTTGTCGTTGATGTGGCTGAGACGCTGAAAGACGTGACGTGCCGTGCTGTGCCGTGCCGCGTAATAAGTGTAGTGCTCGGCTTTTCCGCCTTTGGTTGCAAGCTGTACGCGACTTTGGCATGTCCGTGTTGTTCTTCTGGTCAAGGTGTTTTCAATTTAAAAACTCTTGGTATGCATACGAGCCTATATACCTATGTATAGTATGTATAGTATACATACCATACATACATATAAATGCATTGATGGCTCTGTGTGTGCGGCTTTGCTGCATGCGCGTGTTTGTCTTTAACTATCGCGTTAGCTATTGTTGGCATTGATCCTACTACCTACTACTTGTTGTTGTTGTTGTTTCATAAAGTTCACGCCTATGTCAGAATTTTATTACAGTCATTTGACGTCCAGTTTGGTTCTTATTGTTTATTACCTATTTTTTATTTTATTAGTTTTGTTTTTGACTTTTGTGTTAGTTTTCTATCGATTTTTTTTGATAGTCTCGCCCTGGCATTTGCGCTCACTTGTCATTACGCTAGAAGTTGGGCGCTATTTGGGGGCCTTCTTGTGTATCTTCCTACCGGTTTTCGAGTAAATTGTCCCTTTGAATAATGTATGATTAATACATGGACACGTTGACGCTTGGTCTCCAGTGTCCTGACTTTTATAGAAAGGGAACACAGAAAGACTGACATACATACATATATATTATATCGATATAAATATATATTTATATGAACGTTTATAATTATTAGATGGATGCACTCATACAGACAGAGGTGTGCAGGCCACTCCCATGCCTACGATACAGCACATACACTCCAATTAGTTGATTTATTAAATTCATGCCTCGTTTGACAAGACTCTGGTATGAGCATTTCAGACCGTCCAACATGTCGATATACCGAGCGTCCGCTATCAATAAAGAAAATAATAAATAACAATTACTGTCAGGCAAGTACTTTGGACAGACAGTTGGTTAAACAAAGAAAGACAAGCGGGCTGCAAGCGCAGCAGAGGACGCCACACTGCTTAGCCAACGCACACACACACACACACACATGCTATTCGCAATCAATTCAAAACATGCTGCAATCATGGCCCGTCCGAAGATGTAATTATTTAAATTATTATTACTCTTACTGCTATTGTTGTCAACCTCATGTCTTTGCATACACACACAGATAGGTTTTAATGAAATGAAAAATATGAAATGTCAAGGTTTTCTCAACTCACGAATGTATGCTATAGTTTTTTTTATTGCTTTCGTCGTCCAGCCACGCTATGATGAATTAAGTATAAAGTATGTTCTCATATCAGTTAGAATATTCGTGCTACAAGCTTGTAGTTCCCGATTACTTTTTAGTTAGAACAATACATAATTGCGCATTAAATATGAAAATGGAAACAACAACAAGCAGAGGTATGGAAGTTGTAGAAATTGCAAGTAACATGTTGGCAAATCGAATGAAATGAAATCACTTACCAGCATCATTTTTTCTTCACTTCAGACAGTTGTCAGCTTATTTTTTATTAAATGCTCCGGAAATTGCCAAAAGTGAAGCCACATTCCACATAAAAGTACATTGTACAATGTTTCAGCACATTGACTTAAAAATCCATTATCCCAGCCACCTCTATCCCAGCACTTCGAATTGTGGCTCGAAACGCCCTCCTGTGCCAAATTCTTATGCATTTCAAATGCCAATAAGCTGAGCAAAGGGATAAGCAAAAGGGTATAAAAAGTCTCGCGTGCGTACACTTTGTGGCCAATATTATTTGCGAGTTTGGCGTCCCCAACGATGCCACCTGCTCTGCGCTACCTGCTGCTTGCTGCCTGCCGCTTGACGCACGACGCAGCTCATCTGACATGCGAAAATTGGCTGGGCTAAGGTGCGCGCATTAAATTTGATTTGACTGGGCCTCCCAAAAAGGAAAACTGAACCAAACGAATGCTACAAAATAAAGTAAAACTTAAATAAGCTGAAACTCTAGATGGCGAGCACGACAATAGCACATATGTTGCTGTTTGTATAAAGCGGCCTAATTTGTTAGTGTTGTTATTGTTGTGGCTGGTCGGGCATAGTCCATTGGGGGCCGTTGCGCTGTCGCGGATGAGAATATGCGAGGTCTGTCTGTGTGTGTGTGTGTGTGTGTGTCAGTGTGTGTGCATATGTATGTATCCATGTGCTTTATGAATAATGAATCATTTGTTAGACATGTTGTTGTTCCTGTAACAAGAGACGTTACACAAAGTACACATAGGCCAGAGTTCGAAGGAAATGGTAGCAACGCACTTTCCCACACACACACACACACACCCATAAAGACACACACTCCACAGAGAAACCAAGTGTATACGAAAATCGAGGACATGTTGTAAAACTACTCGGCAAGAGTGTGACAAACTGCGACTCTGTGAAATATTGCCCATGCTGTAATTACGGCCTCATATTTCAAGCTCTGCATAGCCTGTTAATTGTAAATATATACATAGATATTAGTATGTGCGTATGTGTATGAGTGATACAGAGAGACAGAGAGAGAGAGAGAGAGAGAGAGCGTGTGTGTAGTTGATTGCAATTCGCTTGCGCTACAATCGCACCACACTTAGTAGCTGGTCGAGGGTGGTAATTGAATTAATTTAAGTTACAGGGTTGTACAGGACGTCGCCGGTAACAGTGAGGCCATTGTCCTAGATCGCCTCCTACCAAGCACACAATACTCTCTGGCTGTAACGGCCATCTGGCTGGGCAAGAAATATCGAAGTCGTCAGCAAATCATATTTAAAACATTAGGTAAGTACTTGTAAAACATGCTTTAGTGGATCTCTATAAATAAACAGTATAGTACAATAAACAAAGCTTCAACTTTGGACTTATTATTGATGCTAAAATGTATAATACTTCTGCATATATTTTCGATAAGCATTTCGATACGAGATGATTTAATTTTTGATATTCCCCTCTCTCGCGCCACAGAAATGCAATTCATTTCAAACAAAAGAAATAAAGCTTTATAAATCAAAACGATGTCTATAGAAAATTTGATTTGCCTTTTTTAGATGCAGAAAAAATTTCAGTTAACGATAATCGAAATGTTAAGTTGTCTTCACTTTTTAAATATTAGTGAAGAATAAAATGCTAGCGTTTCTAACAAATGTGGCATTAAGTCTGTTTTTTAAGTCTATAGCTATTTTTTAAGTTAAAGCTATGCCAGCTTTATATTGCTTCATATATTTTAAGGAATGCTTACTGTATTTTGTGCAAGTTCTATTTTTACATTAATCGAGTTTCTTTAATGCAATTACATATACTTTGCAGATTTGCCGAAGAACAATTCGCAGCAGGACTTAGCCTCGGGTGGCTATGGGAACAGTGTGGCTGGGCGTAATGCCAACACTGGCACTGGTAATGGCAGCGCATTCGGCGACGATGTGACCTCAACGGCCACCAATACGCTAACGCACAGCACGACGCGTGAACTGCCAACGGTAAGGTCGATGCAAACAACTAATGAAATCACTAAGCCCAGAACGTTCCCAACATGCTGTTGCAGATACGTGGTGTCGAGATTGGCATAGTCCTGATTGTGTTAATGGTGTGGGCTGGCGCCATTGCGCTCTTCTTCAATCGCTGGGGAAAAATCCGAATGCTATTGCCCTATCAGCCGGACTATAAGCATGAACAGTTGAAGGTGCCCGGCACAGGGGTGTGCAGCGCCGGTGGCTGCAATGGTCAGCACTCACATCAGGTAAGTGCTGTCGAGGGTCATTTGGAGCGTTTCAATTGTGGGGCGTGCGGAGCTGGAGCTTTCCGGGGTTGCTCTCTCCATCGCCCTCTTGTCAATGAATTCGCTATAACTTATCTATGTGTTTCATTCGATATTATGCTTTATTTTTAGAACCTACACCCCGATTTCTTTGTGAAGGTATTCAACATATTTAATTTTTCAATAACTTATAACTTTAATCATTCAATACATTCAATTTTTGCATTCAATTAGCTTTTGTGCATCAAAGTAATTATTTGAATTTGAAATCCATTCACATTTATATTACTTAGTGCACGCCCGCATACAATTTTCGAATCTCTGCTCCTGATTTCAACATGGAATCCAAGCAAAATGCTTTTTTTAAGCCATGTGCTAATATTCTTTAGGAGTATTACCATTCAGTCGATTGTCGGACTATCATTTTGATCTAAATAAATTGTAAAAATTAATTCAAATTAAACTGTCAAGCAGGATATAAAAAATATTTAGCAAATAGAAAAGGTCAATCGACTGACTGTGAATATCCTCATTTATTTCCATTTATAAAAAAAAGATTTAAATGCAGGATGCCAGGCTAATTTTTTGTTTTTTATTTAACTGAAAGTATTGGATCTTACCGCCACACGACCACTGCAGAAATGCAGGCTTGCATTATCCTTGCTATGGTTTGCCGAAGAATTTAGCACTTTGCTCGTTTTATATGCATATTTATACTGCTTTTGATTTACCTAGAAATCAGCAAACATTTTAGATATCGGCTTCCAATAATAAATAAATAATTAACAAACATACGATATGCCATCCATACTTGTATGTACATCGTACTCGTGTCAATTTAGCAAAAGTTAGAACCGCACACAGCTCTTTGACCCAATCAATCAAGATCAATCATTTGCAATAGTTTGAAACACTCGAAATTCAATTCAATTCATATGCATATGCGTTAATTATAGAGCTACATATTTAGTGATCCCCACACTTGGGGCCTTGAATTTTGCTGTTGAGGCTTGACCTTTCTAAAGAATTCACTGACATAACGTTCCTCCTTCCTTCGCTTGATCGCATTCCTCATCGTTGACTTACTTCCGAATCGATCCCGGCAGTGTCTGCCACGCTGTGAGGGCTGTGGACTCTTTGATCGTTGCTTTCAATATCCGCGTCGCGAACTGGAGCGCGACTGCGGCTGTCAGTTTGCGCTACTCCACAAGGCGGATGTAGAGAGCTAGCAACCAGTGCATCGCGAGGCGGTCACGGCAAGCGTATCTGCAGAGGGTTGCGGTGGCAGCAGCGGGAATGCAACAGCTAGCCATGGCACGCCAACGAACACCTATGTGCGTGGGCCCAGTGTCGACAATCAGTCCATAGTGGGTGCCAACATTCTAAACCATGTGGACAGCATAGACAACAGTGTCGCTGCCCACGACGATCCCGATGATCTGGCAAAGGAGGAAGGCCAGGCGGCTGCGGAGAGGCAGCATCTGCTGCAGCAACAGCGGGAACGGGATGTGGTAGTTAAGCAACGCATTCTGCCGCTCCAGGCAGCAACAGTTGTACGCTCCAAGCAGCGCAAATTTGCGCAACAGCGCAGCATACTTAAGAACTCCCACGAACGCACCTTTGTCGAGGACGACGAGGTGCTCGAGGCCAAAAAGCAATTGATATTGCGTCGACGCCGATTGTTCAGCCACTATCGACAGTATGAGCAGTGGCGCCGACGACAGTTTAGCTACGATCCGAGCTACTTTCGCGCGCCTCCGTTGCCGCTTGGACAGATGGCAGGCGCTGATTACGGGGCATATGGCGGCAGCGGCGCATGCGCATCTGGCGTTGGAACTGCCGCCCTTGCCGCTGGAGCCGCACCAGTCGGGCCAGGTGCGGGCCGCAGGCGGCGTCAGTACCGACGCCAGTACTCCTGCGCGGATCGCAGCCGGGATGGGTCCCGCGAAAGCCGGGGCTCCTCCACGCTGCAGAAGTACCGCAGCATGGTGGCCAGCGATACCATACACACCGACTCGTCCGTTATCAATCATAGCAACTACAGCGAACCGGCCAGCGTAAGTTGCCTGCCCTCTCAAGAGGCAGCACCTGCTTGGTGCACGAATTGTTCGTTCGTTCGTTCGTTCATTCCTTTGTTCGATCGCTCGCTCGTTCGTTCCTTGGTTCCTTGGTTCGATCGTTCGTTGCGATATTGCACACAAACACAAATACACACCCACAACCACACACACACAAACACCCACAAAGTTTGCACCATGTGTTTGTAAAGGCGGCCATGATTTACTTCTGCCACCGCTCCGGTGAAGCACAACGCACCCATTGTACACCGAAAAACGAACACTCTGTAAAGAAATTGTGCAAGTCCCAAAGAGTAGCAAAACGAGTTGTCATTCACAAGTGGTCCCACATTTGTATACATACACATATGTTTAGTTATTTAGTCAATTTATAGTTAATTATTATTTAGTTTTGATATCATACCACATTTTATATTCTTGTCAATTTTTATACCCTGTACCCGTAGAGTTAAAAGGGTATATTAGGTTTATGTAAAGTATGTAACATGCAGAAGGAAGCATCTCCGACCCCATAAGGTACATATGTATATTCTGAATCAGCATGACGAGAGAAATCGATCTAGACATGTCCGTCCGTCCGTCCGTCCGTCCGTCTGTCCGTCTGGATGAACGCAAGGATCTCAGAAACTATAAAAGCTAGAATAACCAAAATTGACATCCAGATTCTCCTAGGTCCGAGAAAGTGCGAGTTTATTTTTATTTTTTTTTTCATTTTCCCCCCCTTCCCCCGCTACAGAATTTCGTCAATAGCGTCCACATTTCAAATGCTACCTAAACCAAACTTTGCACACATAATTTATATATAATTGTCCACTGTTGTTCAAAATTCTATTCAATTCGGTCAATTTTAAGAAAAGTTATATATATATAACTCAGTGACGGAAGTTTAGTTGGGTATAGGGTATTACACTGTCGGGCTTGCTCGACTGTAGCGTTCTCTCTTGTTTTAAATTCAACTTAGATGTAATCTTTTGATTTCGAGCTGGAATCACGAAAATAAAAATGTGACGGATCGAGAAATAGGCCTAATTTCATTGCATTATTTTTAAAGTATGAGAAAAAACAGATGCGTATTTGTGAATGGCAACTTGCGCTCCGACATGCGCTACACACAGTCACAGAAGCACCCTTCTTTCTTGGTCAGCTTGTGCCAACGATTTATAGCCCAGCTCGTGCTTTTAGCTCCGCACCGTGCTCACCCGTACACCCACTACAGCAACAAATCAACTCAGTGCCTCACGCTTGTCGCTTATTAGGTGTGCGTTCCACGCTTCCGCCTGTTGTGCTAGATTAGATTACTTTTCACTAGTGTTTGTTGTTTTCGAAGGATCGTGAATTTTTGCAGGTCCAGGCAATGCTTTTTCGTATATTCTATGTGTGTGTTTGCTTATGTAGGTGCTAGGCCTATATGTGTGTCCTAAATATGTGTGACAAGCCTTCTTGCTCTTCTTTCTCTCTCTCTCTCTCTCTGTCTTTTTTCCCTCATTTGTGTTCTCTCTTTCTCTATTTCCAATGAAACAGTTCGACAGCAGTGAATGTGGCGGCACCTTTGCTCACCCACCGTTGCACTGCAATAACCGCGTAAGGATCAGCGCATAGCTGAAGGGTTTTCATTACCATGCCAATGTCCTCTCGCTAATTTCTCTTTGTTTTCCAGCACATCCACATGTTGGCCGAGGAACACTCCACATCGATCTCGGAGCGCTGCACCCGCAGTCGCATCAACTCTGCCATTTTTGTGTCGTCGGAGGGCAGGGGATTCGACTCCATTGAGTTCCTGCGGCGTCATGGCTCACAGAGCGTCCTATGCCGCAAGGCGAAAAGTGCGGAGAATATCACCGACAATGGTCGCAAGGTATGGTATAACACCAGCTCTATAGCTATATAGCTCGACTAAGATAGCACATTTCATAATTTCCGGAAAATATTTTTCTCATAGTCGTTAGTTTTTCTATAGGTTTTTTATGAGCTCTAGTTTTTCCTTGAACTGAGTACGGCAACATCTTAATTAACTTTTACACCCTTTATGATAGAATATTTAAAAAAATTAAGATCAAGTGATTATAAGTAACTAAACTATTGTTTATCCGGCTAATAAAAACATCTATTGCAGAAGAGCTTTTCAGACAAACGCCAATGGCGTACTGATGATGAGTCCGCCAGGAAGCAGAACACCTCACAGGACAGCAACGACATCGAACTTAAGGAATGCGGCGGAGCCGGTGGGGATCTACTCACATTGCCGGTCCTAAATGCCCACGCGGTGCACGATCCAAAGCAACCACCCTCTGCAGTGACCACTCTACTGGCGCGATCGGCAGCCATTACCACAGCAAATGTCATAGTGGGCAGCATCTCATTGGAGGCGCCACCGCCCTACATGCAGGATGATGATGCGCAATCGGGTCATATGCATAGTGAGGCCGCTATTGTAAACGAGCCATCCCAAGACTCCGCAGAAACAGTCGAGGAGCTTGTGCAGGTATCATTGCTACCTAATGCCAACGCCACCGCTACGATCACGCCCAGTGCACCCAGTATCGCCATTGAGGCCAAACCCCGTGTACTGGTGCACCAGCGGTCCTCGACAGCCTCCTCCTCGCCGCACAGCAGCCCCAAGCAATTGGGTCTGAAAATAATCAAGCCCAAAATCAGCGCCGTGCCAATGGTCTCAGTATCAGGTCCATCGCCGCCTATTGAGAAGCCGCCGCTGGCCGAGTGCTTGTAACAAATGGCTGCCGAAACATTTATCTAAGCGTGCGCTCAAGGCAATTTGACACCAAGTCAAGCCGAAACATATTGCAGGAACACGACCGCTCACGCCCACACCTCCGCCATAGCATATCCCCAGACGCACTGAAGATGGCCCCATCACCACACTAAACAGCACACCCCCACCCCCCAGATCGCGTAATATGAAACGAGACCTAAGGTGAATATAAATGTTGCCAGCTGCTCAAATAAGTGTTTCGGTGTAGGTTACCTAAGAAAGGAGATGAAGAAGGTAAAGGAAGTTAATGGAAAGCGCAGTTTGTACCGCAGGGCAATGCTTTTCTAGAAGGCCTTGTCTATTTAACAACGACTGAACTATACATATGTATAAGCATATGGCTAGTATATACACAAGTACTAAAACTTATAATGAATATACACATATAGTGCATATGTACTTACATAATACATACTATACATACAAAGAAATTTATAAATCAGCTTTAACAACAACAAGTAAACTATCAGGCTTTAATATTATGAATTTCTGGTTCAACCTAAATACATATAGTCGATGTAGACTCACAAGCTGGAATGGGAAACTTTTTGTGTTTGTCTGCAATCAAAATACATACAATATGTATGTATGTATATACATACGTGTGTCTAAGAATTTTGGCACCATTACTGTAAGTATTAATTAAAATACTATATGAGTATACACACACCTATATTTTCACTAGCAACCTATATACACCTTAGAGGTATCTTTAAAGTAGACAAAACAGAACAAAAATTAAAGATAACTAAAAAATTTCAAATGCTTATGTACTTATGGTGTCTGTAGCATGTAAGCACCCTAAATACATAGTCCAAATGTTACCTGTTAACATATCAATTGAAAAATGCATGATGTGCACACCTTCGACCAAAATGGAACATTTAAAACTGTAATCTAGTTGATATATAGACTAAGGTACGAGTATATCTAACTAACAAGATGATATTGTAATTACCAAAGTGTCCAGAACCAATGACATCTCCAGCATTAGCTCGAATGGATTTATAAATTTATAAATGTTAACTGACGTTCTAAATATTTCACTGTGTGTTAATGTTTAGTGTTTAAGAAATACACAGATACATACTACAGATATATGTAGGTATAATACGAGTACATCGTACGGATGCAATTGTAAGACCAAAGATGTGAATGCCTCATTAAGCAGCACACATTTACCCACATTTGCTCTATACTGCGTTCTAGGTAGTCTAATCTTTCAACTATAGTTATGTTACCCGAATTTCCTCTAAATCACACTTGCTACAAATTTAAAATCGAATTAATTAATAAGCAACTATATATTCATTGTCATAAAATGTTATGTATGTATATAAAAATAAATATATATCACACACTCAAGCCTTTACCTAACCCATGCACCCACCATGATATTGCATGTCTATTAAATAAGTTCACAAGTGTATTTTAAGTGGGCGTTCGGGGACGTAATCTAAACCACAAAATGTCATTAAGGAATTGTCAATTTATGGTCCAAAGCTACAATAAAAAACCATTAGAATGGGTCAAATGTAGGCAAATAGACGATAAGCTAGTGGTTATGTTTAATTCGCTATATGTGTTTGGTCTTGAAGTGTATTTTTAAAATCGAATAAACAAATTCGGACAAACAAATGTTTCACTTGAGCAACTAAACGTATTTTTATTGAATGAAATAACAAAATGTTTTCATATTAGATTTATCAACAATACTTTTCAATTACGTACATAGTTTATTTGGTCTACTCTTCTCCTAGCTGTTCTTGGAGCCTAGCATTTCTTGTATCTCATTGAGCGTCTTGCCTTTTGTCTCCGGCACCCACAGCAACGAATAGATGAACGCCATAATGGCTATGACTGTAAAGATCCAGAATGTTGGTGCCGGGCCTAACGAACTCTGGAGTATGGGGAACAATTTGGTAACGGCAAAGGCCATTAGCCAGTTGCTAGTGCCCGCAACTGATCCTGCCACTGCCTTAACATCCTCTGAGAATAACTCCGCACCAATTAGCCAAGGGACCGGACCAAATCCTATGGCAAAGAAGATGATGAACATGCAAATGCTGCAGATAGGTAGCCAGCCAAGAGATGCAACAGACTCCTCACTGTTTTGTCGCATTTGGAAATAGCCACCCATGAGTGCTGTGGTTAGTGCCATAAAAAAAGCGGATATGGCGAGCAGTATGCGACGTCCAACTTTGTCGATAATGTTGACTGCAACCAAAGTCATCACCACCTGTGTGCCGCCTATGAGAATCGTAGACATAGAAGCACTCAGGCCTGCTCCGACATCAGCAAATATCGACGTGGAGTAGAATACGATCGCATTGATGCCAGTTAGTTGCTGAAAGATTTGCAATAAGACAGCGATGCCAAGTCCCTTTAGCGTAATGGGCCGTTTTAGTGCAGCTGCAATCCCTGTCTTAGATCCACTCTGCTCCACACCACTCATAATCTGTTTAAGCTCGTCATCCACATCGTAGTGCTTTCCGCGCAGCCAAGCCAACGATTTCGCCGCAGCTTCTTTCTGGCCCTTAAGCGCCAGGTAGACTGGCGACTCGGGCATGAAGAGGAAGAAAGCGGCAAATATCATTGGCAGAATCGCGCACAATATGTTAAGTAGCTGTAGATGGACAAAAGCACCCACGACGTAGCCGTAAAGTATTCCAAAAACGATGAGCAACTGAAAGAAGCTACCCAACATACCTCGCGTGGCGAGCGTTGAGATCTCGGTGGTGTATATGGGTGCGGTTACACAGAAGGCACCCCCACACACTCCCAAAATAAAACGACCACAATACAACATGGCCACGTTTTTGGCAAAAATCATTAATACCCATCCGATCATGTAGGGTGGTATCAAAGCTAACATTGTTGGCTTTCGTCCTATCCTATCGATCAGAAATCCAACTGGCACACAAACACAGGTGGCCCCCAAGGTCAGCAACGACGAGATCCAGCCAAACTGGTTGGTAGAGACGGCAAATCCATATTCGATATCCTCGGTGATCATTTTCTCGGCTGGCGCGGACCAGCCGATGGTGGCGCCCAAGCAAAAGGAACCGAAACCGGCAGACAGACCTGCTATGTATTGCGGAAGAGCTTTGCTTGCTTTTGCCATTGCGAACTTCACGAAAGCACGTATCGAAATGAACGTTGCATAGCTTGAATAATTGTTGAATTGATAGGTTCAGCTGTAACGGCAACTGTGCTGGCAGCGTATTGTGCAGTTACGGCAAAATGTCGTAAATAAGCTAAAAAAAACATTAACTGCGGAAGAGTGAAGCGTAAAGCGCAACGTGGAAAACACCCAAAGATTATTTTAAGCCCAGCTAATAATTAACAAGTTCCATTGGCTTGCCTTTAACACATGGGAAAATCAAGTATCGGCTTAACAAGAGCTTCAAACTAATTACAGGTGATATTTCGTCTTCAGTATATCTGATCTAATCTAATATATATAACATGCAGTCAGGCCTGTCAAGTTAACTACATACTTTCCTCATAAGTTAATCATTTCGCCAAGCTGGCCCACGATTACACTCGTAAGTACATAAAAGTGTACTTGCGATGTAGTAAACATCCATATCTTTAAAAGTCTGATCAAAGTTTCCGTATAATCAGTATTTCGTAATTATAACAATGAAAAAACTTGATGAAAAAGAGATCAGAGTATTAATACCAATTGTAGAGTCGAGAAATGGTTTATTATATATAAATATATATACATATATGTACTATATATACATATATTGTAATGGTTATTTTGCGGATCCACATTTATTCTAACGACAAAGACTTATGTTTTTCAACTTTTTGAAATATTATGAAAGTGATGTGTGAAACCATTGCTTGAATGAAGTAGGTTGTTCTTAAAGGAGATTCTGCTGTTGAAAAATAAATTAATTTGCACTTGCGTGTTATGTTTGGTAATTTTATAACAATTCTACCGCTAATTTTTGCTATATTTTTTATTGTCGCAGTTTTATAAATGTATAATTAAGAAAATATATACATATATAATTGAAGCTTAGCTTACGGCACGCTCAAAAATCACACAATGATTGCCCTGATCGTAGTAGCTTTTAATTAGAAATACTTCTGGTACATCAGCTATAAGTCGCTCCAGCTCCTGCTCTTCGAAAACATGATAGTAACGCAGAAATGTTGTATGCTCAGCATCTTTCGTTTTCCAGGGCACAAAAACATCTTGTTGTTGAAATTCAGTGCGATTCGTGTGCACTGGAAGAGACACATGCGGCGGATTTATTTTATGTTCTAATTGCGCCGCCTGATGCTGTCGTTGCGCCTGCTCTGTGGTACGTTCTTTGTTAACGGCTTTGTTTTGTCTCAAATAGCTTGATTTGTTGTTATCGCGTCGCTGCTCTTTTGCCCAGACATACACGAGCGCGCGTCCACCTGGCCGCAATATACGTGCCATTTCACGCAAAGCGGTCAATCGACGTTCAGAGCTGGCCAAGTGATGTATGACAGCAATGCTGATGCAGCCATCCATACTTGCCGTGCGTATAGGAAGTTGCAGACAGTCGCAGCGAAACACGCTCTGTTGTCGGGAATTACACACGCCCAATAATCCTTGCGAACGATCACAGCCGATGGCCAGCAGCTGTGAGTTACAACATAGATACTTCCCATTACCGCAGCCAACATCCAGCACAATTGATTGCGGATCAAAGCTGTGTAAAAAGTCGGAAACTTTTGGCCAAGGTGTATGACGTGTATCGCTGAAATGATTTGCAATTTTATTGTAGACATCATGCACATTTTGCTGCTCCAGGCTAACCGCTTGCTTTGCCAATGTGTCCATCAACAGTTTTGGTGCCGTTGACTGGTGTGTGTCGCAGAGTGTTGGAAATTGACAATGGCAGGGACCACGTCGCAATCGTCGAAATGTAAGCGAAGTTCGTTTCCTGCGTGGTTCCATTGTAAGGCTGACTGTGGCCGTAGGCAGCCAATCTAAATGTCTGGGTCTTATGCCGTGCATCCAATCAAACCGCGCCTCGCCCGACATAACTAGAAGGGAACGACGCAGCAGCAGTAAGGGAGTACACTCGCTACCACGCCTAAATTCCATGACTACATCCGATTCCAGCGAAAGTGAAAGAATTGGATCTAAAAATGCACTGTGCGTATCAACGTGTGGTGGTATACCATGTCCTGGTTCATATTCATTCACCGTCAGCTGGTCTGGTTGCGTCCAGTCCAGACCCTGCAAATCATTTTCAGCCGCAGCTTGCCTGAAACGCGGCCAGAGAAAATCACAAGCGGTTGGAATTCTACACTCTAATGGTTTCGTTGAATCCACATTGTTGCTACCATAAACGAACTCGTAACCGAAGTGTTTTACACGCCTATTTTTCATGTTACCTTCGTTGCTTCTACTGTCGTTGCCGATGGCTTTCAAAAGTGCGCTCTCCTCCTCCTCGGTTATAAAGTCTGTCAATAGTATGAGACCCTTTGGAAGAGGTTTATTCCAGTCGTTTTCTACTGCTTCAAGCTGAGGAATCCCGGTTACGTAGCTAAGGTAGCAAACCTAAATAAATCTTAGACAATGAATAAGATGGTTTATTAATTTTTCGTATATGCTCACCGCTCCGTGTTGTCCTATGGTGGATACGTTGTGCATTGCCAGAAATATGGACTCGGCGTCCGCAATGCTAGCACATTTTAGAAAGCAATACGACTTGGAAGCCAACATCAACACTTGTGAAACTTTACCATGTGCTGTTGCCTTGGCCAGCAGTGTTTCTTCAGTAAGACCATTGCACAGGCCGGCATTTAGTATGGCCAGAAAAATTGTTGGCGTTTCACTCTCGGTGACATTATAATCCGCTTTAATAATGGCCAAACAACGGCGTTTCTTTTTATCCACCTTTTTAGGTTTGCTCACATGTGTGGCAATCATTTTTTCCAATTGGCAGTGTATTGGAGATGGAGAACTAACGGCACTATTTTATATTGAAAAAGATACTTTGAATTAAGCAATTTTGTAAAAGGTTAAAACACTTACGTTAAATTTAATCGCATGTGAGTGCCATAAATAAAAAGGAGAAAATATCCAAAAGAAAAAGAATACAAGACGAGCGAAAACCCCTCAAGTTAATAAGACTATTTAAAAATGGTTTCACACAGACGTGGATAGTCCTGTAACCAAATCAATGCAACAATAGTAACAGGTTGCAACACATTACATTCAACCCGAATGCACTATCGATTGTTTTCTGAAAACTATCGTTGACTATGCCGACTATCGGTATTTCTCCTATACAATGTATCCACAACGCTAAGGGGAAAAATCACATAAGCGACAAATGTAAACAAAAATTACTTGTATATCTATCATGTATGTACATACGTATACATATGTATATTCCCATTTATTCAGACATTGCAAGCTGTTGTATAATATTTAGTTTTAATTAATGACACAACTATGCAGTTGACAAGAAAATGTAGCTTGTATAAAGCTAACAAATGAAATTACAAAATATGTAGTAATATAATAGTGTACCTAAGCTTAAAATCTAATAGACCCTATCAATCATGCTGGTGTCCTGTGGCTTCTGGTTCATGGTAGTCAACTGCTGATGATAATTGCGCATTTGATTACTACGCCTGGGCTGCGCTAAATACTCAAACATGCTTTGGAGATGTTGGGACAACATTTTACTTAAGTCACTCGGCATGGGGTCAGTCCAAAAAAAATCATGATTCAGGGCAGTGTCAGCATCAATGCGTTTTTTCGGATCCAAAGTTAACAGCTTGTCAAGCAAATCGCAGCCGGTTGGATCTTTAACATATGGTCGCAGTCTTTCCTTTACACGCCTCTTCTGATTCTTAGGCAGCTCAATAGACTTGTATAGTTCTAGTTCTTCGACGCCTGGCCAAACGTCGGGAGTAAATGAACCGCACAGTTGTGAAATGAATGTTAACTGCTGTTGCTCTGTGTTACCCTGCATAATAGGCGAACGTGTCCACATTTCGGCCATAATGCAGCCGGCCCCCCACATATCCACTGGGGGTCCATAGTTGCGGTCCCCAAGCAGCAGTTCGGGAGGACGATACCATAATGTGACCACGCGATTTGTATAACGATTCTTGGAATCATTTTTCGGAATGCTAAAGGCTCGTGCCAGACCAAAATCAGCTAGTTTTAATATACCGTGTTTGGTAATCAGTACATTGGCCGCCTTCATATCTCGATGCAATATCTGGAATTAGGAATTATGCATCAGTTACATATGTAAAATTGTTTGATATTTAATTGCCTTGCTACCTTGTTGCTATGTATATAGTATAGGCCATTAAGCAGCTGCTGCATAACCTTCTTGATTTCACCCAGGCTAAATTTGACATTCATATTGGAAAGCAAGCCAGCCAAGTCATGTTCGCAAAAGTCAAAGACCAAGTAAAATGTGGACCTGTAGCCGTTGGTGGCTGTTGCCTTAGTACGGCAGATTTCAATGAGATTTACAACATTCTCGTGTTTTAACAGCTGCAAGATGCGAATCTCGCGCAGTGCTGTGATGGGAAACTGTGGTTGCGAGACGGATTGTAAGAAGCTTCAGTAAATAATAATCGTGCCACTTACACCCTCCTTTTCGTTGTCCATTAGCACCTTTTTCATAGCAACAAATTTCTTGTTGCTTTTTTTTTCTCGAGCCTTGAACACCTCCCTAAAAAATACACGCATTATTGTTTCATTACGGCCATCACCTGAAGAATTCCCCAACTACTTACCCGAATGTGCCTTGACCTATTTTGGCCACTTTTTCGTATTTGCTGCTCTCATCGCAATATGGAAAATCATAGTCCTCGATGTATTTTTGTTTCTCCATCAAGGACATGGTGCGAGAGGAGCTTCCCGAAGATGTAGAAGACTGTGGCATCATATGCGACATGTGCGCCATCTTGACGCGCTTTTGCCACAGGATCTGGGGCTCCAACTTGTTAGGGCTTACAATTAATCACTCCAGAACTTTCGTGATAACGGTTAAACTACAACCACAAACTTTAGGAAAATTGACAAAACTGCAAAAAAGAAAAGCAGCGATTGGGTCTTTTTGCTTTGACTTCAGCTGGCTGCTCTCCCACATCTGTTTTTCTTGTGTTCACACTGTTCGAACACAACAGCTGGTCTATTTTATGTTGCTCATTGGTACACACTGGCTGAAAGTGATATAACCTTACAGCCAGTCTGGCGATTTAATTTTTAACTAATGAATAAACTATTAAATATTGCACAAGCCGTTCCGCGGCAATTTGTGCGACAATATGCGTTCAAGTCAGACCTGAAAATAAAATGGGTGCGCCCCGAAAAGATACCTTGTATTAAGCCCGAAAAAAGTGGTGATCTTTCGAAGCTACCAAAAGTAAATCCCGGTGAGGTGATTCCAGAGTATAGGGACTGTAAGGAGCTGGAAACGTAAGCGCACTTATCATTACTTTTATTTATAAAAGCCAATGCTAAAATGCACGACCTTCTAGTGCTGATGAAACTGTGCGATCCTTGTTCAAGCTGGAAAACAATCCCAATTATTTGACAACTCGTTATTACCGCGATCAAATGGTCAAGGAGGTACAGCGACACCGTCTGGATTTTGGTTCAATGGAGGCAAAATGTATATCTACCAGTGTACATCCCAGAACACTATCTTTAATCGAAATTTTTCTATGTATGTACAGTGGCCAAGATGACCGCAACCATACGCCGGTATCAAGAGCACATGGACGAACACCCGCGCGATAAGATGATAAAAGTACGGCTAAAGGAGCTGATTGATAAGCGCAAAAAGTTTCTGAAGTACTTGAGGCGTTGGGATTATCGTCGATTTGAGTGGATACTGGAGAAGCTCGATTTGGTTTATAAACCACCACCATCTTATTTTCATTGGATAACGCGGAAGGAGTCGTTACAGAAGCTGACTGACAGCTACTGTGAAAAGCTAAGGGAGGATAGGCTCGAAGCTTACCACCAAGAACTTCAGGCGCAACAGATTCCCTTCCTGGAAGAAGCGGTGAAGAAAATGGAGTTCGTACGCAAAGAGCAAATCGCTTGCGATGTGCCGATAACAGTTACGGAGCAGCAAATTGAGGAAGTAAAAAAGGAGTTAGCCGAACTGATAAAGCAACGCGACATTTCCGCAGAGAATCTAAGGCAAAAAGCTGACAGCTTCAATTGACGTGTTTTTTCATATTTTATTGCCTAAATAGACAGATACATAAAGTACTTAAATGAATTTATTTTTAAAGAGTACATTGGACTTCAATACATGTCATAGTTGGAGTGATTCAGACTTAGAAAAATAAATTAACGGCAGATTCCCATATAAAACAAGACGACAGCATGAAATCCATGAGAAAATGATGTGGACGTCTAACGCCTGCCTCCTCCATCTAGCGATCGGGATCCTGATCTGGACCTTATGCTTAATTTTGAGCCACGGTTTCGGTTAGAGCCGCTGCTGCTCGTGCTGCTGCTGGACGTTGATGATGTCGATGAGTCGCTCGAACTAGAAGAACTGGATGAGGATGACGACGAAAGGGACGAAGTAGAGTCACGCGATAATCGCTTACTGCTAGGTCCCGCTGCAGTTTTTTCCTTGCTGGTATTATTGCTCTTGTTGGCATTCTCGCTCTCCTTGCTCCTGGCTTCGGTAGAAGTGACTTCGCTGTCGCCCCAAAGATCGTACTTAGATAAGTCACCGTCTTCGTCTTCTTCTTCATCTTCATCGTCATCGCCTCCTTCATTGGCATGGCTCCTTCTAGCTCTCTTAGCATCGTCCTTATCTGATCCGTCGTGACGTTCACCTTCCCGTTCGTTAGCCTTGCGTTTTTTACGACGTCCAAATTCATCGTATTCGCTATCAGAATCCTCACGATCCTTGTACTCCACAACTCCACGATCATTGTAGCCACCACCAAAGCCTAAAAGGTACTTCAATACATATCCACCAATCCCTTTTGTAATAATACTCTAAAACTGACCTGTGCGTTCCTCCACATCTGAGAACTTCGGGGCATTACACATGTTACAGGTCTGCCTTCGTGCCCAATTCACATTGGCGCACTTGCTGCACTGCCAGTCCTCGGCGCTAAAGAGTCCACGCGATTTCTCTGCCGCAGCCTTCCCAATTTCTGTACCCAGCTTCTTTTTGCTTGAACTTGAACTGCTGCTGCTGCTCCCGTTGCCCCGGTCTGGCTTCTCGCTGCTGTTGCTCTCCCGCTCTCGGCTGCGATTGCATTTATTACACTGCGTGCGGCGTGCAAAGTTTAGATGGCGACAGCTGCAGCCCAAACCCAGAAACACACGCGCCAAATGAGCGGGCGGAAGAACAAGAGTAACAACAAAATGACAAATAAATTATTGTATTTGTATGTTAAGACTGCGCTTCTGCACAGTTGTCTCCGATCTGCACCCAACCGATCGAGTTCATTGGTTCTCTGATTCTTTACGCGCAACTCACTCGTAATCTGGGCAAATCCAATCGCCTGCAGAGACGCCGCCGCCACCCCCACCATTTGACATTTTAAGCTCGTTAGTTGCCTTTTACTAAAGACTGGGTACTTCTAGGAATTATATCATTCCCGTACACAAACTAAGATTAACCTCAGTTTTATACAATTTCTGTATATTAATTTTCCCGGCGACTTCTCGCAACAACTTTTTTTTGTGGCTTTATTGCTAGGGTTGAAATGCGTGAAACATTCGGCCAGATCGTCCGCAGCGCAGTGTTGCCATATCATCGCACATTCCCGCTAAATCAATACAATTTCCCAAAACTACACGTTTGACGAATTTTGAATTAATCTTACCCAAAACAACCGCGGTTAATTAAATATAAGTATATAGATTTACTTTTAGAGTTTTATTTACTTAGCATATAAACAGAAGCCGCTCCAAAAGTAAACACCGTTAATGTTGTCGTTCTTGTTGGTAAAAAAAGTGAAAACGCTTAACCAGCAGCTTTTGGAAATATAGGTGCGCGCCGCTCACAACCGAGTGTACCAACAGCAGCAACACACACACACAGTGGTCAACCCATTTACTTCTTGCCGGTACCAATTTTGGCCTTGGCAGTACCACGGACCTTCTTCATTCTGTTGCGGCGTTCCTTGCGCTGCTTGCGAGTCTGTTTCTTCTGTTCGAAGAGTCCGTGACGGGCTAGACGATGCTTGGGCTCAAACTTCTTGGCGAAATCTAGTGTGTCGTAGATAAGCGCGAAGCCCGTGGAGCGGCCGCCACCGAAGTTGGTTCGGAAGCCAAAAACAAAGACGACGTCCGGTGTCACCTTGTACATAGCTGCGAGTTTCTCGCGGATCTCGGTCTTGTTGACCGACGATAGTCCGGGGTGCAACACATCACACACCATTTGTTTCCTGGCAAGCAGGCGGTTCGTCATGAACTTGCGCGTGCGAATTGTGGCAGTTGTACCTGACATTTTGACGGAGCTAAAACGACAAAAACACACATTAGTCAACAGTTTCACAGATTAATTGAAATTGCCCGTTGCATCCAGCTGCTTTTTGTTGTTTCTTTGCAAAAACACATAACCTCACTATGTGAATGCTAGTTGCGCTGCTATTTCCCCCAACTTGGGACTCCACGTGTGACACACAGAACCGTGCAGTTGTTTATATCAGCTTGCAATCACTTGTTTTCATTTGTATGTATTTTTAACGTATTCAGCTGTAGTTGACGAGCATTTTTAACTACTTTGATACAATTATTACCTGCTCAAACACTTTAAAATGTTTCAAACACGTCTTCAGTGCGAACGCGATTCTCTAGAAAGGAAGATGGCCACCGCAGTTTCTCTAAGACTTGGCATCACTGTCATAAATCTGGACGGGTAGCACTTTTTCAGTGTAGCATTTCGATAGTAACTATTTCGGCAATAACGATAAATCCGTTACGCGCAACCAAATTTTTTTCGAAATGATTAACAAAATAGTTATCATTGGAAACTGACTAATTAAATTAATAATACCAGGGATTACTTCAGATTCCTCAACATTTATTAAGTAATAATTCGCCGCTTGTGGCTGAATGTAATTGTAAAACTAACTTAATTTGGATCTTTTTTCGGCATTACTTCCTTTTTTCTGCCAAACAAACACGGCCACGAAGAGAATTCCTGCAAGAAGACCAATAGAAACTACTGCTACACCAAAATAAAAGATGAAAAGATCAAAGAGATGTAGCTGGCAGGAAGAAATACCAACACCTCGTGTTTTGATAGCGCTTCCACCTTTGTGACGAAGCACGTAATTTACCCAAAACATGGCACTGGCCAGTGCGCCTAGAGGTCTGTCACGATATTCGGCAGACGCTTCGCGTATTTTTAACTGATACTTTTGATTCGTCATTAGTTCCTCCAAGGCCCAGTTGAGCGCCGATATAGTTACATTTTCATAATCTAACTGTATCCCAACCCCAAGATTAACTGCTATTTGCAGGTTCCTTCTTTCGTTTCCAAAAATTGGCAAACCCAGGATTGGCACATGCCTTACAATGCCCTCTTGAAGACCCAACAAATCTCCGTTCATGATAAATGCACGTACGTGCGGATGCGCCAATATATCAATCTGAGGCACGGCATGCTGTATCAGAACATTTTTTGGCAATCCCTCGATCGTGGTCACATCATGACATGTCCAAACAACACGTTCCTTGCGGGCTCCGAGGAATTCAAAAAGCATCTTTAGTCTATCCTTTGGTACCTGACCACAGAGCTGCTGATCTCCTAGCTGCATGTAAATGACGCCTATCCGAGATTCCTCCATGAACCGTTTTATGTTCCATGGCAGCTCACGGTGGCCTCGAATGTGTAGTCCACCTGCAGGCACAATTTGTTGAAGTAGTGGCCTGGGGGTAAGAAGCGGCACATGGTTGTTAAGCAGCAATAGGGCCATATAAGCCTGCAATTCCGGTATAGATGGGGCCTCGGTGACTAGAAAGAGTCCCTCATGAATAAAAATGCTGACTGCGCGTCAGAAATAAATACTCACATTTAAAATGTTTACTGATAAGTTGCTGTTGGGCTCCATAGTGGTCTTTTGCAAATTGCTTGCGCCGTGCAATGCAGCTTCGAATCTGTCCCAGGCGCGCCATGAAACTCAAATCTGGGGTGTATTGCTCAAAATCAATTGGTGAACACGCTGCTGGTACAATAGACTCCTGTACAACGTCCATGTAGTTACCAAAGTCCGAGCTTATTATCCCAATTGTGGGTCTATTTCGAGCATAACCCAGTGCTAACAAAGCCTCGCTGTAGAAAAGGTCCAAAATAATGGCATCGAAGTCAAAATCTGCATCGGGCAGTCGGATCAATGCCTGGACGGCTTCTTGGGAGAGGAAATGGTTCAAAGCATCAGAACCAACGCTGGCTAATGACCTATGAAGCTTATCAAAAGGTAATCCACTAAGATCTTGTATCGTGCCCTTCGGTACAGCATGTTCTTGCACTGTCAGAAAGAAAATTAAATTCTTAATTATTCACGACAAACATTTGATCCCTCACTTTATTTTTGCCATAGTGCTCGTTTGATTTAAAAAAAATTCAAATTGTGTAACAATGGAGAACACCTTTAAAAAACTTTAGCAACTCAAAAGACAATTGATGTACGGAGGAACTTATTTTTAACCAGGCGCGTTAAATTTTGTAGGTACATATTTTCTGTCCGTATATATAAAGATTTTTTTCAAGATTTTAGGGATTTTCATTTATGAAAAAAATATTTAAAATAAAATAGACGATAATTGCCAGTGCTATGATATGCTAAAAATAAGGCTAAGATTAAGTTATATCGTCCTCTACATATTAAATGTATTTTCCTGATTTTACTTTCCAATCAATATTTAAATTACTTACATTTGTTCCAAAATGCGTATTCTGGCACAACCTTCTCCGTAACGCGTTCCAAAGTCTCGCCTAAGCCATGGGTACTATAAACTGTTACCTATTAAGACGGAAAACAAGTGAATTATTAGCTGCGAGCGCATTCCCCATCTTAGCATTGAACTTACATTGTGATCCCTGCTAGCCAGTTCTGTGACCAAAGTGCGTAATACACCAAAATGACTCTCACTGGCATGTGGGAAGAGCACAAGTATGTTGCTCCCTTCTCCTCGGCATATATTTGAGATCAGTAACAGGCAGAAGAGGACGATCCGGCCGGGCATTGTACCGAACCCCATTTCTATATGCTGCATTAAGTATTTATGAATATACATATGTATGTAAGTATGTGTGTGCGTACAATTTTATTGGTACACATCATCAGCCATTTCCAGATACTTTTGCTTATCAATTTGAATTATTTCAGTCTCAGCACCGGCATATTTATTTTGATAACCATTCAAAAATAATGATGTACATACATACATACCATACTTAAAGTTTCTAACTCTTGCGAAGTGCACTTTCGAACTTTTCCGGCTTCCCTAACTGGATGTTTCGGCCGTCTGCATGCGCTTTGCCTCGAGCACTGATTGTTCAAAGCAATTTAATCTTAGAAATTCCCCAGCGTCCAGCACTTTAGTGGTAAAACATATGGGGCACATGATACTACATGAATATACGAATCTATGTATATATATAAGTGTGTTTGTACATATATATGTATGTATGTATGTATGTATGTATATTTTTTGTATAAAGTACACACATGCATATCTCCATATGTGTGTATACAAAGGAAGATTGTCGTAAATGAATACAAGACGCATGGACGGGACGGGGCTACAATTGCATAGACATATTTCCTCCATTTGAGCTTAACGATATGATCGCGCTGCTCAATTTTTGTGTTGCATATGCTCCAGCATGTTATCGAGTGCCACAGGTCCGTACTTCGGTGTTCTTCTCGTGTGACGTCACAATACGCACTGAGGCGTAGCCGTAATGTGTTAAAATTCAAAAAGGTCTGCATTTAGAGTAGTTAAACTCTATTGCTGCACAGTTATATTCAAAAATTTTCCTATGTGGTGTGGGAATTGGAAAAGTTTTTTTTATTAAGCGCAATATATTAGGCATCCGATTTTAAGATGAACCCTGAAACGGTGTAATTTTGCACTTGTTTAAACAGTTGCATAATCTAATGCCCGCACGTAGCTGTATCGCGCAGTGAGAGTAAAAAGTTGCAGCTTTAGAGCTATACTTTATCTCCTTTTACGTTGATGCTCCAGTATAATAAAGCTCGCTCCCCCTCTCACATATATATCGCTTCTCTCTTTTTCTCTCTCGCTTTTGTTTTTATTATTGGATGAATTGTGGGGTAATATGGGGCACAGGCTAGCAAGTGAAAGGGGTGCTTTGCTCTTTCTACGAATATGAAAAATGTTGCTCAGTAAAGTAATTGAAATGATCAGTCCGAATGACATTCTGAGTTCACCCTACAAACAATTTGTTCGTTTCGACATTGGACATTGGACATAATTTACGGGCTTACATATTTTGCATAAAATCTTTTTTTTTTGTTTATTTGGGTATAAGTAAATTGCATAAAATCTATTTTGTGCATTCCCTCCATGGAAAATGACGAGTCAAGCCAAAAGTTTCAAACAAAAATGTTATTTTTTTTAATTACATGAGTATATTTTTAAAAAATCATAGAATAAGCACTTCTTGAGAAGGTTAAGACTAACAGTAAAGATTGCATTTTTTAAGTGCTTTAAAATTTTTTGGGTAGGCTGAGTAGAACACTTAAGTCGGGCCAACCCGACTCTTGTATAACCTTTATTTTCTTATTGCCGAGAAAATTCGTTACACAAATCAATCTCATGGAAGTTTTACGATAATAAGTTCTTGAGAAAGTTAAGACTAACAGTAAAGATTGCATTTTTTAAGAGCATTACAATTTTTTGTGTAGGCTGAGTAGAACACTTAAGACGGGCCAACCCAACTCTTACATAACCTTTAATTTCTTATTGCCGAGAAAATTCGTTACACAAATCAATCTCATGGAAGTTTTACGATAATACATACAATAAGACAGGTCTACATACCAATATGTTATGAAGATATATATGTATATACAAATAATCATATGTATGTACTTGTGTGTTTTTTGCATACCTAAAAATGTTCGGGCTCATTATCTTGGCTCCCACGAGTCTCAACAGCAGATACCTGAAACGCGGTGCCATGCATGCATGAAGTGCAAACAACTTCAGCACAAATATTTAAATAACCCATTCTCGAGAGTACGCAAATCACAATAATGTGACACAAGCCCCAGTTGCCTTTTTTTTAAGTATTGCCATACATAAGCTAATAAGCGCATCAAAGGGAATAAAACAAAATTGGCAACAATAGCTGTTGACAAACCGGTTAAGGCATAAAAAGATGTTCTAAAGAAAGTCAGAAGCCACACATATATATACAGACACACATAGATACATAATATGTGTACCTACAAATGTATAACGAATGATCAGGTGTGTGTGTACTTGGCCTGTGGAGGCGTTAAAACCGGTTCATTGAACCCTGTCAAGTTATAGAAGAAAATATAGTTTAGTTTTTTATCACATATTTTATTTTAATGTTTTACATACAATTCTGATTAGTTGAGTTTGAGCAGATACAAATATAATTTTAAATGCAACCCAACTTCTCTGATATGAAGTCGGGCACTAATTAATTACTGACACTAATATGCTTATTGCTGTTGAATTAGGAGTGGATTAAAAAGTTATGGACGCCTTCTTGCGTATTGCTTATTCAGTAGCATCAGTCTTGGAAACGGAAAATGGCTCAGGGACTTCGATGGAGCCACTGTTGGCAATGACAACATCCTTGACTGGACGATCACGGGCATCGGTGGCTGACGATTCGATTTTGCGCACCACATCCATACCGGAGAGTACCTTTCCAAAGACAACGTGGCGTCCGTCTAACCAGCTAGTCTGCTTGGTGGTAATGAAAAACTGTGAACCGTTAGTGTCCTTGCCAGCGTTAGCCATGCTTAACCAGCCGGCGCCATAATGCTTCAGCTTGAAGTTCTCATCCTCAAAGCGTTCGCCGTAGATGGAGCGTCCGCCGGTGCCGTCTCCCTTTGTGAAATCACCTCCCTGGATCATGAAATCTTTGATGATGCGGTGGAACTTGCTGCCCTTGTAGCTGTTGTAGAGAAAATAGTAAATATTGTTGTCATATTAACGCTAATTCACTTAATAAACACGTCAATTAGAGCTGTTATATTTTGTACGTATAATATAAACTATTTTGTCGCAACTTAAACGCCACGTAATTGATGGCGGCTTCAGAAAGAACGACTGCGGCTCTAACCTCCAAATGCTTTCTTTAGTGGCTACGTGTGTTTATAGTATGCGTGTGTGTGTAAGTACGCCAATTATCGGCGCATGAGTCTACTTACCCTTCGCCCTGAGGCTTGCTAGCCAGCTCCTTGAAGTTCCTCACCGTTTTCTCCACAGTTTTTCCGAACAAACCAATCTCGATTCGACCAGCCGACTCACCACCAATGGTGATGTCAAAAAAGACCTACGCAAGACGAAAGAAACACAAAAAAAAGTTGGTACATACCATACATGCATACGTATGTAGATGATTTATGTGTATACTAAATAACTGCGTGATTTCTTGTATATGTATGTATTGTGTATACGCGAGAAAATAGCTTCAGTTCCTTTACTCACCTTATCGGTCACTTTAGGTCCTTTGCTTTCATCAGCGGCTGCAATTCCGGCCAATATGGCGACCAAGCAAAATGCAAGAATTAATTTCATTTTGCTGCTAAGACAATCGAAATCTAAAGAGCCGCACAAAAACTAGAACGTCTTTCCTTCTCCGTTGCCGCTCGAAAGTGACAAAGATGTGTCGTTTGCTTATCGAAATGTCGATGTTTTATAGCTAGACTATTATCGATGTTTTCCGTTCACCAGTTCGCAACGCATCTGTTCACATATTGCCAGTTCTTCAGGGAACTTTTAAACAGCTGTTATAATTTAAAATAGATTGAACTGACAAATGTAATTAGACCGTTGAATAAAACTACAGTTTGCACATTTAAAGCATTTTATGGGGCTTTCTTTACATGAGTTCATTTAAACTACTGGTTGGAATTTCTGTCACTTTATCTTAAACATTTTCTCTTGTGTACCACTTTTAGATAAGTCAACAGTTTTACATTATTTGTATATAGTTGCATGTACATTATTTCCTTGCAATTATTGTTTTTACTCTTTCAATTTAACAGATACAGTTTGAATATATAAATGAATGAGATGACAAACCATAAAACATAAATTATAAATAAGCTTCAGCAAGTTTTAACACTATCACAAAGATAAATACTAAGATTAAATCTATTTACAGAAAATACATTTGTAATAGTAATAGTAGGTCAACTTAATTGTAAATAAAATAGAAAAGCTTTACAAGTTCAATTCGAACTTAAATAAATCAAATGGAAAACCTTGTACAGAACTCTCTCCTTTTACGATATCCCTATAGATTAAGAAACGATTCGAAACGAACTCGTGAACAGCCATGTTTAGATTGCGTTACAGTGAGCAATATGAATTCAGAAGCGCTCTTTCCAAAAGCGTTCAATAGTTTAAGATTTAATCACTGCCGCTTATAAGTGATTCCTGTTGCTCGTCATCGTTAATTCTGCAAATAAATGTATTCTCAATTAATAGCACAAGTTAATCAACTTCTGAGTTTACTCACCTCACAATGCTTGGCTTACGGCAACCACATATTTTGCGGTATACAATTTTAAACAGCTTCATAAGCGGATCTGAATCATCGTTACGCATCAACAATGCTACGAGGAGCAAGGCCAGAAACACGGGTATTGCGCCCAAATAGAATATGGGTGAATACAGTTTGTCCTTCAACAGAACATCGAAGGCAATGGCGAGTGGTATTTGCAGTGACATGGCAATAGTGCCGATCAGTGAGGAGGTTAGAAAGCAGCCCCACAGCCAGAGCGCCTCCGAGAGTACGGTGCCAATGAAGCCGTTGAGAAAGAGCAGCGCAAACTGACTTTGATTTGGCAGCTCGAATGTTTCGATTTTTGTAAAATGTAATATGAAGAATATAGGCCACATGAGCAAGAGATTCCAGAGACCAACGAATCCTATATTAATGACACAGATATAATTTGAAACTAACTAACTTTTTTTAAATCATTTCAAATGTGTTTCTTACCAAAGAACAAAGGTATGTCGACCTTCTCCTCGGTGTCGCTTTTTCGCTTGACAAACACCAGATACGCGGCATAGAAAAAAGCACTGAACAGCGCCAACAGAACACCGCGTGTCATTTTCGTATCGTGTAAATCGTTCATTGTGATCACCACGACTCCGCCAATGTTCATGGCAACGGCAATTAGTTTTGTTATGGTAAATTTATCTCCTGTAGCTGATGGAAACATAGCGGCCAAGCACATGGTGAAGAACGACGAACTTGAACTAATTAGCGTTATCATTGCGGTCTCGTCCATATCAAGAGCCAGTTGAAAGAAATAGTTGGCCATGAACCAGAGTAGACAGAAGAGCAGTGCAGTCTTCGCGGTTTTGTGATGTGTCTTCTGGCGCCGTATTCGTAGGCTCGCGGCATACGAGAGGCGCGCCATTAGCGCATCCGTTGCCTCATGAGCGGACATTTCACGTACCTCAGCCATTTTATTGAACCGTACGCTCCGCACACTGGAATCATCGCTCTCCGTACCGGACACCGTACCATTGCAAGTGGGTCCAAAATGTGGCGAACGTATGGGTACATATGTGGGATCACCCTGCAAGCACATAAAATATTGTTAAGCTAGGGACATTTAAAGAATGGTGCCGATAAAAAAATCTTTACCAATGCCGCTTGACTGGAATAATAGTTCTCATCATCAGCGTTCTGTTCCATCATCTAAAACGGAAAAATGTAGTACATTTTTAAAGCGATTTATGAACACTTACCGCGTAATTGCCATTCTGACGATCGCAGGACTCCTTCCATGGCGCTATTATGCCGATAACCAGTAAATATATGCTAAACATTGAAGTCTTGAAATATGTGCAGAAGAAGGGCTTATCAAATTTGGCGTCATCGTAGAGAAACTGTATGAAATAAATTGGTTTCATAAGTCAGCAATTCATCATGAACATATTTCATTCTCCACATACCTTGGTCAGCTCGCTGGATGAAACCCAAATGATGTCGACTAGAAACAAAATTGCTATGCCCAGTAGAAGCTTCTGTGTGCGTCCGAGCATGTTTTCTTAGGTGTAATTTTGCTTACTTCTTTAGTTTGTTATGCGAACGGTTTGTCTTGGTGCGGCCGTAAAATCCTCTATACTGGTTATCTTTTTATTAATTATTTATTTGCGTTTGTGTCTCCAGCTTTTGTGTTTCATTTTTGACGTTTTTTAGTAAACACCATACTATTTTGTCAAGTTTATTGAGAAGGCTCGTAAACCATTTATATTTTTGAGTTTTGACTAATGAGCGTTGTTTTTGTTGTTGTTGTGGTCATTTTAGGAGTATCTGTTTTCAAATTTAAAAGCAAACATTATTAAGGAAGGTTTAAGCATTTATGGATACCTAAGAACTAAATGTTCAGCAAATGTATTTTATTAATTGTTTCTAGTCTCGTTTGCTTTTGCTGAAGGTGGGTATCTCAATTCATTTATTTAATAAAATTAATTGAGTGAATTAATTGAACAAACGGTCCGAATAAGACGTTGCAATTTGATATGGAAATTTGATTAACATCGTCGTAACATTTATGGGGTGAAGCGTCAATATTTGACTTTTTAATGAGATACATATATGAATGCTAATCAATAATAAAGCACCAAGTACCAATAAACTGATAATAAAAATATTTTGGGGTGTGTGGCACACAGCGTCAATTTCAGTGATAAGGTAAGGAAGCAGCTGCTGTATAAATGTGGCAAATGAAAAAGTTTGTGTAGATAGCAAATGCAAACAAAAATAAATGACCACAGCTGTCATTGAATGGTTAGATTTTTTTTACAAAATCAATAAGCACTGGCAGTTGTAGCGTCAAGCAACAAGTTTGTGTTTCGCATTAATACACATTAATTGGTTTAGTTTTAAATAGGTTGTTGTATTTTACATTATTTTTAGTTGGACACTTTATTTTGTACGTCACTTCTCAATAATTTTGCGGCTTGTTTTTCACTCGTTCACAGTTCCACAGAATACTTGTGCGTTGAAAATGTTTGCGCTTCAATGTAATGTAAATCTCTAAAAGTACGCTTAATATAATCTATTTAAGAAACATCTAAGCCTATGAGTAATACTGATTATATTCTTAACACTGCGGTGAAAACAAAAATTCTGCGCTAGATCTTTCATAAAAACAATGCAGATTGGAATTTTGTGCTGCCAACCTGCGGATTGAGCTAGTTCTGTATAATGAACTGAATAAATTTAGAACACCAAATTACGAATCACGCCACCTACTGGACAAATCAGTTGATAAAATAGAGGGGAGAAACAAACAACATATGTAACTATAAAACCGAGTAAAAAAAAAAAAATCCGTAACAACAATTTCAATGTTTCTTTTTGAAATAATGGATAATGGATATTGCTGCAGTCTATTTTGGTTTTTATTTATATTTGATACTGAACATATTCCTAAAAGAGTTGTTTGTACAAACAAAATTTAAATAGAAAGTGATGATATTTAGTGACAAGTGAATTTGTAAGCAGAAAGTACCACATCTCTAGCAAAGATACTGGAATCTTCGTGAAATATTGTGCTGCCAATAAGCCAAAATGGAACGACATGCTTATCACGGGCACGATGTCAGCAGAAAACTGACGACAAAGTCACAAGTGGTCAGATGTTTAGTTTTCTTGCTCACATCATTTTGCCTATGAGTTTATTCAAAAACGAGAAGTTGTCGAGTGTGGTTGCAGTGCAGTTCTTAACAATTTATTTAATATAAAGTGTAATTTAGTTGCATACCAATACCAATTCTAAAACTTTTTTTGCTCTGTGTTAAGTAAAACGCAAGTGCTTAACATACTGTCGGCGTTCTTTGCGCGTTAATAATTGGTAAGTTGATTTTGTCTTCTTGAGAAATAACTAGGTGTAACTATCTGCTTCCTAATGTGTGTATATTATTCATTGTAATTAAACTATTGTTAAACGTACTTGAAATGTTAGTCTGTACATTTTTTAAGAAACTACGCCATAACTTTTTTTTGTATGAAGATACATACATTTGTTTGTTGTTTGCTCACGTCTTCCAGCAGCATCAGAAATTCGCTGACAGTGCATTCGATGCCATTAATATTGCCTATTACTTGGTTCTACTCGGGTTTTTAGGCGCTTTTTTTCTTATCATCATACTTCTTTGTCTAGATTCTTCTGCGTTTCATTTACTTTTGCGCACTTTGTTTTCAGTTGTTGCTTCTCAATATACGCTCTATATTGCTGTTCGTTGGCCTATTTTTCCGCCTTTGCTTATCATTGTCTGCTGTCTATGCCTACCTGCTGATTCACCTTCAAAACCTGTTTCCTCTATCGGTGCATTTATTTGTTATTAATACGATGCTTAATATTTGACCGTTTTATTAATTCCTCTCGTTGCCGTCAGCAGCCATTTGAGAAAAACTGACGCTAAAATAACAAAATGGTAGGCACAAAAACAACTAACATAAAATTGCAAACAGCAAAAGCAAATAAAAGCAAAAGCAAAAGCAATAACAATGGCAACGGCCGATAAGATAGTGTGTGTGCAAGAGTGATTTGAAAAACGCACACTATAGAGTATACATATACATATGCATAAATTCGTTTTTCTCTTCTCTTTGTGTGTTTTGCCAAAAAGCGAAACTGTTATTTTAAACATGTTCGAAAAACGCCCCTTGAAATGCTTTATTGTTTATTGTCAACAACATTGTTTATTTGTCCGCCCAACAAAAAAAAGCTGAATTTCACAACTCTCTCAGCGAAAATATATTGTTATTTCTGCAAATAAGCTGCAAAATTCCGGAGCTTTGATTTAAAGCTTCGCTTACTTGGTCGTGCCAGTTTGCGCTATCACGTGATTGTACGATAGCCGCAGTAGAATAATTAAAGCTAATTAATATTTGTATTGGCGATCTTTACAGCTCTACAACCAACATGCGCTCAGTATTAGCTCTCTTGGCCCTGGTGGCTGTGGCACAGGCTGTTTCGTTTGCCGATGTCGTCAAGGAGGAATGGCACTCCTTCAAGGTGAGTGGATCCTATTGCAGCTCTTTGTTGTGCCATTGTTGTATGTATTAGTTCTATACCTGGGAAATTTTAGTGCAGATGTCATACAAGTGTTTTTTGTAAGGGAAAACAACAACAAAGCAGACGGTTAGTTGATGAATAATTCCGGCTCAGTCTTTTGTGTTGTTTTAAACTGTTTATTGTTCTAGATTATGATAAGCGTTCAATGTACAGCTGTGAGTCATGTGGGAAAAGTGTGTGCTTAAAACATACATATGTATGTATGTACATGGTATGAATGTGCCCACATACATACATATGTATATATGAAACTTGTCTAAGATCGAAATTCTTACGTTCTTACGTTCCATATAGTCTCATTATACGGAAGTTTTCTGACATTAAAACATCTAAAATGTGAATGACATTTCATTGTTTAATACCACGGTTGTTTAAACAAATTTTTCAATTTGTATGTACTTGTATATTTGCACAACTGTCTGAAAAAAGTAGCAAGCCGAGAAAACAGCAATTTGACTTTAATAAGTATCTCTCAGCAGATAAATAACATAACTTTGATTTAAAACAAAATAACAAAAGTAAAATTCCAAAAACCAGGCATTTTAGTTACATCAACTTTCAGGTTACATCTGAACATTTAAGTCAACTTCAATTTGATTATCATTTGATTTTGTTAAATGAATCTTATGTCGACAAACACAAGCTATCGGCATAGTTGAAACACTACAAACCTTATAATAAAGCCTTAAAGGCTAGGAAAGCTAGGAAGAATTAAATCAAATTACAATAATATCTATTGAACGCCTTCGACTTGATGGCAGTCTGGCAAGCTATGCCCCGTCTCCTAGTCATGGCCGAGAGGCTTTAGAAAGCGGAGAGACAGTTTTGTTGAGAGCAGCTGGAATTAAGCATAAAACTTGAAAAAGATTGTGTCATGCATAAGTTGTGCATCTATTAATTATTAGGAAAATATAACTTATTCTTCTGCAAGGAACTGAGAAATTAAATACGATCATTTAAAACCTTGCCTAATTTAAGTAATTTGAATAAAAACTTCGAACAACTATGATTGACAATACTGCCTTAGTATATCGAGGGTATGCGACTAATTGGAACATTATCTGATTTGAGGAATAAGAATGTATTTCTTGTAAAGCTTTGTGAATTTCTAATAATAGACTCGGCCTGTCTCAGCACTTATCTTAAAGCAACTGTATAGTTAAAGAAACCACATGTCTTTTCTCACATGACAATACAAGTACGACGTCAACAAATCAGCATCACATGCAATATTAAATAGGGCGCTTATTAACTCTGTTGTGTGATTAAGAGGTCGACAGACAGACAAGAAGTCAGGCGGACTTTCCAGCCACGCTGAAAGGTCAATACAATGGTAACTGATAAAGCAAGTCGGGCTTATGCATGTGACTGGCAAAATATTGTTAGTGATAAGCAACGGGCTCGTCCATTCCATTATACATTTTGCATGATACAATAATAAGCCTAAGCGTTTGAAAATATCCGTCGATGGCCGTTGCTCCCTTAAGCTCGTTCTGAGCCACTTATGAGTATGTACATATGAACTTTTCTGTTTCCTTTGAAATGTGAGATGCATGCTCTCGCAGACGCTTCTTATCAGCGCTCGTATTTTGTTTAGTCTAAAACTTGCAGCAAAATTTATTGCGCGTTACATTTTGCTTGGTTAAATGTTCGACTCTTTCTGCCATAGTTATATCAGCTATAGTATGGACAATTGTTATTATCAGTTAAGTGTAATTTTGTGCCGATTTTGTTGAGTTTATTAGCGTTCTTTGTTTATTGAATGCAGGCAGATAAGATTAGGTTAAACATATAATACTATCAGCTATAGAATATAAAGCATCGTGATGTTTTCCATTCATGATATTTTGGACTTAGTTTAAATGTAAATAAGGAGCACGGTCACCAAAAAGTATTGCAATCTCTAAGATGAAAAGGATTTGATACTTTTTGCACTCTTTTAAAGTTGTATTAAAGTATTAAAACATCAATATAAAGCATTAGGATTAAGATGATCGCTTTAAAAAAGATAAAAATTAAATTCAAATATACGGAACGAGTTAACATTCTCATTCAAATAATTTGTTGCGTTTACAAGAAGGGTAACATAAAATGCAATGATGGTATCTGTTAGTTTGTGAATGTGAAAGTGTTGCCTACTTTTGTGCTGCAAGGCATGCTAAAAACATTGCATACCCATTAGGGGTTTTATGAAAAACGATGCAAATTTATAAAAGGGAGCAACGTTTCAAATTGAGATTACCATTCTTGCTCTGCTTATTCACTATAGTATAAATCCGAGGAGAGATTGTAGTTCGAAAAGCCAACTTATCGATTCGAGGAATTATTCTTTCGTAGAAATGCATATGTGCACGTAAGCTAGACTATTTCATTGTAAGTATAAAGTGAAATAGCGCAAATATTCGCACAACAACAAAAGCCAGGTTTGACCCCAGCACGCGTCTTATCTCTGATAAGGGAGAGCAGGGAAACAACAAAGCAAACTTGTCCATTCAACTTAATGGCGTTTTATAATTTCGTTATTTCATTTCATCGAAAGCAACAAGAATAGTTACAGTAACAACCACATTGTGAGGGCGCGTGACAGATCGTTGCTAATCTGAGTGATTTGTTTGTCAAATATATACATACATCTGTCTGTATTTTGTTTTACGCTGGCAAGTGCATAATATCAGTCGGAAGCGAGAAAAAGCTATAATGGCGGCTGATGTGAATTTAATTCATGTTTATATTGCAATTTAGTTTGATGCGTAGGACGACTGGTTTTTTGCATATACGAGTATACACATACGAGTATACACATACGAGTATACACATACAAAAGAACTTGATTAAGGCCGGTTTTATGCTCTCCGTTTCCTCTTTTTTCTGATAAAGGCGACCTTTGTTTAAAATGGGCAATGGGCCGTTTTTAGTATTTTAAACATCAAGAACGCTTTTGAAATAAAATTTTTGCTTAAATTAAAACATGCTAATAAAGTATGCCCTCTGTTATTTACTGAGTTCGATTAAAAAGTAAAATTCTCTTCCCGATAACATGTAACGCCCCTATGTCATATGTATTTATTAATGAAATGTTTTAACGTAAAATTCTAACGTATACAAAACTAAAGAATTTTACGAATATTTGCCTGTCTACCGCAAAGGCTTTGAGCCAAAGTATTTGTACGTGACTGTGTGAGTGTTAATTTGAGGACGTTTTTTCACTTTCCTCGCAGCGGTTCCAAAACTGGTTCGCCTTCAAAACATTCGCTCGCTGCCCTGTCTTCGTGTTCTGCATATATTTTGTTGTTGTTGAGTAGCCCGAGTAGTACAAGAATATGCCGTCATGTATGTGGGTATTTGTGTTATTATTGTGCCTGTGTGTGTGTGTGTGTGTTTATACATACATATTGAGCCCACCACCTATGGCAAGCAGCTATTTTTGTTATTCTACGCTCGACGCTCAAAGCAAGTGGTCCGTCGAGTCGGAGCAATCTAAATCCCACAGAAAAAACTGTGAGCAAATGCAGGAAAATAAAGAGAGGAGAGAAAATAAAGCGCGCGCGCGCCAATATCGAGAGCTAAAGAGCGAAGCGACAAAATTGTTTGCCCCCCAGAGTCAGATGCATGAAAGAAATTAAAGGAGCTTCCAACACTCGTAAAAAGGCCGTGAAAAATAAAAGCACGCGCTTCGCGTCGTTTCGAAAAACGTGAACTATAATTATATAAACACTACTTATAAATAAAAGAGTTATTAACTAATAAAATGGCCAGTGCAAATGATTTAAAATTTACAACAGACGTTATCGTGCCCACACTAATTTTGGTGGGGCTTTTTACAATTAACGCTTTCATCTTTGCCTTTATCATACGTAAACGCCGGCAAGCGAAATACGAGAATGTGGCGAGAGCAGAGGCGGAAGTTCCTTGCACATCCACTAATGCAGCGTTAGTATTGCAACAGAGCCATTACCCGCCTACGGCGCCACGTGCAATGGCCGAGCAGACGACGGACGACGAGAGCTGTGCCATTGAAATGGAACGACTGTAGCAGGAACGGGAGCATCTTTAGCCATACTCTATAGCTTAACATATTTTTAGGATACTCAATGGATAAGGTTAAGAATTTGGAAGTTGCAGTTTAGACAACGAATTTGTTTCCTAAAAAACAACCAAGTGCAAACAAATAAATTGTGTAACAGAACAGAGCTGATAATTAACGGGCAAACATGCATTTTTCGATAGCTAACTTTGACGATAAGCACGTGCATTTAATTATTGTTTTTATTCATATTGCTGTCTTTTGCTTTTTAATAAAATGTGAGAATTTTGATATACATATGTGCATCTTTAAGAAAAACTTCCAAGAAGTTGCATTCTTTATTCATATTGTTGATAATGTTCTGGTTGCTGTCTGGAAAAAATCAATACCCGAGCGCATATACTTGTATGTACATATATATGTATTTATATAAGATATACATATGTACATATATGGGTACATAGGTTTATTGTGTGATTCGAGAAAAATTTGTGTAGATTGACAAAAAAAAAATGCATTCAATAGCATAATCCGGGTTGACTGTCTGTTTGCCTGTTGAAATTTATATCAATTATGTCAATTATATGAGGCAACAACCATATGAAAAGCTCACCAACAACAACAAAAGACAATCAAAGGCACCAACACGCAATGGCGATGTCAACACATTGGGGCGACAATTGTTGTTGTTGTTTTTGTGTTGGTGTGCATGCTGCCTCTGTTACTATCGTTATCTTTAGCATTGTTGCCCCTGTCACATATAATTAGGTTGTACTAATTTCAATATGAACTCTGCTGTAGTGCTGAAAATTCCGAACCTTTTTAGTTTTGCCGCTTGATGTCATTCAATTGCCAGCTGTTCAATACATTGTTGTTGATACTATTTTTAGAAACAGTCTAGCCTACACACAGTATTAATTTAGTTGTCTGCCTGTCCGATTTTATGTTCAATGAACTACTATTCCGGCACGCAATTCATGTTAGAAATTTGGCTTAAAGAAAATCAACAACAATTGTTTGTTGTTGTTTTCGATATTGCAGGTCAGCAGTCATAAACAATTTACGATTTCGTTTTTGTTGTTTTGTTTATGAGACTACTGTGGTTTCTTCGCTAGCTGGCACAGCGCGGCCACCTACCTAGCTAGGAAGGGTTTTGAATTTTGATAAGGACGTGCCTTTATCGGTACTCAAGATAGCCGAGGTTTCTTTTGATTGTAAGCGGTCAACATATTAGCAATGGATTTAGGAAACTCTTGATAACTGCTTGAAGGGTAAAATTCAGGTAGTTTCTGCTCTGGTTAGAGGTTAGAACATGTGTATTGTGGTTAAAATATGAACAAAAAACACGCTACATAAGCATTTTTGATCGTTGAGTAAAACTGTAATCTGTACAAAATACCAATGAATGATTTTATTTTCATATATGATGAGGGCGTTTAGGGAGGGGAAAAGCGGGTAATGCATCGAAAATTGTATTGTGAATTAAAATTCACATTTTGTAGAATTAACAATGCGGGCAGTATGTTAAGAAAATGAATAGCCATTATGGTTATAATAGAATGTTGAATTTTAGTCACGAAGCCTTTACTCTGTTGCGTAAAACGAAAGCGGCTGGTTTGTATATCTAATCGTGAACAGAATGTACATATGTACAAAGTGAATGTTTTATGATAAGAAAACTAAAAAAAAAAAAAAAAATTTATAGTATAGAGGGCGGAGGCTATAAATTTGATTGCTTCTAATGAAAAGACGAATGGGGGACTATTTTCATTAATTAACAATACAAAATAAATACCAATTATACGGGATCATTGCAGCTGGAGCATCGCAAGCACTATCAAGATGATACTGAGGAGCGTTTCCGTCTGAAAATTTTCAATGAGAACAAACACAAGATTGCCAAGCATAATCAACGTTGGGCAGCCGGCGAAGTTAGCTACAAAATGGCCGTGAACAAGTACGCGGATATGTTGCATCATGAGTTCCGTCAGGTTATGAACGGTTTCAACTATACTTTGCACAAACAATTGCGGTAAGTGCGATCTAAATTATAAATTGGTTGAGAAGTTAACACAGGTTGGATTATTTTCCCACAGTACCACCGACAGTAGTTTCATGGGCTTTACTTTCATCTCGCCGGAGCATGTTACATTGCCAAAGGCTGTCGATTGGCGCAACAAGGGTGCTGTTACAGAAGTCAAGGATCAGGGACATTGCGGTTCTTGCTGGGCCTTTTCGAGCACTGGTGCACTGGAGGGCCAACATTTCCGTAAGAGCGGTACACTGGTCTCGTTGTCAGAACAGAATTTAGTTGACTGTTCCACCAAGTATGGCAACAATGGCTGCAATGGTGGCTTGATGGACAATGCCTTCCGTTATATTAAGGATAATGGCGGTGTCGATACGGAGAAGTCATATCCCTATGAAGCCATTGATGATTCGTGCCACTTCAACAAGGCTACCGTTGGTGCAACTGATCGCGGCTTCACTGATATTCCCCAAGGTAACGAGAAGAAATTGGCCGAGGCAGTGGCTACTATTGGACCAGTTTCGGTTGCTATTGATGCTTCGCACGAATCGTTCCAATTCTACTCCGAGGGTGTGTACAATGAACCGCAATGCGATCCCCAGAACTTGGATCATGGTGTGTTGGTTGTCGGCTATGGCACTGATTCAGATGGTCAGGACTACTGGTTGGTTAAGAACTCTTGGGGCACCACCTGGGGTGATAAGGGCTTCATCAGGATGTCGCGCAATCAGGAGAACCAATGTGGCATTGCCACGGCGGCTAGCTACCCAGTGGTTTAAGCCAAATCATATGATTTATATTACACTCGTGCATACGCCCCCTAAAAACCATAAATATGTAAGAATGTATTCCAACGCAGGCATCTCAAAATGTAATTTTAATAATTAAGTGCGCATTATCTGCCATCAACAAATGTATCCAATAACTTCAATTTTGTACTGAAACTAATTTGCTGTTGAACCTACATACATATAACCTAATGTGATGCGAAGACAAAGATTGACGAACAATAAAAATTTATAAAATAATGCATAATTTTCTTTATTGAAAAGAAGGGAGAATGGTTAATCACATGTGAAACGAACGTACATACATATCTACATATGTATATGCCGAGACGAGTCCGAATCACGTTGTTTTTCTGTTCTTCAATCACAGCACACACTTTTGTCGGGACCAACCATGTCTGATATCTATATTATATGTCATACGAACGATAAGGTTAGGAAAGAGTTTCTGGTCAAACTTTGATTTTTAAAAAGGAAAGACAAAATATTTCAGGCACAGTATCTTCTATAATACGCGGCCTATGACCATGGATTAAAAGGTTTGTGCTGCAGGGCATAGTTATTATAACTATATAGCTTTGGAGGAGAACAAAATAAATTGGTATTAAAAATGTGGTGTTTTTGTGATTTTCAAATTTTGACATTCTCTGGTGTTGCTAACTGTCTTTGAAATATCACATTAAAATATCGATTAAATTATCGATTAAAATATCGATAGTTATATGTATCAGGCTCCTTACGCACCACAATCCACAACAGCTGTTGTTTTGTAATAGAATGCAGTATTTGGGAATTTATGCATATTTATAAATTAAAGTGTTAAATATGTTTTTAACGTTACGTGTGCGCGGCCCGAGCCTTGCAGTCTCCTCTTCTGAGCATAGACGTCGAGTGGCGCGAGCTTTTGCTAGCAGTGCTGCCGAGGAGGTCAAGAAAGCGCACCAATTGGAAATTAATCGCTGCACGTACGCAACTGACAATTGGACTAATGTGACACCCAAGATACTCTCATACCTAGGCGCTAACAAGCATCTACAAAATGATCATCCGCTCTCGATAATGCGACAGCGAATTGTAAACTATTTTTACGGGGCATATCGTAATCAGCGTGGAAATCCGTTGTTCTCCGTCTACGACAAACTAAATCCTGTGGTTACGGTGCAGCAGAATTTTGACAATCTGCTAATACCCCGGGATCATGTAAGTCGACAGAAATCGGACTGCTACTACATTAATCAGCAGCACCTGCTGCGGGCACATACGACGGCTCATCAAGTGGAACTAATATCGGGCGGGTTAGATAATTTTTTGGTCGTGGGAGAGGTTTACCGTCGTGATGAAATTGACTGCACGCACTATCCTGTGTTTCATCAGTTGGACGCTGTGCGTCTGGTTACCAAAGACAAACTGTTCGAGCGCAATCCCGGGTTAGAGTTATTTGAGGAGACGTGGACTGGGAAGTTGGCAGATCCGCGCAATATTTTGCCATCTGCCAAGTGCATGGATCAAACAAAACAGCCATGCCACACGCTGGAGGCAGTTAAGTTAATGGAGCATGAAATGAAGCATGTGCTTGTTGGCCTGACCAAGGAGTTGTTTGGGCCTCGAATTAGGTACCGTTGGGTCGACACCTACTTTCCGTTCACACAGCCTTCTTGGGAGCTGGAAATCTATTTTAAAGACAATTGGCTGGAGGTCCTAGGCTGTGGAATAATGCGACATGAAATTCTGCAGCAGGCGGGCGTACATCAATCAATTGGCTACGCCTTTGGGGTCGGCTTGGAGCGTCTGGCTATGGTTTTGTTTGATATACCGGATATTAGGCTGTTTTGGTCTAATGACAGTGGTTTCTTGTCCCAGTTCAGCGAGAAAGATTTGCACAATTTGCCAAAGTACAAGCCAGTCTCGCACTATCCACAGTGCACAAACGATTTATCGTTTTGGTTGCCACCAGATGTGGAAGTAGATGCGGGTTTCTCGGCCAATGATTTCTACGATTTGGTACGATCAGTTGCTGGAGATATTGTTGAGCAGGTAAGCTGATGACATACCACGTATGTGTATAAATTTTACGTTTGCAAGGTCTCGTTTAATTTTAGATAAGTTTGGTGGACAAATTCAAGCATCCAAAAACGGGAAAGTCAAGTGTGTGCTTCCGTATCGTATATCGTCATATGGAGCGGACTTTGACGCAGGTGGAGGTCAACAATATACACAAACAAATAGCTGATGCCAGCGTGGAAAACTTCAATGTGCAAATACGTTAGCTTTAATTTAGTAAAATTAATGTGATTCCAAATAAAGTCAAATTCTCAACATATATCTTCTGTGGATATCCAAAATGGTAGGCTTTATAAAATAAATTACTTTGTTACGTTTTAATTGAGCTTAAAATAAAATTTGTCCTTAAATAATTACATATTTAAATGATTTCATCGATAGAAATTGCACGACATAAATAGTTGGACTTAAATTGCTCGGAATCATCCATCCCTGAAAAATCGATAACAGCCATATGGTTTGTCACCACTACACCCAAAACGCTGTGAAGCCGGACGAAAATTTCAAGTAATATTTATTTCTAGATGAGATCGCATTAAAACATGACTAACGTTGAACCAGAAACTGTGCTGTACAGCATATTAGCATTAGTGATAATAGAAAATGCATTGGAGATCTACATTTCCCTGCGCCAGGTGAGAAATTTTGATTGGCGTTGCCGGCCGTGCGGTGAGTGGGCAATCAATTTGTTTTATCAATGGAAAGATAAATTTAGCGGCGCTCACCGTATGCCAAAATGTCAATTGAGTTCATTGCCTGACTGTCGATTGGACTTTATCGCGTTTTTTATTGTTGCGTCTTAGGTAAAAGTGTACAGAACAGCTCTGCAAGTGCCGGGAGAACTACAGTCACATATGACCGATGAAACTTTCCATAAGGCGCGAAAATATGGACTCGATCAGGAGAATTTCGCTATTTTTAAGGCGCTACTGATGGATGTCATTTTGCTGTGTATGGAGCTTTACATCGGCTTGATTGCGCTTGTGTGGCAAATGTCCGTAGATGTAGTGAAACGATTGCACTGGGATCATGAAAATGAAATAATTGTGAGCTGCGTGTTTGTGCTCATATCGAATGTGATGAGTACATTCAAGTCATTGCCGTTCAAGATCTACAAGATATTTGTGCTGGAGGAAAAGCACGGCTTCAATAAGCAGACGGCGGGCTTTTTTGCTTGGGACCAAGTGAAAGGTTTCTTGGTAGCTCAGGTGCTAATGGTACCCATTACTGCGGCAATCATATTCATAGTACAACGTGGCGGCGACAACTTCTTTATTTGGCTATGGCTGTTCACAGGCGTAATATCGCTGATACTGCTTACGATCTACCCTATTTTCATTGCTCCACTCTTTGATAAATACACACCTCTGAAGGAAGGCGCATTACGCAAATCCATTGAAGATCTGGCCGCCTCGCTAAAGTTTCCTCTAACCAAACTATATGTTGTAGAGGGCTCAAAGCGATCGTCACACAGTAATGCGTACTTTTATGGCTTGTGGAACTCTAAGCGCATTGTCCTTTTTGACACACTTCTGTTGAATAAAGGTCAAGCAGACGATTCACAGCTTGCTGATGCTGAGAAAGGCAAGGGCTGTACCGATGAGGAGGTGCTGGCTGTATTAGGCCACGAACTGGGCCATTGGAAGCTAGGCCATGTCACCAAGAATATTATTATTATGCAGGTGCATTTATTACTCATGTTCCTAGTTTTTGGTTATTTGTTCAATTTTGCGCCTTTCTATGAGGCGCTTGGCTTTGCGCCCGGCACATGCCCCATATTAGTTGGGCTGCTTATTGTATTTACATACGTTATGGCGCCCTACAATGCCATTGTGAACTTTGCCATGACTATCCTTTCGCGGCGTTTTGAATATCAAGCCGATGAGTTTGCATTTAATTTGGGCTTTGCCGACCAGCTGGGACGTGCACTCGTCAAGCTCAACTTGGACAACTTGGGTTTCCCTGTCTATGACTGGCTCTACTCTACCTGGAATCATTCACATCCCACACTCCTGCAGCGATTGGCCCGTCTTAAGGAGCTTGGCCTTGACAAGAAGCTAAACTAATCACAAAGCAAGACCAAAGCAACAAACTGAAATAGGTAATCGTGCATTTTTAATGTATGTATTTCTATGTGTGTATTTCTAATAGCTTATATTTGAAATAAACGTGGCTTCAGCTAGTAAATACTTTAAATTACAAAAAAAAGTTGGATGAATTGCTTCTGGTTATGTCACAGCTATGCGGTGTGCGTGTTGATATCATAAAACTGATCGAGTTAGATCGATAACAATCTGAAGATATATAAATTTGTAGTACCTACATATACACCTTAGTTTATGTACCTTAGCTTAAATCGATTAGAATTAGATTTGCAGTATGCTGTTGCTTATTATCTTTATTATCTCACATGAATCAGACTAAAACTCGCGAGTGAACTGAAGTAAGTTAGGGCGAGATCGGGGAAAACGTACTTATCCTACTACAATATAGGATTTACCCCAGTAAAAAAAAGAAAAGATTGATGAAGACTTGTGGAGGTGTCAAAGCAGTGTTGATCGGCAATTTGGGTCACCTTAGTGAGCGGACATCCAATTAGCGAACTATAGCCGACATTAGAGGAGGAGGTATGTAAAATCATGCGGGATTGGTAAAGTTGCAGATCCCAAGTCGTTTAATTGAAAGGGTCCTTTCAAAGGCGACATCGTCCGTTCTCATTGAAAATTATTCAGTTGTATCAGAACTCATATGTACTGCCTTTGACATGCTACCCAAAATGTCAAATTTAAATTCAAATCGGGTTGCATAAAATGTCTGCATATTTTTGGAATAATCCTACAACGATACTATTTGCAATTTTGGCTGTTCTCATCTTGGATAATCTGTGGAGCATGTACTTACTGCTGCGCGAGGTAAAGTGAACCCAATGAAGTAGAATATTTTTTTTTCTAAAACTACTTTGTCACAGATAGCTGTCGTTACCGAAACACGTAAGGTGCCGGACGTGCTGCGCCAGTATTTGCCTCAGGAAATCTTTAATCGCATGCGAGCCTATAAACTTCACAAATCCTGGTTTTCGCTAGTCAATACGTTTATCTTCGTGCTAGTATTTGGTTGTCTAGAGCTTTTCTTCGGTTTCTACGCTGTTGTCTGGTATGTGGCGAGCAAGTGTGCTTTCGCTAAATGGATGCAGCAGGAGCTGTTTATATCCGTTATTTATGTTTTGTTGTTGGGCATATATTTGACGCTGAAGGCACTGCCTGGTGCCTTGTATGAAAGGTTTTGTATACCTAAACTTCACAAAAGACGAAAAGTTTCGTTAGCTCGCAGAATTTGTGGAGAGATTTGTGATACTGTTGTGGCGGTAGTAACCATCGTGTTGGTGGTGATGGTGATCGTCTCATTATGTCTTGCATTGGGAATATATTCTTTTGTCGGCCTATTTTGTTTGTCATGTGTGATGACTGTTTTGCTGATCCTCCTAATGCCGGTTATTATTATTCCTTGCATAGGCAAACGCGTGCCTTTCGAAAATATGCCCCTGAAGGCGGATCTGGAAAAGCTCACTGAATCGATTGGATTTCCATTTAGGCAGGTCTACCTCATAAAAGTGAATGATCCGAACACCGGCAGTAATGCATTCTTCTATGGAAGCTGTTGCTTAAAACGCATCGTGATTTTTGATACGGTGCTGTATAATAGGGGTCTGAAAGATACGTCATTACTGGAGCCTGATCAGATTGGCAAGGGTTTGATAAATTCACAAGTGGTCGCTGTCGTTGCCCATGAGCTTGGACACTGGCATCACGGACACTTTTACAAGGCGATCATAATGTTCAAGGTACATGTCTTAATAACTCTGCTGTTATTTGGCATTTGCTATCCCCATGGCCCGATATATCAGGCCGTTGGTTTTGAGAAGGGTGTGCAGCCCGTGCTAGCGGGCTTTATTATAATATTTGGTTTTGTGCTGACCCCATACATGACGTTTTCCAATTTCTTTATGTTAAGCGTGACTCGATATTTTGAGTATCAGGCAGATGAGTTTGCCTTTGAATTGGGATATGCCAGAGATCTCCGCCATGCGCTTTTAAAGCTTTATGCCGATAACCTGTCCTTTCCCATATCGGATTCCTGCTACGCAAGCTGGCGACACACGCACCCCACCATGCTGGATCGCCTTCGCACACTTGAGGAACTGGAAACCGGCATGGCTTGGACGGTGTGAGGAAGGGGGATCGTAACATCTCTGTGTATAGTTTCAAAAATGAAAATTACACAATCACTATGTTATCATTTTGTTTATTTATCTTAAGTTAGCTATGACATTTTACGACGGTTTGTCCATAGATCCTAAACTCATTCTTTACGCACTGATATTTATCGTGGTGGCCGATCATTTGTGGGAAATAATTTTAACCAAACGCCAGGTGAGCGGCACATGGCAAACTTAATTTTCAGTTAACATAAATCTGTTATTGGCATAGCTTATAGTTTGCCAGAACTCCATTGTCGTCCCCGAGGAGCTGCGCCATGTTATATCTCCGGAGATTTTCCATCGGGCCCGTATTTATGAACTGCACAAAGCCGAGTTGTTCATATGGAAACACTTCATAGAAGCCGTTATTAGCGTAGCCGAGTTAGTATTCGGCTTCTACCCCTTCCTTTGGCATCTTGCCGCCTTGACCTTGGCCAAGCTGACGTCCAAAGAGATGTGGATTAGCATAGTATTTGTTTTCTATCTGACCATATATATTTGTGTGCGCTATTTGCCTGTGCTCGCCTACGAAAAGTGCATTCTGGAGCTGCGCTATGGTGGTCAGCAGCATTTTCAACTCTGTCTATGCTGTCTTGTGGCCGTGTTGGCTGTCGTTCTGTCACAGATATTGCTCGCACCTGCAACATTGCTGATTGTCTATTGCGTACAGAAGGCGGGCTACTGGTTCTTCCTGTGGTTCTGGCTGATTTGGGCTCTCTTTACGCTTATTCTGGTGTTCTTTCTGCCCTACTGTTGTATACCTTGTCTGGGGGTCCAGACGCCACTGCGAGAGGGAGCGCTCTACACAGAAGTAAAGCGTGTGTGCGACATGGCTCGGTTTCCCATGTCACGTGTCTTCATTATTCGGACGAAGACGGTGCAGTACAGTAATGCGTATTTCTATGGTAGCTGCTGTCTGAAACGCATTGTCATCTTTGATACGTTGTTGTTAAACAAAGGCATGGATCCTTCCTATTTGCGGCCGCACGAGATTGGACGTGGCCTGACCAATTCACAGGTAGCCGGAGTAGTGGCGCACGAGTTAGGCCACTGGAAGTACGGGCATTTCTATAAAGCGACGATCATCATGAAGCTCCACTTTCTGTTCACTATGGTACTTTTTGGTCTATTGTTCCATTGTCCCCAGCTGTATCAAGCGGTGGGATTCATCAGTGGCCTATGTCCGATCATAGTGGGATTCCTCATCGTGCTGCGGTTTGCCTTGACCCCGTATCTAGTAATTGCAAATTTTTTGATGCTTTGGAATCTGCGACGTTTCGAATTCGCCGCCGACAAGTATGCCCATTCGCTGGGTTATTCTATGCAGCTGCGTGCAGCCCTTGTCAAGATATATGCGGACCATATGAGCTTTCCGGTCTTCGACAGGTGCTATGCTCGGTGGCACCACACTCATCCGACCATACTGCAAAGGTTGCGTTATCAGGAGAAGCTGGATGTGAGGGCGAACTTTAATGAAAATAGGGCTAACTTAAATCAACCTACAAATTATTAGTTTTCAATCCAAGTAGCTATTTCGTGAAAGATCTATTTTATACTTTTTAAAATTGTAAATCATTACTGTGTAATTGAAAATTAGAGGTCATTCCAATTACGTTGAAAGCCATGTCTTCTTTCAGGCGCATTACAAAGTTGGTGGTCAACATAAAGGAGCGGTAAGCGGATGGTGGGGTTTCGCTCAATCCATAAGCTTTAACGCCTTCCACAGTGAGACGCACATTATCTATGATGATGGCTTAGGACGTAAGATTTGCGGCAATTCCCTCAAGTATATGTTCCAGAGTGGTGAGCCACCAGTCCAGCACAATATGAGCTCTACAAGCGTCTTTAGTAAAGCTGCTCACTTTCTGAGACATCACTTTGGTCCAAAGAGCACAACAGCAATAGAAATGACGCCAGGTGCCATCAGGCGTCTCTACCATGTGTGGCCACTGCCTGAAACTTCTTCAAGTGAATCGGAGGATGAGGGAATGCAGCAGCAGAATTGGATAGAAGAGTTTGATATTGGGCCAAAAACCTCAGTGGTTGGGGAAGATGAATGGGCAAGCTGCTTCGGGGATTTTACGGTTGATAGCGGTTCAAGCTCCGAGTATTTTTCATTCATAGCTCAAACATCAAGCGAGCCTCAGGAATCATTTCTGACATCCTCCAGGAGAACTTCCGAGCAACCGAAACAGAATGAGGCGGTGAAGTATACGGTGCGTGTTAAAAAGTTGAACACAGTACAGCCACAGTGGGCGACATACCTGGAGTGGCCAACCGCCCAATTAAAGGTCTTTAATCGCGCTTGGCACTTACAAAGCTGTACTACACGCACACATTTTACACAGCTAAAGCCGAAATGGTGGGTATTCAGTCACATACTTGTAATATTTCCTATTGGCTAACCTATCCAACCGCAGCAAGTGCCACAGAATAAAGGAGTTAATGGATTCCATCAATGAGCTGGTTAGTTGTTCACATCTTGAGGACAATGGTGCAGATGCGATCAACAAATCCCCTGATTGGACTGATTCCATGATCAAAATGAATAAATACTTGAAGGAGTTGAATGATATTTTGGCAGAACAGACCCAGCTCACAGAAAGCAGCGCTTAATGTGAATAATTTACAAAAGTGCAGACTGCGATCAGCTGCGAGGTATTTGTAATGCATATTTATAAAAACTAAGAGGGTAATTCTTATGAAATCAAATGATATGAGTTTATACATGAAATAAAATTTTAATGTTTAAAGCTACCTACACTTAAAGAAGTTTCGCTTAAATAATAAAGCAAATGTGGGGAAAAGACTTTTAAACTAGACTTCAGAGCCCAGAGCTTAACTAAACTATATACTTCAGTTGAAAGACGAAATAGGTGTGGAAGACATCTAAGCACAATAAAAGCTTAACAGTGAATAAGAAGATTGGCCAATTGAAATCAAAAATGAATGAGTTAGGCTTCATTTATTTAACTAGTATGTAGGAGTGTTAGGACTATGCATAGTAGTCCTGTTATACAGTAGCCCTCTTATACAGTAACCTCTCTTACGAAGTAGAGAGAAAGAGAAGAACAATGAAAGAAAACCAAGTAATGAGTAGCATGAGATCAGTGAGTCGGGTCTGAGTGGTCGAGGAAGGCAGACGTGCTAAGAGTGTGCTCGTGCTAAGATGAGATAAAGAAGTGAACAAATGTTGAAATATCATAACCTAACCTGATATTATTTACACAAATAAAGCATTGAGTATACGATGGAGAGTTTGTAATTTACTTGGAGCAAGACTTTCGACAATCCACGCCCTACTATCTTTGGGGCTCAACCGTTTGTCGCCCCAGAAGTATTCCGATTTAAATAAAGTGATCATTATACCCTTTCACAGGCCTTGAATAAAAAGCTTTATTTTTATACTTTTATTTGTAGCCATGTATTTTAGTTCCTTAAACATTTTCCATATAAGTATGAGTGTATTTTTATATTTTGCTTGACGTAGGGCATATTATATATATTGTATGTATGTATTGTATTTGTATGTATATAGAAAGTCCATTGAAGCTTTATATGTTTTATAGATAGCTAAAGAGTTTCTCTTCGGTAGTATCTTAAGTTGTAGGTTGACATTAAGTGTATTTTTATATCTTCTCTTGAAATACTTGGCATTTATATAAGTTTCCACAGAATTTAGTTTATTTTATTTTAATTTAGTGTCTGCCACTTAAAGCATGGTTAGCAAGTAAATAAGTAAAGAAGTATCCAAGATTTTACGGGAAATTAAAATTGTTTTAACACTGCCTTTGGCAATATTTTTAAAAATGATACCATAACGAAGGTGCCAATAATATATCCTCATTACAAGCGGACACGAAACTCTATTATATAATTTGTTTCCACATAACGCTCCTTATCCAGACTTCATATGTATCTGGATTCGAATAGCGTTTAGGAAAATGTGAATGTATGGCATAATTCGAAAGAAAAAAAAACAAACAAAAAATCGAATTATTTATAGATGTACAAGTAACTGTTTATGTTTAGAATAGAGATAGCACCTTGAGGAGTTTTAAACGATGTATAAATGTTATTTTTAAAGATTTAACATTGCGCTTAAAATGTAGCATAGTGTTTGCATGTTTTTTTGTTTTTAATTCCATTGCGTGTACGAATAATATATAATTAAGGAATCGAATCGGCAAATTACAATAGGCTGTACACCAATTTAACTGCAGTCCTATACTCTGTCAACGCCCATAATTATGCTATAGTTTTGGGCATGACACAAATACGAATACCTGCGCAAACGCTGGGAGCTCTTCAAGCTCAACACCTTGTCCGCTTCTGCGATTGGGATAGACAAGGACAAGGACATGCAATCATGTCGGTTGGGCACCCATATGTCGAGAAGACATGAGCAAGGGGCCAAAGTTCAATGCATGTTATTACGGTTGTTTGCTAGCTACATATGTATGTATTTAGCTTGGCATGCAAATGGGTAAAATGTTCTCGTGTTTGAGTGCCAATTGGCATATGTTCGAGTGCTAAGGACGAGGCGTATGCTTCTTATTCGGACTTGCCTTAAAACTTACATGCTAGGTCACACGTATATTGGAACTATAATACACAAAATTAATTTAATTCTCAAAAAATGAAGCAGAAAAAGTCACACGCATCAAAATATATTCATATATATTGTATGTTATAATTATAAATAGGTTTGGTATAATTTACGCCTTGTTTCATGTAGTTTACACATAAATATTAATAACAATTATCTAAAATTTTGCTACACGTATTTTGACTGGTTGTTGCGCCATTTACACTTAGCTAAGATCATTTATAATTTAAAATTAAATTGTTATTATTCTTTAAATGTAATCAATATGCAATTCACATAGTATATATGTATGTATATATATAATTTATTGTTATATTCAAAATATTATCTTGGCTTCAAAAATTCTCCTCAGACAATGCAATAAAATCGATGTACTGAACTTTAATCTTGTGATGGCTGGTTTCAAGTTGCTTTGACAAATGGATTACTTTCCCTTTTAATAGTTTTATTTCAAAGTTCTTTTTTCATTTAGTACAATCAATTAAGTGGACTTTCCATTTTCAAGGGTGTATTTTAATTGTTCAAATTTGTTGGTAGATTTGTTGTTGTTATTAGGAAATAGACTTTCAAAAGCTTAACATGCATAAATATTTATTTGGATTTGAAACATTCATTATGCTTTATTTTTGGTATTTTAAATATACGGTTTCTCAATATTTCTTAGTTTTATTAATATGCACAAATTTCCTCATTTGAAACATGTGCTGGTAAAATGTAAGTATAATGGTTTTTTGGAGTTCCATTTTTGCACGCTTTTTATATTTAGTTGCTGCTTTAAAGTAATTAATTGCCTCGTTTTCGAAAAAGATTAAGCCTTTTATGCTTAATTATGGCCGTTTTGCATGTTCTGCTTCTCTTTCATTTACTTTTTATTTACCAATTTGGTACCAAAAATATATGCTAACAATTCTTCAATTTACTTTTTTTAACTCCTTACTGCTCATCATCTGGCGACAATTTGGCTAAGGTCAATAAAATCATTGTTAGTTCCTTGCGCGATATTTTGCCATGCTTCTCATAACCAACGCCTCGTAAGATAGTCTCCTCGAAGGCGGCCAAATCTTGAGCATCGTAGTCGTCCTGATGTTGAATGCAAATTAAGTTGAGCTCAAAATTGCTGCAAATAAAAAAAACTCACCTTCTTGACCAACTCCAACAAGTCCTTGAGAAAACCTTTCAGCTCCTCATTCTCAATGGTGCCACTGTTATCCTGCATTGTTGTAAATTTTATGTAAAAATTGCATTTTTGAATTTACAAACTAAGTTGAAAACTTACGCGATCGTAAAGCGAGAAAACTTTTTCAATATCTTCCTTTGTCAATTTAGTGGCCCCCTAAAGTGGCAATATAGAGAGAAAAATAAATGTACGTGAGATAACAAGCTAAAGCATTATACCCGTATTTAAATGGAGCCTGGCATTAAACAATACTCTCATTTCGAATATGTTTAAAATGGAACTCAATGTATGTATACTTTTACTTTTTGATTTCATAACCATATTGATGTGTGGGCTATTGTGTTATGTTTGTCTTTATTATTGGTGTGTGTTTTGTTCTCCATTGGCGGGCTGTGCATACTAATGCCATGTTATTTACAGCTCTACCAAAAAACATTTAACGTTTAAGTATGTATGTAGTACAGCACTGTTTTTTATGATGAGCCCCACACAGTGTGTCACGTTATTTGTTTATGGTAATTTAAATCACAAACATACACATACTATACATGCACATGCACGCTCACATGCAAGCAAAATCAATTTTCATTTACATTCTTATTTTGTGTCACGATGGGCAAACAGCAAACTCCATTTGCATACGTCAGGCTCCGTTGCGTATACGCAACGTCTCAATAAACATTACAACCAATTTGCGCACAATTATTTGCACAATCGTAAAAAATACGCACAGATTTATATGAACGAGTAATGTGCATGTACAAGGAATATATAACAATGGTTCTGTGTATGTGGAAGGAAGCTATAGCGAGTCCTGCAGGATGTGCCAGCTTGTTTCGCAACTTGAAAGAATTATGTATGTTCTGTATATATGTGCATGTAATGTAATGTAAATGACACAAAAATGGCCCTTATTATAATGAATGACTTAATTAGGCATTTTTCTTTTTGCACCATGTTACCATAATGAAAAGGTTCACAAAGAATTTTTGGTCAATTGGCTTATGGGCTTAGCATATTAATTAGGCCTAACAAATTAATTAAAATGTGTGCCGATTAATGTGGTTGAACGAAAGTAAAGTGGAACAAAAAATAAGGATACACAAATTTATTTCACTACATATTAGTATCAAGTTTTCCTTTGTGTTCAAATTTTATTCTTTTGAAAATAAATGACATTTGGTTTTAAGGCATTTGCCAAAAGTTTCCATGTACTTGAAATACGGATACGGGCTTATCGAAAAGAAATTAGTGTATACAAATATTTCCACAAAAATGTGATATCGAAAACATTTGTAATTTCTATAAAATGGATTTTTTTTTCACGGACTGGTGTGCGTACATAATAGCAGAAGAAACATCCGATGATAAATAAATATACATATACATACATAGTTAGCTAGCTGGCCTTTAACAAAAATTGTGAACTATATTTTTATTCGGATAGTGGTTTTTCAAAAAAGGAGCTTGAGAAAATGTTGTAAATTACTATAAAAGATCACATTGCTTATTTAATTTAAGATATAAGATATTATTATTTTTATTCGCATAGCTTGAGTATGCCCTTATTCTAGGTCTGATTTCATGAATTCATATGTAACTACGTTTCTCATTTTGTATTTTTCTTTGAATAGCATTTTTTGTTCCAGAGATGAGGCGATAAAGTCATAAGCAATCAGCCCGTATATTTCAGCAGCTTTTGCTATTTTGCATTGCCAGCAGTTTTGTAAGCTTTGTTGTGCATACGGAACGTGTGCTTTCTAAAAATTATAGCACACTTCTCAGCGCACCCAATACATAATAGCAGCAGCCACACACATGTCCAACTGTCCGTTAGATTTATTGATTCCATTCGCATTGCGCGCTCTTCTACACTAAAACATATTGTGTGTCCACACCCACGCCACCACATATATACATACAAAGACGCTCGCTCACATGCACTTTATTTTGGCAATGGGATTATGTAATGACATACATACATATATATACGTTACGTGCTCGCGAAGTAGCAGCCACACAAAACACTAGTAAACTAGCCAACTAAGCAACAATTCAAGTTCAGAGTCGCTGCAGGTGTGATTTTCGTTTTTGAAAACTAGCAGTAAAATTGGTTGCCACTTTTAAATTTCTGCGCAAACAATTCACAATCTGTGGATATATAGCATGAATGAGTACATGTGTGTTTGTGTCTTTTCACGTCTCTGCGGCCTGATAACAGCTATTTTATTTTGCTAACAAGCTGGGCACATGTATGGAAGCCATTTTACAGCGTCTGTACTTGCTTGTTTTTCCGCTTTCAACAGATTTATGTTGAGGATTAAAAACCCATTAAATGCCGAACCGACCCTTTTTGTTTTTATTTTCCTTAAGTCGCATTTGCTGTCACATGCGACAAAAACTGAAATATTATCAGTGAAGCTGTTGTGACAGTCTATACCTAAGAAATAGGCTCAGTAGGTATTTTGTTCTGCCTAAATTTATTAAAGCGCTTTCTTTTTAAAAAATTGTATTCCGATTTTCATAGGGACCCTACAAATTGCTCACTTAAGCCGACGTGTTATATCACGTAGGTTCCATGATAAAATGAAGTAATTAATTTATACTTCAACACTTTTAAAGCTCCCAAGCCGGTCTACCATTCAGCACCAGCCATTCGAAAATGGCTAAATTATGCAGGAGGGGAGCTTGTAGAAGCTGGCTGGATGGCTTCTGTACTGCCCGTGTGAATGGTGTGTGGTGTCGGCTATAGCATAGCATATAATTTCTGAGCCATCATTAGGTTTAAGCGGGGCACGTATATGCATTTAAGGCCAACCCTACACACCATTTCATTATTTCAGCACGTGTGCGTATGTGTGGTCATATAAATGCCTAATTATGTGGTTGTACATAGTTGCCGCTTATTTTTGGCTTACTCTAGTGGCAGAAAATACATACCAAAGGGTCACATATTTGTTACATAAAGTACATGTTTCGTTCGTGTTTATTGTTTTGGGTCTGCTTAGACAAATTGTAGACACTTAAGGTGTTATAACCAAAAACCATGACTTTGTTATGGGTAGACATTTTTGGTTCCGTCCAGATCGTTTCTTTGGTCTGCCAAGGGTTCTGCTATAATTACTTGACATTACTGGCCGCAACGTTAATTATTTAAGAAAAAATACTATTCTAGGTAGCGTCTTAAAAATGTTGGAGCTAGGCAGTTTTTAATTGGATGGCTTATTTGGGCACTTTCAGGAAGAACGGTAATTTGAACGGTAGTTTTGAAGCCAAGTATATAAAAATGAAATTGGCTGTCAAATAAAGAATTTATTTATATTGCCATTAGAAACATTTTGAGCTTCAGCAGATTGCTGTGTAGTTTCAATTGTCGATTTTGTTTCATAATAACTATAATTGCTTTTAAATTAATTTCTCATAAAGAAAAAAGTGTTATGCTTAACATACATTGTAGTCGATTTTTTGTATTATTTGCTACTAGATTTTAATGTAAAAGTTTAACCAAGCCCAGCAAGGTTGAACGCTATTTTGTGTTTGTTTTGAAAATAATAATATTTATGGATTTTCGGCACTATTTTTTGTGGCATTTCGACATCATAACATAAGACATAAGAATGACATATATATGTATTTATATTTATTGACTAAAGAGTTGGGTCCCGTTCATTAACATATCAAATGGTATGTAAAACATGTAATAAAGAAAATTGTTACTCTGACACAAAGCTAAAAAAAAAGATAGAATGGTGGGCTAAAAGCTAACATGGTAGCATGCGTTTAATACTTAAAAAACTGGTGTACACGTACTATATATTTTATTCAAATGTGGGTTTTGTGTCTAATTAGATTATATCTACAGTCGATAGACAAAAATGGTTTGCATGCAAGCGCTCTTTTTGTAAAATGTCGGTAAACACAATGAAATCAATAGCGTGGCACTTCAAATTGCAAGGTCAACATTATGGTCATTTCTTTTTATTTTCTACGTTAATTGAAAACATAGGGCATTTAAATAAATGTATATTTCAACTTAGGTCTGCTGTGAAGCAATTAAATAGAAAGCAGCCTATAGAGTTTACAGAAAAAAAAATATTCTCGTCGGTTTTCAGTTGTTTCTTTTTTGTAAATATTTCAATGCTGCGTTTGCTTGAAAAATAAATACTTACATCAATGCCCTCCTTTGTGTCAGGAATTTGTTTTTTATTTTGTGGTATGCATTTGCATTTTTTATTTGGTTCATTTGCATGGCACATTGTTGTGCAAAATTGTTTTAAATATTTTCGATTGTTATATTTTATTTTGTTGGTGCAATTGATTGCAGACGATTGCATGTTGCCGTTGTCATTTTTATTTCCACAATGGATTGCGTTTCGTTAGATCATATATACAGCATATATACATAGATGTATGATTTAGTTGTTGTAAAAGTTTATTGCATTCCATTATTTTGGTTTTGTTTATTTGTTAGGTGTTGAAGTACAAGTATTTATGGTATTGTATTTAATTGTTTTTTAATTTGATTTACACAAATTTTGTTAGTGGCACGTTGGCGTAAATCGTGTAATAAAATTGTAAGCCAGAATTTACATCACGTGCAATAATTATTGTTTTAATTTTACGCATTTGGTTTATATGTTCATTGTTGTTGGAAGAGCGTTTAAAATATACATATAGATATAGATGTACATATGCATGTAGATGTATTTTATTGCAGTTAGTTAGCAGAGAGTGCCAAAGGGTAGGCAAGAAATTATAGGAATAAAAGATAGTTGTTGTAAGAAAGTTGTCGTAAATTATAAATTAAAATATCGTATATAGTATTTGCTAAAGGAACATGGGGTTATTTTTTATGGTTAGTTTTATATGTTTAGTCTTAATTTAAGATATAAAACTAGTTTATCTAAAGTGCAGCAAACTTAAAAATAAATATATATGCAAGTAGAGCATAAATTTATTAAATATAAGCTAAATATCATTCTGCAAAACCAATTAAATGCTTGGTCCAAAAAATTGTTAGTGATACTACTGTTTGAGTTGCACTTTTTATTGCCTTGCATTCAAATTCCATAGCTCTAAACTAAAACTAGGTATTTAAATTTGCTGCTGGCAGCGCTAAATGGTGCAAAAAATTACCAAAAAAAAAAAAACCAATAGCCTATTTGATAAATAGAAACAAGAAGAAAAGTAATATCAACCAAAATATGTCTGCGTTGGCGACTTTAAATCTTATATATGGCATGGTGTACCATTTTGGCCACGTTCCCACTTAAGCTGACTGCACTTAAGTGCAGGCCAAAAAGCCTTGTTTGCCATTTGGCCCAAGCACGCAACCCCAAGCCACAGCAAGTGGCGGAGACAACTCACAGAAAAAAATAACAAAACAAAAGAAAAACAAATAAAAAGAGAGCATAAAAACCACATGCGGAAGGACGCCCCACTTGACAAGGCGCAGTAATGCCAGGAAGCCGGAGTAAGGTAAGTGAAATGTCGTCGTGCCGTTACACAAAATGCCTCTATACACACGTACGTGTATGTAGTTGAAGGCGCCAGCTGCTCGGACTGTAGGTGTAAAGGTGGTGGCAGGGGCAGTGACAGTGGCAGAAGCAGCATCCGGCGCCGCAGCCATGTGGTCAGAACCAAAATTAGGGTAAATATTTCAAAAAACCGCATTAGGTAAAAGTTTAGTCAGTCGTGCAACGTGCATTGCAATTTTTCCCGTCAGCGGTCACAGGACAATTTTCGCGCTGTCGTGTGCATTATGTCACAGCCAGCTGGGGCAGACATGACGTATACGTGATGTGCATTAGCATAAGCATTTTTCTTCTTTTTACTGAGCAGCAAACTTTGGTTATTGCACTGCATGTTATAAAATCGACTTGACAGCAATCGCAGCCACAGCCAAAGTCTGTACAAAATGATGATTTAGGAGTCATTCTTGTGGTGATGATCAAGACAGAACGATGTAGGATACGATGTACATACATACGAGTATGTTATGAATCAGTTCACAGAAATAGATACGAGCGAAGCTTTTATAAGATACAAAAAATAGTTTTTATTTTTTTAGGGAGCTACGTAGATATTGTTTAAAAAGTTTACTAAATGGTACAGCTCTACTAACACCACAGATCCACATTGAATAACAGTTTGTTCTACTTATGAAATATAGTCGCAAGGAGTAAAAAATAAGTCTTTATAGGAAACAACATGAAATAAGCTGTCCATAGACGAGTTTCAGGGCTATTTAATCATGTTAAGATAAGTCTCTAAGTTAGTGTTTGTAAAGTCTTATTAAAGAAATGTGTCTTTGCGTCGACACATAGTATTATAATATTTTCCAGGTGACAGCAAATAAACTTATAAATTTTAAAATTTACAATAACCTGCATCTTTTCTTTTTACAGCAATGCAGAAGAATAATTCATTTGGTTTTCAGTTATGTGACTGTAAAAGTGTTGATGCATGGTTTTATTTATTGCTTACGGAATGCGATATTACGTATACGCTGCGAGTGCCATCCGGCGCATATATGTATGTATGAAAACAGTGTAATTTGTGGCAAATGTTGTGGAAATGCCAATTTAATAGCAGTCTTAAGCTTGCGCTTTTTATTATTATTACATACTTTCCTGTACGACCGAATAGGTTTATAGTACTGCGTATGCGCTGCCAAGAAAAACAACAATGTCCCCACAATGTGACAATGGCTAGTGGCATCTGTAAATAGTAGTTACACCTTTATGGCTTATCAGAGATAGGGAAACATTATAATTGTGTCGGTTATTAAGCGCCTTATAAATTGAGTGCTGGCGGACAATAAATTTTTAATGCACATTATCCTGATGAAACCGTTCGCGACTATTACGAGGGTGCCGTATCAGGCTCTGTCAATAGTCAGTGAGTGAAGTAAGTAGATTAAAAGTCGGTGCTTACTTATTTCTCATTTTGGCCACATTGTAACTACGAAGTTCATACGAGTATGTGGCAAGTTTTTTGTGTGTGTATGTTCTGTCAATAAAAGGCAAATAAAATGTCACTGTGCTGCCAACTGTAACAATGGGCAAATAGCGAGCGTGTGCATTGCTGCGGCTGCATCTGCATAGCAAGTACGAGTAAACATGAACATTGCACATGCACATTGCTCGACAAAGTGACAATTGCAATGGTATTGTGGTGCCTGTCAAAATATGCAAATCGAAACGGCAAATAACAAAAACTTGACTTTCTGACTGTTGACTATCAATCAGGGGCGTAAAAGAATCACAGACATGCGACATACATACATATATATACGATAAATATTTTCATTAAAAGACCGCCACCGGCATATAAATATACAACAACTGGATTGGTATACTTGTACAAATTGGAATGCGTTTTCAAAAGGACTGCATGTTCAAAACACATATCGACAGGATTAGCAGCAACCTTCAACTCATACAATTTTTATTCAGTTAATAATTCGAATGGGTGCCCTTAAATTTGCTTACTGCTCCGTTAAAAAAAGATCGAAAAGAGCTGCATAAACAGCATATTTGCAACAGCTTGGAAACTATTCTTTGGCCTCTTCTTGTTGGAACCGCTATGCTTGTAACATGTACTGAAGTATGGATTACATTGCGCCCACACTAAACGAATTGCCGCTTGTCAGTTAACCTACACATACTAACCTACACACACAAAATGGCGCATATGCCGGCACGAGAAATGCTCCAGGCCTTGTAGCTGTCAATAAGCAGTCGAGGCAGTGTGACTGAGGCACGTACATTTGCAGCAAATAACAATAAGCACTCGCAACTGGCACAATTCGTGTGCCAACGGCGCACTTGATTACCAACAGAAGCAACGAAACCTACAACACCACCAATAACAGTAGCAACTGAAACAAGAAAGAAAAAGTACAAAAAAGTAATGCAAACTGAGTTCTGGGTTCGGCCAAACTTTGCTCCGTTTTGAAAGGAAACATACACATTGTGCTGGCTGGCTAGAAGAGTTGCTTAAGTTATGCTGCAAACGTAGGCAGTTTCGATCAAAATAATAAGGGTAAGTCAAGTACATGAAAAATGTAAGTTGAATCAAAATTTGTATGCATTTGTGACAAATGCGAATGCCAATAATATTCAAATTCAAATTTGTGATTGCAGCAAACAAATGTTATGCCCGGCTAGATAAGAGTATTGTTTTGATGAGACTTGCTCCACATATAGTATGTATAAGAATATTCTTTTGATGAGACTTTTTCCACATATAACACCCTGAGTTCGAATACAATTTATTATCCCGAAACAAAAACAACCTTAATAACGAAACTAGAATATCTGCTCATTTCCACATATCTTGTAAAAGTTATGTGACGGAAACTCCTCCTTCTTTTCAGTTTAGTGTCTCGAAGAAAATAAAGGTCTGTTCAGAAGCCAAGCTGCAAGAATAGCTTTTTACAGACAGAATCTCGCACAAAACCGTGTGTCTGCTTTGGATCCAAGAAATTAAGAAATTTAGTGAAACTTTCAAATTAGTTTCAAATTTTTAATTACATCAAATCTAGTAGATGTATTTATATAAACTGGATAAATTGATTGGGTTATAATTTAAAATTTGACTACCCCTTTAAAAGGATTTCTTGTCGACCAAAGCCAAGCTGTGGCCATCACTATTCGTGGCGTATACAATGTCTCTACTTTATATACAACTTGTTCTTTTTACCGCCGAGTCGTGCCAAATGTTGCTGAACAGGCTAAAAAGGAAGAAAATGCTGCAAATATTGCAGTTGAAATTATATGACAAACTTATGGCCAAGTTTGTGTAGTTCATGTAATGCCTTGTGGCATATTACGTGCCTGCCTTACTTCCTACTCCGCCTACCGGGCAGCCGTGTCAAAGTTTCGCCTTGGGTGTAGTCCAATTGTTAGGCCCCGTTGGTACAGGCTGGCTTAATCGTATGGCCTATAGATCCGACCGAAATAAGCGCTTTTTAACCCTGATGGACGCATTAAATTTTGACTTTATTCCCACTCCCGGCTTTCAGCTTTTGCTGTTTAATATTAAATATCAAATAAACTGAATGGGCAACATTTCCAAAAGGCAATTACTCACAAGTCGCTTGGGGCTGAATCGTGGTGTTGTCTGCCCCGTCCCGAATGACTTCCTAATGTGCCAAGAACAAAAGTTAAACAGCTGCCAATGTGGCCGTTGTCAGTGCCAAACGCCCAATTCTCAGTTCAACCCAGATAAAGGAGCCTGAAAACTTATTTGTCAGCTGCTGAATGCTGTGCCGCAGCTTAGGCACCTGTGCATCCATTAAGGTGAGTGTAGGTGTGTGTGTATGTGTGTGTGTGTTTGAATAATTCTGTATGAGCCAGCATGTTGAAATGTTTGGCTTTTTGTTCTTGACTGCTTGCTAATTATATTTTGGTAGCCTCAGAATGTCCTCGTTGTCGTACTATAATTAGGAGTCTGCCGAAGCTGAAACTTTGTTCGCTCAAACTTGATCCAATCAAAATTTCTAAACATACAAAGACATAAATATGTACATATATACATATATACATATATACATATATATATACCGGTATTGCAGTCGAGCTAAGTAAAATACCACAGTTCAAGTTTGGTTATTTTATTACCCAATCTAAGGCAAATAAAACTGGCTGACGTTCGAATAAAAAAAGTAGATACGGAAACCATTCTCCAAAGCGCAAAGTATGTACGTGTGTGGGCGTTTGACTTGTCGCTGACGAAGGCAAATTGATTTGTATTTGCAAACGTTGCCTGCCAGGTCTTCTCAGTCGCCTGCTCGGCTGTTCTGGTAGGTGTTCTTGCGTCACGCACCGCAACTTGAGTCACTCGATACATTTGAGAAAATCTCACCTATTGCTTTTTGCAGTGCTCTGCAATTTTCTTTTCAAAATTCTTACCTGCTGCGTGAGTTTTCTTGATTTTATATTTACGACTATGTAGTCTAAAATTGGGTGAGTTGTAAATATTTTGCGTTACAGTCTCACATAAATAAAATATGAATTTGTTGTTTTCAACTTGGAATGGCTTTTGTTAGCACAGGCCCGCGATTGCCATCAAATTGCTACAAAATTTCTTTAAAATGAATGCGCAAAGCCACTGAAATGGATAGATTTACTTCTACTAAGATATACAATTACTTTGTTACTAATTTATCAGAACTGACGCTATAATTAAGCTCTTAAACTGTAACATTTCTTTGTTGTTCAATAATATGATCGTTCCAATGAAGAAGCTTCTTAATAAAGTTCCAACAATATTCTCCAGCGCCAAATAATATAATCTTGTTTTTAGATAAATGTTAATCAGCTTATAAGAATCACTACCTTTAATCAAATGAACATGAATTTTCTTTAACTTCTCACAGAAGACTTTTTTTAAATCAATTAGTTAAGTAGAAACGTGGATTTTGATTTTAAAATCTCATGCGCCAATACAGATTGCAAATATTTTAAACTCAAAAATGAAATAAGAGAAAAGTTTATAAAATTGAAATTAAAGACAATGCTTTAAGTAAATGCAAGACTAGTTAAAGTAAAGTATTTTTAAATGCTCTGGCAACTAAGCTAAGCTAAGCTAAAGTGCTAAGGTGAAAGCCTTTTAGTATAGAAGGTAATATGTATTAGTATTTAGAAATAGTAGTAGAAAAAGTAATAACTGTTGTATCGTGTGCCTTCCTTCAACTCAATCTTCCTCTTCCCTATAAAACCACCGACTTAAACTAGAGCACAAGACGCTTTTATGGTAATTTCCTCAAACAAATGGCTATTCCCATTGCATATCAATAGCGCACTTACCTTGAATACCTGACGGCAGAGGAAGTTCTCTTTAACCGGAAGTAATCTGCAATAAATAAGTGAGAAGACATTTGACATGGCTGGGTAATCGAAATTGGCAGCAAACTAGCTACTTACTTGGCCATTTCCGAGAGCTGCAAACGGCCATCTTTGTTGGCATCGAAAACTTGTAGCTGTAAGAATACAATTGCACATACAAACATTCATATAAGTTGAAGTGGTTAAGTCAGTAGCCTTTCATCAGCTTAAGGACTTAAATGGATGGTGGTACAACATCCTCGTAGCCTGGTCAGACCTTTTCAGAGTGAGGATGCAGAATTGTGTATACATATCACAGTTTTCCGCATCATGAATTATTTAAACCTGGCTTCTGTTTAATTAATGGCACCAAAAGGAACGATGCAGACATGAAATTGGCAAGTAAAGTGGGTTTCAAGTTTCAATTCATACGCGTGTCACAATGATCCTTATCATGTTGCGCCTTGCGAAAGGCAGTAGGAATAGCATCGAAAGCTACAATAACGATAACCAAAACAAAAGAAAAAGTTTCGCTGCAGGCGCTATGAGTTTGCCAAACGACCTCCCCCACCGATGTGGTTGACCTTTTGTACCAAAAGTTTTTAACACATTTAAGTGCCAGCTTTGCTTTGCGTAATTTGACTTGCAAATGAGTTTTGCCGTTCTGCTCAAAATCTCTGGGCCAACAATGGTCCTTTATCATAATTTATTGTAATGTGCTCTGGCAAGTTCGCTGTGATTGTTATTAAAAACCACTAATGAGACACAAGGCGCGCACACACACGCATAATGAACTGCTGTCGCAATGACACTTAATGAAGCCCCAATACACACTTAGGAGCTACATACATATGTACACGGGCTTTCATGGGCATTACCATAAAGCCCACATAAACACACACATCAGCGGCATTATCAAGTTTTTAATTAACAAAAGTTTGCGTTCGTACGCGCGTTAAATATTTTCCGCTTTCGTCAGCAATTTGCAAGCAACAATAAATAATTGCAATAATAAGTGACAGGAGGGCGTGGCACAAAATTGCAAGCCTAGGTTTCATAACATTGGTATATCAAATGTTCAAATATGTCTAACAAATACTATTTTACAACATTTACGGCTTGTGTATACCCTAAACCGAGCACCTCTCCCCCAGTTAGTCAAAATAAATAAACCTTCCTGTACCAATCATTCCTATTGCAGTTCCATTGCATTTACAGATATTAAAGAATATTTTCATACCAACAAACATACTCTGATTTTTAAGCACTTTGAAACTATCGTGGTTTTATTGTTAACTTATAAGAAGGCAGCCCGGTTACTATATTGCTGGCAATACATGATTTACAAATTCAAAAATATTTTATACTGGTTGCTTAATTAAATTCAATTGAAAAAAATAAAAATAAAAAAAATAATACTATTAGACGGATTGAGCAATTTAAGCTACCACCATAGAAAGTCTGTTAATTTTAGTTAATTGTTTAGGCAGAAAAATGAATCATTCAGAAATTCACTCAAATCCTTAACAAATTGGATCTTCCTTGATAAAAATTTAATATTTTGAAAGTGCAGTGGTGTTGTTAGAATGTAGAGCTGACTGAAAAAATTATCAAAGTCATTCAACAATACTCGTGATACCTGATGAACAAAGTTAATAAAACATTTATAGTATAGTATAATGTTTGACCAACCGCCACGTCATTATCTTTAGCATATTATAATAAAACATAACGTATACGCACCATTGTGTCTGTGTATTCAATTAGCTTATCCTCTGAAACATCATTGATTTTTTTGGCCTCTTTGAGTAGATCACGTAAGAAATTCTTAAGCTCATCCGCTTCTATATAACCAGAGTTATCGGTGTCGTATTCACGCCAAATCTTAAAAGAAGCAAATGGATGAAATGTTGAAAAAGCAGTTATTTCAGTTGGTATGCAGAATGCTTTATGCACAATTTAATTAAGGAATATTCGAGCTAAAACGACCTGCGTCTGTTGAATTGTCTGTTAGCTTTTTGTTTTTAACTTACCTTCATGAATTCAACGCTCGATTCCAACGGATTGTCGAAGCGGAAAAGCAAAAGGAAATTCTCCTCCATTGGTAAAAGTTGAGCGAGCTGTGAATATTTGAAAATCGAGTAAAACAGGTCAGTTTGGTGAAAAACGATGAAAGCCCCAACAATACACACACACACACACACACACACCCACACTCAGAATTTCTGTACCTTCACACTTTGTGGGAGCTGCCAAATTTTTAATGTGCACAGCTTTTTTATTTTTATTGTTTTTTCCTTTGACTCAATGAACAGTAGGCTACAACAGTAATGGGCGTTGCTACTGGCTTTAAATAGCTGCAAGCGAATGTTCGACACGTTTAAAGAATGTGAGTACGCAACAACTTTGAAATAACTACAACCAAAGCGAACAACATTTGAAGCACGGCATCAACTTTTATATTACAACTAAAGGCGCTTTTAGAGAAATTTTTTGTTTTTTATTTCGATTCAAAGCAAGGGAAGAAAAGTGAGGTGTGAAGGGGAAACAATAAGCTGCATACCCGTATACAGCTAACGGACTCGCTAAAAGTTGCAACACGAAAACTTTTTGGCATAATTCAAGCGTTGATTTGCATTTTGTTTTGCACTCGAGGCTTGGTTGGGTCAGAAGTAAAAAACAACACTTTAACGACTTTATGCCGACCACAAGTTGTCTAAAACGCAGTGCATTTTAATGTTTATTATAATTAAAGTATTTTATTTTTTCTCATCTTATAACGCATATGTTAGTTGCCCTTAAATATCAAGCGGCAAAAAAACCTTGCAAATGAAAAATGACAGGAATATATAAAAGACCTTTTTATTGAACGTACCGAGCAGTCAACCTGTAAGACACATGAACGACAACCCAAAAGTAAATGATAAATGATATGGGTATATTTTTTAAGGAAACTTTGTTTTTCGTAAGGGTGGGAATTTGTTTTATGTAGTTATTTTAAAACGCCTGTGAAATAATTGAAATGAAAAAGTTCTTATTTGACCTAAAGTATGTTGCGACCTTATAGAAAGGAAAGTAATTAAAATGTTTGTTGGCCCTTTTATTTTAATGTTCTTTTCGTAATTAATGGTGACTTGGGTTTTCATAAATAGTTGCCTTCTTTACAGGTGTACTTAATGCAATTGGTACCATTTTGTTTTTTCAGTGTACTTTGTTTATTGTTCGGAGCGTGGAGCAGTCCTGGACTTGCAATAAATTCAATTTCTAATAATACCAATGCAATATAAAAAATCTACTTTTAATGGTCTACTATGACTGGTTGTTGTCATAATACACAGCTTCAATTAAAAACTCATTTAACAATGCAACAAAAACTTTGTTTGGCCATGGCCACAAACTTGCGAACACTCACACCCACACAATGCCCGAAATAAATTATTTCACCATTGGAGCACACACACACACACACACACACACTCATGCAACTGAAGTGGAGAAGAAGAGGCAAGAGAAGAACACGAAAAATCATTTAAAAAGCAATTTTGGAAAAGTAACGAAGGAAAACGCGCTCTCATGCGATCCCAAAAAGTGCGCACATGTTTGCTTTAAGAAATATCATTGGGAATACAAAACGTTTTGAATATTGGCCCCACCCCCGTCCCGGGGCACAAAGGTTAGAAAGAAAATTTGTTTTGAATTGAAATGTATGTTCGCCTGCCTGTCCACCTATCCCAGAGAGCAAAAACATTAATTTGGATGCTGCATGATAAGCAGATGTATTCGAATGTCTTGTATACTCACCTCTCTGATATCGATTTTGCCATCCTGATTATCATCGTACGCCTCCATGAAGCAGGACTTGAGCTCCTCGAGCATTGTGTCGGTGACAGCCTGCATGTTGTGGATAGCAAAATGTTGTGGTTTTGGCAAATTAGTGGCAATGCGCATCATGACTATGCTCGACGACTATTGAGTACTTACCTCTGGGCTGATATCGGTGGCATTGGCGCTGGATACGAACTCACGCAGAAAGCCATCCAACTCGGTGCCCTCAATGTAACCGTTGCCTGTTAAGTAAGCATGGGAAGTAAGTATGTGCGCGTTCCGGAAGCTATAATATTGACATGTTACTTACCATCTTTATCGTAGTGTGCCCACACATCCATAAATTGATTTGCCGATAGTTTTTTCAATTCCCGCGACTCAGGATCCCGATACTGACGCATGAAATTGTGTGCCTTCTCGATTTGTACGCGCTTGGCGGCGGCGGCGGCTGCGGCGGCATCCATTTTTTGTTGTTGTTGCTGTCTGTGTGTGTGTGTGTGGTTGGCAGGCAGCAGTTGGCTCAGGTAAGTTGAGTACGTTTTTTTTTATAGCTCGCACACGGTGGCTCCAGTAAAATCTGAAACGAGTGAAAAGTAAATCGCAAGTGTTATAAAAATACGCTACATTGAATTCGGTAGGGCTGGTTGATCGGGATATCACGTAGTCACGTAGCACAGTCTTGATTTTATTGTCAGCTATAGCTGTGCAACCAGCCTCGTGTATGTGGGTGTGTTTGTTATCAGTTGACGCCCACAAACATGGGAAACTACTTAGCGTGGGACGTTTGTTAGCTATAATTATAGTTGTTCTTTCCACAGTCCAGTTTCATTGTTATATTTTTCAGAAGAATTGATTGCCTTTTCAAATTGCAATTAGCGTAAAGTATTTTTCAATTAGCTGTTGCATATTTCATGGCGTGTGGGCTCGAAATAAAAGCAGAGTAATATGAAATAAATGCATTTTTTAATTAGAAGCACAGCACAAAGCGCCACAAGTTCATTATTGGCTTAGCGTTGTGGGTGAAGACAGAAGCGGGCAAATAAATTAATGGCATGGAACTGACACAACATACACGAATGGGGTGGAAGGCTGCCAACATGCAGGCTCTGAAAATAGCAACAGAGCCAGCAGGACGTCGACCAACATGAAGAACAACAAACACTGTTCGCCATGAAACTATTTAAACAAGAACTAGGAAAAAAGGACGTAGCTAACAGGATTAGAGAAACCGGACGCCCTGCACAAGGGCATACTACATACGTGTACATTGTATCTACATATGTACGAGTGTGTATGCACAAAGTAAGTAAGAGTATGTGCGTGATATTACTTTTGAGCTTCTTTCAGTGCGATGTGCAAACAGCAGTGCCGAAACTTTAAGCACACATATTAAAAATCACACACATAAACACACACATAAGTTTCGTTTCTACATTCCAGCTGCAGATATAATGCGACCCTTCGACTAACTTACAAACGTGCATTCATCTAAGCCTTTCTCCCCTCCCTATTGGAACTACTCTAACAAATAAACTAAACGGGATCTGCTTTAAAATTTGTAGGTCGTACCTCGAAAATAAATTATACAAGTATGTCTTTTTATGTGTCGATGGTAATCGATAAGCGCCTTTTGTTAAGCTTGTATTGGATTCGTTTCTGGACTCTGTGGGAATATGGAAGCATACGTGTTCGTTCTATCACTTCTATTCACTTATCATAAAATAACTCTGGAAACAACAAATATCTCTGAAAATGCAGAGTTATAAATTTAGGTTGCGAATGATATTAAACTCAAATAGAATAATCGCATTCGAAACATACAAATTTATTTATTTTTTTTCACTTTTAATAAAAAAAATTATTTAAAAAAATTTTCGAGTATTTAGAGAGACGCTGGATTTTATTATTTAGCTTACATTATGTTTTTTATTTGAATGTTTTATTAAATAGAGTTTCCTACTTCATTGTTCCAAGACCAGCTTTCGATATTTATTAAAATTGTCTTTAAATTTATTTATTTATTTATTTTTTTATGGGGTTAGCTTAAAGTTAAAACTATAGGCTAAAAGGTTTTTAGCCTGGTTACCAGGGCCTTAGGCTATATTGTCTTTAAATATTTTTAACTTATTATAAGTAAGCCCGATAATTTGTTAAACAACAAATTTGTTTAACTACAAATTATCTCTTTAGAAAGGCGATTTTTGATTTATTACGATTCATTTTTACCGCCTCTGAATATACATATTAAGACTGCTTTATCAGTGCTTTTCTTAGCTAAATGATTAACTAATATTTTGAATATAAATCTTTATTTTCCGATTTAGTTTAAGTATACTTATAGCAGTAGTAGTTTGTAAGTCTTATAATAACTGCAATATAGATTCTAACCTGTCAGATACAGTAATTGTAGCTTTCATCACCATAGCTTCATTTGAAACTAAATTTACTTTGCTTTAATGTATAAAGTTGAACATTTTGATCCTTCTTCTTCTCGGCCATTATATTTTCATGTGATTACATTTGGGAATTTTCCCGGTCATGGCAGGCACTTTACCTTCATCTTGAGCAAATGCATGTACCACACGTGTCGGTATTTGCATGCCTCATTTGCTAACTCATGGCCATGTGCTGCGAATCCTTCCAAATTAGTTGCACTTTGTGCCACACTCACACATCTATACTAATGACTAAGCGTTGCGTTCTTAAGGCAAACTAAAATGTACTCCTTCTATTTGCAGTGGTTCTTATGTGTGGTATCCCAAGCGTGGCTGGGGCTTTTTTTTTTTTTAATAGCGGCACTCCGAAATTGTCGTGTAGCTGGCAAACATATTCAATAGAAGTGCACATAGTGCTATATAGGGTTTTGCAGCCACACATGCCATTACACAGCGACAACAACAGCATGACCAACAATAATAAAAGCATCAGAAACAACGACGACGACAACAACAAAGCTGCAATGTGCGCTATTCGTATGCTATTATGCGTTTTGTAATAACAAACGCTACGCTCGACAATGCCACGGCTTCTAATGAGCCTGACCTAGAATGCGGTGGAGGTTCAGTGGTTCAGCGGCGAGCCAAAGTGGCGGGCAAGGGCAGGTGGCTGAAGATTGTGTTGCACGCGTGCCTTTAATGCAATTTCTGCGAGCAAAAGCAATAACATGTCCACCAATGCCATGGGATACTTGAAAGCGCCAAAGGGCCTTTAAGTGTTACATATTGAGATAAATGCAGGGCTTAAAGAACTTGTCAGGGCACATAATTGCTTGACATTTGCACTACCTGTCGTATGCGTTATGTAATGCTCCCTATTAAAGTTTTCCATGTTATTAGCACCTTGAAAAGTTGGGAAACTGTTCTGCTACTGTTTCAATTTGTGGAACTTTGTGTGCAAAGTTTGCTTGGCGCAAGAACGCCAATAAAAAAAATTAAATGTGCAAAACTTTGACAACAAAAGCAACAAGTTTGGCTCTCATCGATTGCGTCACGAAACTCATTTAATGGTGCCACAGCAACAATACCAACCACACTAGCAACAGTAATAGAAACACGACAGTTTGTTGTGTTTTTGGACACATATAACGGAAAAGAAAAAAATCAGAGGAGGAGGGCCACAGCAACCACAACAAACTGTCCCCGCAAACAATTTCCGTGCAGCGCAAACAAGTCCATGGTTTCTCATGTTCCCCACTACGCCTGTATGTATGTTATGTTATTTTATTTTGTTGCTTGTTGTTTTGTTTAAGCGCCCGCAGCGAAACATACGAATAAATAAAAACTACACAGCAACCACAAAAACAAAAGCAACACTAGTGTGGCAAATTGTTATTTTTTTTTATTGTGCTTTGTAAAGCAATTTATTTACAATTTTTTATTATTTCACAACCGCATTGATTGCTTTAAGGAGAGTGGGTGGGGTTGGTATGTCACCGCCTAACAATGCTATTAAATTTATGGACGATAGTTCGCTAACACAGCCAACATATTTGCATAGAGAGAGGAAGAGAGAAGGAGGGAGCAGCAAAAAAATTGCAATAAGAACTATCTACTTCTTTTCAGTTAGTTACTCCACCCAAATTCTGGAGCTTTCTTTAGGAATTTCTTTAGGAAAAATAACTCTTATTTTATAAAAATTCGATTGCAGATTCATGTTGCATCACCATGAGAACTTATTTCTGAGCTTGAAAACACTATATGAGACAAATATGCGTTTCGTTACTGTTATGATTAACAAAAGATGCCATTCTAAATGTTTGCTGGGAAATCCAATATTTATCCAAAAAGTTTTTATATTTCATTAGACGTCACTTAAGAACGAATAACAATTAAATAATTTTTCTTTTACTTTAATTGCTAAGTATGAACTCTTTCTTTTAGTGGGGAGTATGATTAATTAGACACATCATATGCAATCAATCAATTTCTATCATACTTATGGTTTATATATATTTCGGTGGGTGTTGACTGTTATGTAATGATAAAGTACTCGCGTACTTGTTTGTACAGCTACATTTTCTAAATATTAAAGACTGGAAAATAAAATCCACCGTGCCTTATTTGGCTTCATTGTCCTATAAATAAGCCTAAATGTCAATGTTGACAAGTCAAAGAAATAATTAAGTTCCATGTGGTTGCTTAGTCCCTGGTACGAGCTGTGACAAGGCCGTATGATACTCATTAATTCCATTAGCCAGTCAAATAATGTGTTAATAACATTAAGAGTATTTTTCCGCTTGTCAATAATTGTTGGGCAGAACACCCAAAAATACACACATACATACATGGTAAGAATAAGAGATATTGGGAATACGCATTCATAAACGTATTCATTGAACGCAATAGCGGAGTAAAAGCAGTTAAATAAATTTAATTAGCTTGTGCGCCAACCCGGTAGCTGGCAAATTCTTTAACTTGTCAACGCGCTAGCCAAAAATAGAAATAGAACAAATCATAAAATTCGTGTGGCACACCTGGTTGGGGCTGAGGGCGCGCTAATAGGCGCTTCGCATGAATGCGGCAAGTAAACGAGTTGACTTGGACGATGACGATGACGGTGACGGTGACGGCAGTGGCGTCACAATCGCTTCAAGTACAATTGCTTTGGACGCCTTTTACCGTTGCATAAGCTTAGAAGCGCGTGCTAAAGTGCCCGCCACTGCTTGGCTGCCTGCGGACGAGCACGCACGAAAGCTTTTGTTTGGTACCTGCCTGCCTTTCTGTCTAACTGACTGACTGCCTCTTTGTCTGTCCCTCTGTGTCTGCTGTGTATTGTTCGCTGTTCAGCTGACATTGAAAATGGTGCACACACACACACACACACACACACGCTCATTTATTTACATGTGCCTGAATATGAATACATACATATATATATGTATATTTTGTTTTAGTATACATTTATGTAGTTGCATAGTTCTAGGCGCTGCCGTGACTGACTTAAAGTGTATTAAGTTTGGCTCGCATTTAATTTAAGTGTTTGTCTGTTTATTTGCCTGCCGTCTGCCTGAGTGGGTTTCATGCACAATTCAGCTTGTTGTGATTGTTGCTGCCACAAATTGCGGAAATGTGTACGTTC